TATTATTATTATTATTATTCTTATTCTTATTATTATTATCATCATTATTATTATTATTATTATTATTCTTATTCTTATTATTATTATTTACCTCCGCAGAAAGTGACAGAGGTTGCAACTTGAATAGTGGAATAAATGTTTTCTTCGTTCGTTCCTTCCCCTCTGTGGGATCGTCTACGTCAGAGTCAAGCTTAAAAATCATGAAAGAAATAAAAAGTGATTTATTCATAACATTGTTCTGCACACTACTCGGAAACACCAACAACCATGCTTGGTATTTTGTACATAGCAACCATTTTGGGTGTTATGATAACATACGAGAATTAAAAGGATAACCATTAACAATATTGTTAATTGATTGAGAATAAGTTACTAGATTGATTGATTGAAATCAACAGAACTGATATTACGAGGTACGTGTTTCTATTGTAGGTACATTAATTAATACTGTATTAACAAGCAAATAAATGATGAGATTAAAACAATGAAGTAAAATAAATTCATGTTGCACATTTTCCTGTGAATCGTTTGTCAAAATAATTTGAAGGAAGAGTAAAAAAAAATTAATATGTGAACTGAGAATGAGCTGAGATCTTGATCATGAATCATGAAGGAATTAATTAAAATTGAAGAGATCATTATTTAATTAAGTAAAGAAATGCAAATGATTGCGTCAACTTCAAGAATGGTTAATTTAATGTTCTTTCTTTTGTATTTTTTTAAGGGAAAATTTAATTTTATGTTGAATTGAAAAAATTAAATTGTTTAAATAATTAATTCCTGTGTTGGTTTGCAAATATTTGGCTTAATTCACAAATAAAAGTAACAGTTTGTTGTGATCTCCTTGTTGCCTGATGAGAGCGGTCGAACTGAGACACAGTCATAAATTGAATCAAACAAATTTAAATTAAAGGAATTAAAACCCAGAAAGAGGAAAATTTTTTTTAAATTGAATCGAATAATCTAATCTTGATATAGAAATGTGTGAACTTGCGTAAAATTCATGAAACATTGGTTTATTTTGGGGAAAATTTGCATGAAAGGTCAGGAAATGTTAATTTTTTGGGGAAGATTCAGAAAGCCTGGTTTGTGTGTTTATAGGATTAAAAAATGTTTTTTAAAAAAATGGAGCCCTGTGTTTGATCTTGGGTGGAGTTCTAGTTTGATCTTAGAATGCAATTCTGTTGGTCATTTTCGGTGTGATCTGCGTGGAAATCTGGATTATTAATGTTTACTTGGAAACTGGTTTATCAATGTTTACCTGGAAACTGGTTCCTGGTAGATGAATATTCAGCCCTGTGTCTGTATCAGAAACTGACGCATCTAAAATAAAAGTAATAAAAATGATAAACTATCACAACTATTTCAAACAGTATTCTCATCATTGTGTCTCTGCATCCTGGCTTAAAATTAAATCATATAAACTTAAAAACATTGATTCCATAAATGACCTAGAACATGAACAACAACTTATTTTCGAAATGATATAAATTAATTTAAACATAATAAGTATATCTCAGAAGCACGTTTAAGGATTGAGTAGAAAATGTTGTAATCTTTGAGCTTTATAAAAAAAGGTGTGATTCTGTTCTAAACATTATTTTTCCCTCCAAATTGAGTAAAAAATAAATTTTTAAAACAGCAAATAAATTTTTTATCGACTATTTTCTTACAATGTCCAAGATTTATTGATTTTTTATTTGAATTCTTATTTTTGTATACTTTAATTTAACGACCTTTTCAACAAATGACCCAACTGCAGAATCATATCAAAGACCAATGAATCTCCCTTGGATTTAGGGAAAATCATCCACCTGGGATTAAAAGATAAACCTGTCTTGTAATTCAACATAGTAAGGTAGACAAGTTGGGATTTATATTGGGAATCTATGCAAGGAGTTATTCTTTTGTGGGAAAAAGAAACTAGTTAATAATAGAATTGTTGAAAAAAAAAAAACTTTTATAAATATTTAACAACAGATACTTTTCATACTATGTTTAGTTGAAAACAGGGGGATAAAAGAAAACCCTTCTAAAAATAAACCATACCTAGCGGGGGGAGTGTAGTAGGGGCTGTTGTAGAGAGAAAGGGCCAGATAATTAGAGGTAACTTAGAAGGGAACTGTGTAGAGAGAAGGAAGGTAGAAGACTGAGGAACGAACACCTGACAGGTTGTAATGATGTGTCAAGAAATCAGCTACGCAAAGGACTCAGTACAGTACACAGGAAGAGGAGAGAGAGAGTGTGCAACCCTGCAACAAAAGTCATCATCTTCTCAAAGTTAAACCCACAGATCAAGGGATCCACGGCCTAAACAAACAAATTCTAGAGACCTGAGCTGAAAACTTTAGAATGGAATATTCTTAATCCTGATCGGTTAATTAATCTGGAGATTAATAACAAGAGGAGAACAAGCATTAATTAATCTAGAGATTAAGAAAATATGATGATAAAGCATTGATCTAGATATCCAATATTCTTAATAATGCTAAATAAAAACTAATTTGGTCATGTACAAAATTGATAGGAGGGGGGGGGGCCCAAAAATCGTTCACTAGGACAGACCCGGATACAAGACAAGACAAGAAAAGACAAGATGGTTATTTTAAGATAGTACGTATAGTTTCCTTACATATTTGGAGAACTGGTATAACGTGATTATCCAAGAAAAAATCAGCTGTTTTATGAAAAATATTTATTATAATTGAAACATTATAAACCCAGAAGATGAAATTTGGTAAATTTTGTCACAACTGTCTTGCTTGTGTTAACTAAGATTTATTAAAAAAAAACTTATTCTTTTTTGTTAGGGAGTAAGATATCTTGAATTGTATAAATTTTAAAAAATCTCCTTTTATATCGTTAAGCAACTTTCAGGGGTGTATATTTTTCAGAATTACCCCCACCGGGGGGGAATGATTTTTGATGAATGAATCTTTCTTTTAGATAGTTTTTACCAAAAAAATCATTAATAAAGTAAACCATATACATATACATTTTCTGGGGAAAATAAATGATTTCCCAAAAGATTTTTTTAAATATACCTTTGCTTGTAAATATTCTCTTTAAGAATGATCAACCCATTGATATTTGGTAGAGTAGACCTGTAGAACAGATCCTGGAGAGAATATCCGTCCTGTACAACAGATCCTAGAGAGAATATCTGTCCTGTACAACAGATCCTGTAGAGAAGATCCGTCCTGTACAACAGATCTCAAACTTAGATCTAGGATACAATACTGAAGATGAACCTCTCTGCAGCTGAGACGTTCTAAATAAATAAAAATAATTATTAAATTTTAAAGTAATTTAGTCTTTATTTTAAACTTTTAAAAATAATTATCATTATCATTTTTATTATCATTTTATTATCATTTTTATTATTATTATTAATCTTTTCATTTCAGTTATCTGTTAAAGAAAGGTTCTTACTGTTTATGTCCAGCTTGGATTGCCGTAGGTTTGTCAATTTTGCTCTTTTCCCCTTTTCTAAAATTAAAAAGATTAGAATTTAATTTTTAGTATGTAAAGTAACCCCAAACCAAACGTCATTATACTTGTCATGAGACCTCTCTGGACCCACCCAAACTTAAAAGTATTGGAAACAACGAAAAATAAGTAATACGACAAATCTTCTTTCTTAAGGGGACTGTAAGCGTAATTATAAGTGACCCTAATGCCCTATTTACAACGGTACCATTGAAACATTTCTGTGTTTCAATGGTACCGTTGTGTTAAAAATAACTGTATATAGATAATTTTTTTACTACAAACAAAAACCCCCCTCCTCTAAAAAAAATTGTATAAATAGGAGTCCTAAACGTATATATTAGGTATATAATATTCCTAAACAAAGATACATTGAGTCCTAAACAGAGATATATAGGAGTCCTTAACATAGGTACTTAAAGTCCTAAAATAGATACATAGTTTTTTTAAGCATAGATAAAGAGGAGACCTAAACATAGATTAGATATATACTTCATACATCTTCCATAAAATCATCAATAAAATCATCCATATTATTATCCATAATATCATCTATCTAACTATTCATCCATAAAATCATCCATCTAAATATTCATCCATAATATCATCCATTATTTACTTTTTTATAAATTCATCAGATTATTTACTTTTCTTGTCAATGGACACCCATAAGATATAAATAAGCACCTTAATTTCACCCAGGTAACTTCCTAGAGAACGATTATTGGACCCCCCCCCTCCTATCAATTTTGTACATAGATCTTAAATGTAAGACATGGATATACTTAACCATGTGGCCGCAGCGCTCGACCCCCTAGCCTGTCCTAGCCGCAGCACTAGGCCCAGAAAGTGTCCTAACTTNGACCCTTTCACCCAAAACTTCGGATTTTTTCTATAATGTTTCTACCTGAAGAGCTCCGATAACAGCACTCTGGAACCTTTGATCAGTCTTGATTAAGTCCTGGGTGATCTCCCTGACCAGATGCTGGAAGTGAAGCTTACCACAATTAAGCTGAAGCATGTGAATAATTCCAAATTAAAAACTTTACTAACAAAACATGGCGATTGGAACTTTTTCTTTGTTTGTACTCGCGGAGTAATATCCAAAATAACTAACATTGAACTATATCCATCAACAGCCACAGGACGTTCAACTAAAAATAATTAAAGAAAATAAAGGAATTTATTAAATAATTTTACAAAAATATCAATAGTTAAGTAGCCCAAATTTCGCAAGAAAAATGAAAACTAATAAACAAACTATTTTCTTCTTTGTTTCTAACTCCATCTAGCGGTTGAATCTAAAACAAAACAGGTAAAGCAAATGAATATTTGTCACATAAAATTCGCACTAATCTTTACGACCTTTAGCACCATTAAATAAAACCTTACACTTTAAAATCAATATAAAAATAATCAAAAATTTTATCCCTTCAGAGTCGGGTCTACTGTAATATACAGGGTGTCCCGCAAAACATGACATTCAATACATAGATATTTTTAGTTAGACAAATCTTTTGCTTAATTATATTTTACTTTGAAATCAATTTCAATATAATATGACTTTCATATATTATTTGTATTGATATTTGGTATCAAACAATTTGACAAATAATGGAAAAAGGCATTCTAAACTAATCACTATATCATGTTTCGTGGGACAGGGTAAATGTAAATGTAAATTATATAATAATAGCTTTTCTATAAATTTAAACACCATTTTATTTTTACTGCAGAAGCAGGCCCATGGTGGAGGGGGGGGGGCCCGTACTCTTGCGCCCCCCTAGACATGCACCCCCTAGCCCCCCCCCCTAGAGCCAGCGGCAGGCTCTAATTTAATAAACAGTAAACAATTACATATATATTCAAATTTTTTACTTTTCTTATCAATCGGACATACATTACCATCTTTCCATGGAGAGCTTCACTTGAAATTACGCTTACATTAAACTAGATGCTTTATGTCTAAACTAAAAACTCCCTTTTCATTTTTTTATAAATATAGAAAAGTTTTAAATCCAGAACTGGAAGATTTTGAACCAAGGTATAAATTTTTAGTATTGTAGATAAAAGATTTTTAAACAGTTTTCTGAGGTTAAATCCCAACATTACACGTGTATTGTTTCCAAATACATAGATTTTACGTAGATTTGTAACGTTTCTGTCGAATAAATTAGTTTAAAAGAGAAATTTTTATTTATACTGTAGAAGCTCAAACTCTCTAAAGAAAACAAATAAAAAAATATATTTTTATCATTTATTTTTGTCTAAACCAAAATTCAATTATACAATATAAAAATGTACAATTTATGAATAATTAAATTATAATTTATAAAATGATAATTTTGAATCTATCTTTCGATTATCTCTTTTTAGTTCCAGGGAAGGATGCATTTAAAAATTACGCAATGTGTCAAGTTAGTCGACAGGTTTCAAAGATCTGGACCTCAATTTCAACAAATTTTTAATTTATAAAGTATATCATCTTTTTGAAAAATATCAGAATATTTTGATAAATTTATGTGATTAAGATCATTTTAGACGTCTCCATGGCTTTTTAATGTTCAAAGCCAAACACCTAGAAATCTCCAATTTTGCTCTTTTTACTATAAAATCTTTGTGATTTAATTTTTTTCAAATTTTTTTTTTGATTTTTCAATTGCTCAAAAAGTCCTTGATATAACTTTGTTATTCTTCACTTTTATCTCCCATGAAAAGAAAAAAACTGCATGGTTTTAATTTTTAAGATGCATGTCATGTAAAGTCAATTTATAAAATCTCAAGAACCTACCAAAAATTGACAATTTTTGCTTTCAACTTGTCATTTTTTACTTTTTTATTAATTGTTTTTTTTTGAATAAAACACAGCTCTGGAGTAAAAATGTTGACTTTTATGACATCGTTTTATGACATCGTTTGACTTTTTTTCAATTTTTTTTTTGAATAATACTCATGGCTGGAGTTGAGAAATCTAAAACATGTTTTGATTTTAAAATTGGTCAAAAGCGCAACAAGTAACAGTCTCCGACTTTAAAACTGTCTGAGGCTCTGGAGGACGCTGTGTTAGAGAGAGAGGTCTAAAAGTTTTTGTAGTGACTAATTCACACATTGGCTATAATTTTGTACTTTCGTAACTTTTTGATTGGAGGTCGTCTTAATGCCGCAAATCGCGATTTAAAATGTTGACTTTTATGACAAAGTCGGCAGCCGATTTTTCAGCAGGTGATCGACCAACGGCCAAACTTCATATTAATTCTTGAAAGCCCACAGAGTCTTCTACAAATTTGTTCTTCTTGGCTCCGCTCTAAAATGAATAGAAAAAAAACTGCATCATTTGGAGCCATATATCTTGCTATTGGTTAAAATATAGATTTAACGGCCAAAATTTGAGCGGCCAATCATCTGACGGCAAATTTACTGTTATTCCCAGAAAGCCCTTAGAGTACTCTACAACTTTGCTGTTGTTCACTTTTATCTCCCATGAAAAGAAAAAAAACGGCATCGTTTTAAGTTTGAAGATGCACTGTTAGATGTAAAGTTAAGTTACAAATCTCAGGAACCATACAAAAATTGACAATCTTAATCTTTTTGTTATAAACTCGTCAATTTTAATTTTTTTTTAAATTTTTTTTTTGAATAATACTCAGCTGGAGTTGAGAAATCTAAAACATGTTTTGATTTTAAAATTGGTCAAAAGCGAAACGAGTAACAGCCTCTGACCTCTAAAACTGTCTGAGGCTCTGGAGGACGCTGTGTTAGAGATAGAGGTCTAAAAGTTTTTGCAGTGACTAATTCACACATTAGCTATAATATTGTACTTACGTAACTTTTTGATTGGACGTCGTCTTAATACCGCAAATCGTGATTTAAAATTGTAAACTGCACAGTGTGTGCCTAAAAACCGGCATTTTGACCGGGCGGTCAAAATTGACCTGGTCCAAGACAGCAAATTTTGACCAGGCAGAAAAAAGACAAAAAAAGAGCAGTAAACATAAACTTTTTACACTGAACATAGCATTAGCATAAAGTTGACATATAAATGCACACTTTTCATAAAAACAAATAATTTTTAAAAACATTTTTTCACTGATTGATACCTGTTGTCCCCAGAGGTTTCAGAATTTAAAGATGTTGACATTGTGTTTACCTCCCAAGTGAAGCCGGTTTAACCTATCGACCTGTCACCTATTGGCAAAACTCGGCATATGTGTAGGAAGGATCTGGAATAAAACCAGACGACATTTGGTTTAAAAATGAAGGCTCTAAAAATTAAAAACCTTACCCCGTCAAAATTGACCATCCAATCACTAATGGGTTAATCTTTTTGTTATAAACTCGTCAATTTTGACTTTTTTTTCAATTTTTTTTTTGAATAATACTCAGCTAGAGTTGAGAAATCTAAAACATGTTTTGATTTTAAAATTGGTCAAAAGCCCAACTAGAAACAGCCTCCAACCTCTAAAACTGTCGGAGGCGGCTGTGGAGGACGCTGTCTTAGAGAGAGAGGTCTAACATTTTTTGCTGTGACTCATTCACATATTAGCTATAATTTTGTACTTACATATCTTAATGCCGCAAATCGCGATTTAAAATGTTGACTTTTATGACAAAGTCGGCAGCCAATTTTTCAGCAGGTGATGGACCAACGTCCAAACTTCTTATTAATTATTGAAAGCCCACAGTCTTCTACAAATTTGTTCTTCTTGGCTCCGCTCTAAAATGAATAGAAAAAAACCGGCATCATTTGGAGCCATATATCTCTTGCTTTTGGGTTAAAATATAGATTTAACGGCCAAAATTTGAGCGGCCAATCATCTGACGGCGGATTTACTGTTATTCGCAGAAAGCCCTTAGAGTACTCTACAATTTTGCTGTTGTTTACTTTTATCTCCCATGAAAAAAAAAAAAACAGCATCGTTTCAAGTTTGAAGATGCACTGTTAGATGTAAAGTTAAGTTACAATTAAATCTCAAGAACCATACAAAAATTGACAATCTTAATCTTTTAGTTATAAACTCGTCAACTTTGACTTTTTTTTCAATTTTTTTTTAACTAAAACTCAGCTGGAGTTGAGAAATCTAAAACATGTTTTGATTTTAAAATTGGTCAAAAGCGCAACGAGTAACAGCCTCCGACCTCTAAAACTGTCAGAGGCTCTGGAGGACACTGTGTTAGAGATAGAGGTCTAAAAATTTATGCAGTGACTCATTAACACATTGGCTATAATTTTGTACTTACATAACTTTTTGATTAGAGGTAGTCTTTATGCCGTAAATCTTGTTTCAAAATTCTTACTTTTTTGAAAAAACGGTGGCCAATTACTCGGCCACCAATCAATTTAGAGGTCCAATTTTTTTGGTGTAAGTAGATATTACCTCCTTCTACAACTTTGTTTTTTTTACTTTTCTCTCAGAGCATTTAAAATATAAATTACAAACCATAACCTAACATAACCTAACTCAATCAATCAATCACACACCTAAAATGTAAAAAGTACAAAAAAAAATTTTTTTTCAAATATTTTCTAAATTCTATGAAACATAAAAAAAGTGAAAAAATAACTTTTTAAAATTTTTTTTCGATGGCCAAATTTTCGGCCACTGCTTGTCTGACGGCCAAAATATTCACGAAAATGGAAAGCCATTAATCTCCTTAACAACTTTTGTTCCCATGGTTTCAACCTCAGACCACTCTAAATTGTTTCTGAATAACTTTTATAAAATTGTTAAAATTGAAGCTGTTTGTGTATATTTCACAGCTTAGAAAATCTATAACATCTATTTACATGGTAACTGATGGAAATGCAATATCCTCCACAAATAATTTTAACTTGGATATTAAAAACATAGTTCAGATCCCCAATGTCCCAAACTCCAAAACCCTCTCTTCATGGTGCGAAACTGGGTTTATTGTTGACATTTTCAGACACCTCTTTCCCGACAGTAGAACCTTCAGTCACGTCCCATTTAATAAAAATGATCACTCAAGATCAAGGATCAATCACTTTCTCTGCTCCCCAAACTTCGTTAGATCTTTTGCAAATTTAACTTATCTACCTATCACCACCAAACTCTTCGATCACAAAGGTGTCCTTTGAAATTTGATATTTTTTTCCAAAAACAGAGGGTCTGAGGAGGTCGGCCCGGCGTCTAAGACTAGGTTTCAGACTCTTAGATTCTACCCGGGTTGTTTCTACCAACAAGGAGTATTTAATATTTATTTATATCTTCAAGAATGTAACAACCGAATAGTTGATCATGAATGTGACAGCCGAATATTTGAAAAATAAATTAAAGATTAAACTGTAATTAAATGGACTTTGGACATCATTTAAAGGGATTAAAAGGATTCATAGCGGTACTTTATAAAACTTTGACGGATCAAGACTCCTATTTCAAAAACGCTTGTATATGTTGATACCAATTCTTATGCAAGCTATTTTTAAAGAAAATTAATATTTTTATTCCTATTTTTTTTAACTGCGTTGGACAGTGGACACTACAGTTTCTCTGTATAGTGTTCTTACAATTATTAACGAGAATAACACGGATTTCTCCGCTGTCGATGATCAGACAAAGATTTAAAGGATATCATTGTGAACCTGGCATACCACTTTTTAAATGAAGGGTCTCTTTAATACGTATCTGCAGTCCTTATAAGTAATTCATCTTTCCTCCGAAATTTATTAATTTTCCCACAAATCTTCTCAGCATATTGAGAGTCGTCTAGGAACATGATTTTACAGGAATATATATAATTTATTATACCCCTACATATCTTCAACCAAGATAAATTACACCTTTAATCCAATCTTTTTAGTAAGAAGGTCGTAGTTGTATCCAAAATTATTTTGTAAACGTCGTTTTTGTCCAGATTTATACTTGAATAAGCTTGTTTTAGGTTTATGTTTACTAATAGCTGGAGCTGCAAACTGTGGACCGGATAGTATTGTAGCCGGAAGTATTTCAATGGAGGTATGGAACGACTGTCGTTTCTCGATTGGTTTTGATCAAATTTCACGTTACCCAGATTAATAAGTATGCATTAAAAGACTTTATTCATTAAATAAGACAAGATTTTAAAAAAATCCATTAACTAATATGGTTGATAACGTATAAACATAGATTCCACAAGGGAATTAATAAATCTAATATTTAGATATTTTCAGGTCGGAGATAGAGAAGGGAAAGGGAGAGGAGCAGCTGTGACAAGTCTTGTGAACGGAGTCGGACACTTTGGAAGTATGATTGAAGGACCCCTTGTTGGTTTAGTTTGGGGAGTCCATGGTTGGAACGGAGTAATGATGCTCGCCTTGTTTACAACCCTACTGGGCACCCTCGCAGCAATCAGAGCACATGATATTGACAAATCAGAAAGAAGATCTCTGCCTTTTATATCTTAAGCATAAATTCTTAATTTTATCTTTCAGAACCGGAAAAACAATACTCTCCATATCATACGTGTAAACTGTAAGGTTATGATATTTTGTTTTAAAAAGCCTTTATTGTACACAATGACCTAATTCGGTCAATTTTTATTTGACTGTGTTATTATTTAATTCATGTTTGAGTAACCTTAATTTGTATATAAACATAGAACTATTCGTTAAATTGTATTATGATTCAATAATTTGTTTTATAAAAAAAAATATTTCTGATGTGATTTTAAATCTGATCGTTCTAGTTTAATAACGAATTTATAATGACACTCACCATCGATATTAATTATCAAAATAAATTTTTCTAATTTTATTTTTATTTCCTAGGATTAGTTGATATTTTGATTATTAAAACGTAGTAAAGATTGCATAGTTTTAATCCAAAACCTAATCAATCGTCCACGAGAGTAAAGAATAATGGATTGTTTGAATGCACAGAGATCCCGAGCAATGCAAATTATACACCAACCTTCAAAACCGGATTGACAAAAGTTTCCTAACGCCTTAGCATTTTTGTAGCCCTACACAGTGTCATACATTTTAGAATTACGACACGTTTATTTCTAGTATTAGTTTAAAACGAGTAATGACTAAATAATTATAGATTTTTGCGTAAGATCGTGAGCATTTCGGTTTGCAGATAATGAACTAAAACATCGATACCTCAGTTTTGTTCCTTAATAAAACAATTTGCTTCTCTAGTACATAGCACTTTAATATTTCAGCGTATATGTTTACATGCGGTACACAATATACTTCGTGAGGTACGATGGTTAACATTTTTATTTAAGGAAGGAAAAGTTTTGCCCTAAGGTAGTAGGATAATATACTGTAAAAAGACCCTACTACATTAAATAGAACCGTTCTAAATGTAAAATAATAAAACAGGAAAACCTCCAGTACAAGTAAATAGAATGTCTACATCCCAAGGGGCACAACTATAATTGTGATATAAGATCAGGCATGAATATGCAGACGTTCCTCAAGTGTAAATTTTTAAAGTGTTCTTGATATAAAAATGTAACTTTTCAATTTATGAGAGAGGACACCGCCTTAGCCCTCTCCCTTTGTTGTACCTTTTAAAACATCTGTAAAGGAATAAACTGATTTTCCACAGTTTGCAGCAGTGTCATTCCCCTCTGGACAGAAACTTCAGAGCATAAAATTGTTTATGAGCAGTTCAAGGATTATTTGAGGAATCTGACAAAACAACGTTAACATCTAAACACCCAATAGTTGAACTGAGGAACAAAGTCTCTTTCCATGGAGTGTCGAGATTTTTAACACATTCTTTTAATTGATTTTTATTTTATAAGACAAAGAATATAATTTATATAATGACATCTAATCATTTTTTATTTAAAAAAAAACGTGGCGGTTGCAAGAGGACAGTGCCCAACCCTTGGACTTGTAAAGAGCTCCCTAAAATCTGTTCCCCTTTTTAACCTGGAAAAATACCATTAAAATATAATGAATCCCATGTATTTGCCTCCTCTCTAGTCCTCATAGTATTGTTAAACACCCACTTAAACTAAAGGGAAAATAGACATTTTTAATTCAATATTTCTTTATTATAAACACTTTTTTAATTGGTAAAAGTTTTTAGGACCAAAAATTAAACCCACATAGAATACGGAAACATTTCGGTGCAAAATGTTAAATGTTGTGAACCAGTGTCACACCAAAAATGGCAATTAGGAATATAAAAAACATTATAAAGATCGTTTTGATCTTCCTGATTAAGTACAAAAAATCGATTACTTCATTTAAAATCTTTCCAAAATTTAGTCCACCTTCTTTGTGCATCTATATATAAATTTGGCTTGTCTGTTTGTTTGTTTGTATCCAATAAACGTCAAAACGGCTGAACCGATCGGGCCCAAATTTTTTGTGGGACATCTAGGGACCCCAGGGAAGGTTTATGAATGATTGAAATTTTAAATTTTTGTCTCCATCAAAATTCGATCTTCATTAAATTTTTGAAAATTTTGAAAATCCACGAAATTTTTTGTGAAAATCCGCGAATTATTTTTGTTTTGTTTTACGATGTACACAAAGAGAACATGTTCACAATTAATTTAGAAGATGGGCGCGAAGCGCCCTATAAGGCTTGTATCTTAAAAGTTAAACAGCTATGGTATGCTCAGTGAATTTTGGTTTTTATATTATTAATTACAAATCAAAATAGAATTCATTTCTTAAAGGTCTAAAAAGGCATGCATCATTCTTGAAATGCCCGGACTAAGGATATTTGATCAATTTTGTGGCAAAAATCACACTTCTTCATCTACTTATTTCCATGTTATACCCCCCCCCCCCTCTAATACTAAAGAGTTCTACTAGAACTACAGTTTCTTATATGTTAGAGAGGAATTTAGAAAAATTCTTCGGTATGAATTTTTTCACTCCTTTTCAGCCTGAAAGGGAGTTCAAAGTGTACAAATCATGTAAATGTTCACTAATTATATGCAGTAGAGTACACAAATACAATATTTTCCCTTGACTATCCATTTCAATTTCGAATTTTTTTAAGGTGTTAAATAAACTTAATAAAATGAATTAGGTGAATAAAAAACATCATTTGATTGATAGTAATAACGGAAAATCATCGTTTGTAAAGTGAAAGGCATAGAGTCTATGTCAAATGATCATTGGTCAGTTATGAAACCAGCCTATTTCATAATTCGGTTTTTTTTAATAGTAATTTTAGATTTTCTATAAAATGATGTTCCAGGGCCCTAAAGGCTATATAGCACAAATATGTGAAGTACACCAGGCAATAAGGAAACAGTACAACAAAATGGCCGTTTTACACTTTTTTCTAGTAAATTCCCCTCCTTTGCATGAAATAGACTGTTTCTTTCATTTTAAATTTTATATTTCTATAACTGCCGAAAGTATTCTACTGAATAAAAGGTTCCTTCACTTTTTAAAACTGAAGTTTATTAAAACCGTAAAGTAAAATTTGCATATAGCAAAGGATATACACTGAACCAATAAAACAGTAAAAAAGATGAAAATTTTCCCGCAAACGAACCCTTTATTGTTCAAAAAAATGTGAATATTGCATTGAAACAAAACAAATTCCATTTTTGTAGAATTTAAAGTCTCAAAGCTAAAATGAAAAAGCCATAAAGCTGATGATGTGTTACCAAGTTTTTATTTTTGGTGAAATAAGATTTTAAAATATTTTTAAAATATCTTCTGTAAGCAGCAGAATATTTTCCTGATGTACTCTTTGTATAATTTGTATAATTTGAGTAGCTTGAATTATGACTATGACAATGTCTAGGGATGTTAAACTTTCCGTTAATCCAATGTTGGCTGAAAATTCCCCCACTTTATGTTCTGTTTTGAACACACCTATATAGATTTAAGTTGACCGGACCCTCCCGCGCCTACATAAACTAATACTGGGAATCTATTCTATATATCTTCTAACTGAGTATCTATCTATCATTGTAATTCCAGGCATTGTTTAACCATTCCTATTGTTTTTAATCAATCAATCTTTTAATGTAATATCATATCTATATGTATATATCATAAAATATAAGTAGACCCCCTGTCCTTTATACTACTGAGTTGACCCCTAGTGTGAGACAATATGCCACTGTCCCCGGCTGTTTAGGTCAAACTATACCTAACTAAAGCTGACCAGTAGCGAGGTTCTACTCGGGATAGAAAGAGATCTATATTCAGGTACCAGGTATGCAGCTACCTCAGATATTTAGTTAAATGCCAGGTGTTAACGAGATATTTAGAAATAACAAAAATACTTCTTTTTACTCCGCATTGTTTAGCTGAGTCTAGAATACCAAACTAATCTCGCAAGATTCAAACAAATCTTTTAAATGCATTGAGTTGTAAAAAATACTGATTCATTATTTTGATTTTTCAATTAAAGCTTTCCTCATCCTGAAAGAGATTGTTCTTAAAAAGTTAAAAAATGTATTGGTACAATATTCATTTCTTAATTTGATGTTAATGTAAAAAAATTGTTTCCGCGTCTTCTTCAGAAAAAGCCGAAAAAGAGGGTCCATGGAGAAATTAATAAAAGTGCAATTTAAGCTTACTGATTTTATTCAATGAGGTGTGAATAGATTTTATTTTTCAGCCGCTTTCGTATACATAAATACATTGAAGACGAATTTCGATTTCGATTTTTTATTCCTATCAAGCTTTTTAACAACATGACCATACACATAAATATAGACAAAAAAGCTTCCAATTTATATTTTTATTGTATGCTTGTAAAACTTGTATTTTGACCAAAGCTTGTTAGAAATCAAATTTAAAAGTCGTTTTGATTGCATTGATATAAAGGTCGAACTCTGTATTTATAATCTAAAGTTAAATATTTCAACAACACTCCCTGTTTTATTGTTTTAACGTTATAAATCTATGGACCATGGTGAACAAATTTTACATATAAGATTACAATTAAAATAAGTCAACAAATTGATTCTTCTTTTCCTTTAATTGATTAAAATTTATCTTTTTTAACATTAAATTTTAAAAAAAATGACAAAATTAGCACAATTGATCATTTTTAATAAGTAACTCTAGTTTCGGCCTGTTAAAAAATTTAATTTTATTTGATGATTTTTTTAAAAAAAACTTTTGACAAAGTAACGGCTAAGTTTTCACTGATTTTTCATTAAGTTTCTAGAATTTAGATCTGAACCTGGAAGAATCGTGAGATCTTAGATTTAAACTTTTCTCACCTTTCACCTTCGCACGTAAAATTCAAAAATACAATTCACAACTTTTACTTTTTATAAATGCAAATTCAAACTGCGCATTTGTGATAACTTTTATCGGACTTTATTCATTAGTGTTTATCAATTAATTTGTTTTCAGAAAACAAAAGAACAGAATGGACGCGATAAGAAAGAAAATGCAGAGCTTAAAGGAAAAATTCAATAAAAAATTAAACGATAAAAATGAAGTGATGATTCACTCATGAGACTGGTCCTAGAAGTTGGGCTTAGTTGATATTATACAAAACAATGTATTGCTGACACTCCCAGTTTTGTTCCTTTGCTTTTCTAAAGCTTCATAAAAATTTCGCCGATTTCCTGCCCCCCCCCCCCCTCTACAACCATCTTCTAGTTGAACCTTACGTAACAAATTCGTTATATTGAAGACAACTTTAGGGAGAGACAGACGGACTCTTTGCAACCATTCAGCGTTTCGAGGACGCAACGAAGGAGAGCAATAGACTAGCAGATCAGGTAATATAGCTAGGTACAATTTAGACTAGACTAATCTTTGTATTTAGACTGTACATTCGTAAATTTATAGACTGCACTGTAAGTAAATTTTAAAGCAATAAGTTATAGATATCATGCCCCAACTTTAGCTTTAAAATCAAAATCTTGAAAATATCCGTTTTATAAATTATACGGCTGTCATTTTTCTCTTTTCTTTATTTTGGTTCTAATAAACCGTTATATCTTTTGGTCAGACATAGTTTTTTATCCGTTTTACTTTATACTGCCCCATGTGGATTTAAAGGTTTTACTTTATACTGCCCCACGTGGATTTAAAGGTTTTACTTTATACTGCCCCACGTGGATTTAAAGGTTTTACTTTATACTGCCCCACGTGGATTTAAAGGTTTTACTTTATACTTCCCCACTTGGATTTAAGGTTCTGCCAATATTCCAGAAAACTGTGACTTTCGATCACAATTTGTCGGCAAATAATTTTGAATGATAAAGAAAAGAACGAACTAATCCGTAAATTAAAAGATTGTTGCCTTATAGACCATAACACGATTAATAAAAGAAACCGAATATGTTCTCACTCTGGTAAGTCCGGGGTGACCCCGTTTGAGTTATATCTATAATGCATCTAAATATATATAAAGTAGTAATCTATGTTTGTCTTACATTTCTTTGGATGTCTTATCATAACTCGCGAATTTCTTACCAATTTGCCTCAAATTGATTGTCAAGTACGCTTTTTTATCTTAGAAAACATGTCAACTAATGTGAGAAAATTTTGTTTTCCTTGTTATATTTGACACTTGTGATGTCGTGTATATTTGGTCCACTTTTGCCACCTATTGAACTTGATAATTTATTTGATTTGCCTCAAATTTCGATTGAGGAAATGTTCTCCACCATGGTTTAAAAGTTCTAAGTTGAGTATGTTGACTTTAATAGCAAAAGTTTAGTTTACAGGAAAAGGTGGGTTCCCAAGCTAGTATATGTAATTATTTATATCTATATATATAAAGTAGTAATCTCTGTTAGTTTGCTTGTATGTCCGATCATAACTTAGGAACCCCTCGACCGATTTGTCTGACATTTTGATCGGGGAACTAGGTAGAACCAGGGGAATGTTCTTAGTTTAAAGATTCTAAGTTGAGTGTGTTGACTATTGCAGAGAAAAATTAATATCCCGGAAAAACTGGGTTCCTTATTAGTAATTTCTAGTTTGGTGTTTGTTTCGTATTTTGATCCTACCTCAGGAACCCCTTGACCGATATGACCCAAAATTTTATTGGGGAACTTAGATCCACGGAAATGTTTATAGCTAGCTCTGTGTTACCATCCATCACACACAAATATCAAAATTATAGTATATACACATTTTAAAATATCAGCCAAAGGAATTGAGTCTTTGCCACAAGCTCAAATTTTCTTTGCCCTTTATCTTTGTAATAAATATAAATATTTTCACTCTTTCCCTTTTAATACTTTTACCACTTAAATATGTAAAATTATAGTTTTTAACTATTACCACGGCAATCAGAAGATGGAGATGAGATGAGATAATGAGGTGGGATGAGGTGGGATGAGGTGGGATAAGGTGGGATGAGGTTGGATGAGTTGGGATAAGGTGGGATGAGGTGGGATGAGGTGGGATAAGGTGGGATGAGGTGGGGATAAGGTGGGATGAGGTGGGATGAGGTGGGATAAGGTGGGATGAGGTGGGGATAAGGTGGGATGAGGTGGGATGAGTTAGGATGAGGTGGGATGAGTAAGGATGAGGTGGGATGAGTTGGTATGAGGTGGGATGAGGTGGGATAAGGTGGGATAAGGTGGGATAAGGTGGGATAAGGTGGGATGAGGTGGGATGAGTTGGGATGAGGTAGGATGAGGTAGTTTGAGGTGGGATGAGGTGGGATGAGTTGGGATGAGGTAGTTTGAGGTGGGATGAGGTAGTTTGAGGTGGGATAAGGTGGGATAAGGTGGTATGAGGTAGGATGAGGTGGGATAAGGTAGGATGAGGTATGATGAGGTAGGATAAGGCGGAATAAGGTGGGATTAGTTGGAATGAGGTGGGATGAGGTATTTTAATAAAAGATTAAAAATAGATTTTGATATATGTGAGACCTCATAGATTTGTGTTGAGCCACCTGAAAGCCTAAAATCCCTGAATGTTGGTCAGACTCAGATTACAGATTACAGATTACTCGGTTAAATATAAACAATGTTTATTTAAAATTTGACTTGATTTCATGTTCATGTTCATATAGAACTGTGGTGGGAAATCTTGTATTGTGCATATCGAGATCAATTTCACCAAATTTTCCAGCTCGTGATCATTTGTTAAAAGAAAATAAATACTTTGAATAGGGCTCAGTGCTCACTCTGTTTCAATGTATTTAGTATGTAATATTTCAAGTTCTCAGCTTTCCAAACACTAAAAATATTTATAAAATTTCACGCTAGATTTAAAATAACCTTCATTCTACCCTGTCCAAGTATGTATCGGGGAGGNGGGGTTACTTATAAGTATTGGGACAAAGAAAGGCCGGAGGCTGTAAACAGTTGAAGGTAAAAATCGCCATTTTGAGAAGTTTGATGGTTAACATTAATCCTTTCAGTTCTACGATGTACTACATATCATAGTTCATGTAGAATTTTTTAATATTATTTGTCATATGTCTTCTCTTTTGGATGGTTAGGTTGGATGAGGTCAAAAGAGATACTAAAGTTAGATATATGTCAGACGCACAAACTCAAACTTTCAATTTCTATATTAAAAACAAAATATGTAAAAAACTTTTAAACTTTTAGATTTTTTTCAGGTATACACATATTTAAGTTTCAATTATAACTATACATTCTGTTAAATCAAATAACCTAAGTTTGAAATATCAAAAGTTTACACCATCTGGCTGCAAAGATATAGAGACTAGAAAATATGAGGGCGAAGACTCAGTTCCTTTGAAATGTTTTGTCGGGCCCTGCAAGTTTTTAAGGACTTTATTTTAACACTTTTAGTAAATTGTTGATTTTATTTTTTTCCAAATATATTATGATATTAATATAGATAAGGTATAGACAATTATTAGGATATTTCCTATGTCCAAATGTCCAAATGAAAAAATATTGCCAAAACTGTAAAATGAACCAATGTCCAAATGAAAAAAAATATTGCCAAAATTGTTAAATGAACCAATGTCCAATCGTGCGAATTATCCAATTTTAAATTGTGTTCTTCAGAGAAATTGAAAAATTTAATTTTTCCTGGAATTTTAAACTTTAATATAACAATGTTCTATCTATTTTTATCTAGTTTTACCGACATATTTTTCAACAGGACAGATAAATAGAGAAGGGCAACTTACTAAACTAAACTGTATTTAAAGATTTAATACGGGAAAGTAAATGACCCTACCCCCTACCCGCCATGCATGTCTCTGATTTTCCTGTTTATTATTCCTGATTTCTTGGCTTCTAATCATATAAGTAATGAAACGTCAATTAAATATTTGAAGTAACATTTTTTCCTAACTAACTAGTAATTAATTCATCTCTTATTATTTCCGTCGCAGCATATTAAATTCATCGAATCCTGTTCACCCCCCACACCCCACCCTATCTCGTAAACCCAATTAGGGTTCCCTTCTTATCTATACATCCCTCAAAACTTGTGCGAAATCTGAGCCACATTCGTTAAAATTGCCTCTGGGGAATTTAAGCGAGTGCTAGAAATAGAATAAAAAACAGTTGAACCATTTCGATCATTTTAATAATGTACTGCATTGCATATATAGATAGATAGATAGATAGATATATTTGGGCTAAAATCACAATAAATAATTTTCAAATAAATGATTCTTTGAATTCACAATACTCTCTCTGCACGTAGTTCCCTAAGTCGCCTGGGCGTCGTGATGAATAGATTAAAATGTGAGTAATAATATTTTCTAAATTCATTGGATTTTTTACTTCCAATTCCTGATCAGAGATTATTTTACTATTACAGTTTAGGAAAATTATTGTATTATTTTACTATTACAGTTTAGGAAAATTATTGTATTATTTTACTATTACAGTTTAGGAAAATTATTGTATTGATTGGGATTTATCGACCCTATAACCATTTAATTCCCAGTTAAATTTTACTATTACAGTTTGGGAAAATTATTGTATTGATTGGGATTTATCGACCCTATAGCCATTGAATTCCCAGTTAAATTTTACTATTACAGTTTGGGAAAATTATTGTATTGATTGGGATTTATCGACCCTATAACCATTCAATTCCCAGTAAAATTTTACTTTTTCTTAATATATATTTGCGTAATAATAAATATCAGCATACATTTTTGTCAAATTGAAACAGTAAACGACTTTTTCCCCCTATACGCCTTCAATACGCCGACATAGTATTACTTGTACTACCTATTATCTTAATGAATAACTTACTGGGTGTCCAACTAAACACGATAGTTTATAAATATTAAAAATATTTTTAAGATTAGCTCTACCAGATGCAATACAAAATAAAAAAGCTCTTGTACATATGAACTGTGATTATTTTCTTATTTCTATATATGTAAATTTGTAATCACTGTACTTGTTTATCGTAAAACATGTATTGTATAGTGTATAATGTATGTATACTACATATACTATACACATGTATAGGTTTCTTAACGTAAAATAGTTCAAAAAGCTAAAATAAAATAAAAAACCCGACAAAGACTTTAAAGATTTATATCAGTATTTTTCAAGGCTGATGTCGATATCCGAGACTACGGAAAGAAAGTTCACAACCTTGAAATTGAGTTTGATGAGACGAATGATAAGCTGACCAAGGCCACCGAATCTCTAGAAGAGAAGGAAAAGCAGTTGAAAGAGGTCGAGGCCGATGTCGCTGCACTGGCTCGTAGGATCATGTTGATGGAGGAGGAGGCAAAAAAATCCGACGAAAACCTTGCCGGTACCATCACAAAGCTGGCTGTAACCTCAAAAGAGGCCGATAACATTCTGAAGAAGGTGAAGGTATTTGAATCTAAGTGCATGAACAACGAGGTGACTATCGAGGAGTATGATAAAAATCTCCGACAGACAACCAAGATGGCCTCAGATAACGAACAGAAGCTGGACGAATTAAGTCGAAAGCTTGGAGTCCAAGAGGATGAGCTAAGGCGTGCTATTGAGCGTGCTGAGCTGGCTGAAAAGAACCTAAAGAATATTGAAGATGAGCTGCAGTTGGTCGGAGAGAATATGAAGCAGCTTGAGATGTCTGCAGAGAAGGCTGTAGAGAGGGAGGAGAAACTTAAAGATAAAATTCTTTCAATCCAACATAAATACAAAGCTGCAGAGGGCAGGTGATATTACTTTTTATGTTCTTAACGTTAACGTTAGAATGATTAATAATTTTTTCTAGATCAACTAATGGTAAACCCAATATTTTAATTAGGCATGATAATACTATAAACAACTTTAAAATCAATAGATTTTGTCTTAAAAATTTGAACGACTAAAAGCAAACATTTTTCAATTGATAAATTGTTTTCAATTTATGACACATTGTAATTAACTTTAGCGGAGCTAAGTGAATACATTCTATGAAGAATGAGTTTAGTTTTCTTTATATTCTACTTTACTAGTAAAATTAAAATAACTTCTAAATTGCAAAAAACTGTATTTGCATCTGTTAAGGTTTGAGTATGGAGAGATGAATATAACCAAGTTGAACCAGAGAATTGATGATATTGAAGATGAGATCTACAGAGAGAAACTAAAGATTAAACGTTGTGCTGACGAGCTTGGTGACACTTTCGACGATATGCTGACTAATTACTAAACCTGGATTTGATCTGACCACAATAGTTTAACGTCAAATAAACTTTATAACTCTCTGTCTGATTTATATAGTTTCGTAAATCTTTTGTATTAAATACAATTTTGCACAAACAATATACATATTCCCAATCTTGATTGGAAAGTTCCATTATTTTTGGAATTCATTGACAGAGCTGTACTCCAAAACGCGGATTTAAGGTTACATAACCACTGATACAGAATCCTAACAGTAAAAATAATTCAAAGAAACATCATTGTGAATTATTATTTTATTGGAAATTACTTAGAAAACCCTGATTTTAAAAATAAGTTTTAGAATTTAATAAGTGATATCCTCAAATACTTTGATAATTTAAAAACTTAATTTGACACATTTTATAAATATTCTTCACCGAACCTCCCTCCAGACCCCACCCTTGCCCAACTTGCATCAATTTTGAAATTATGAAAGTGTGAATTTGGTTATAATCTCGAAAATTAAGAATAATTTATTGGATTAGAATATACAGTGTCCCATACAAAGAGAATAAAATATATATTAGAGGGGAATTTACTAGAAAAAAGTGTAAAACGGCCATTTTGTTGTGCTGTTTCCATACTGCAGGTGTACTTCACATATTTGTGCTATATAACCTTTTGGGCCCTGGAATATCATTTTATAGAAAATCTAAAATAATGTTAAAAGAAAACCAAAATATGAAATAGGCTGGTTTCATAATTGACCAATGATCATTTCACATAGACTCTATGCCTTTCACTTTACAAACGATGATTTTCCGTTATAACTATAAATCAAATGATGTTTTTTATTCACCTAATTCATTATAAAGTTTATTTAACAGCTTTAAAAGTTCGAAATTGAAAAGAATAGTCTAGGGAACATACTGTATTAATGTACTCTACTGCATATAATTTGTCAACATTTACATGATTTGTACACTTTGAACTCCCTTTCAGGCTGAAAGGGACTGAAAAAATTCATACCGAGAGATTCTCACAATTCCCCTCTAATATATATTCTATTCTCTATGGTCCCATATCATATTAGATAATCTCCAATCTTTAACGTCAAAATATGCACATAATACTCAAAAAATCTAGCATTTTCTAAGAAAAAATTCCTATTAGCTTTATTAAAATTTTAAAGATGATTAATTTTTTTTTTAATTTTCTGATTTGTCCCCCAAATCGAAATTTAGACCCATTGACGCGGTCTAATTTGATGTGGGACACCCTGTAGATGAGTAAATATCAAACAAATATTAATTTTTAAAATTCACTAGTTTTTTTTGCCATTTTCATGCTATTTACTGAACATTCATTCGATTATTATTCTTGGATGACTTATGCACGAAAGTCAAGAGTAAAAAAAGAGCATAATCACGTCAAACATAAGTAAATTGCACTTAAGATTGAAATCTGAAGAGGAAGTGTTCGCGAATACCCCCTTTCATTTTTTGCGAACACTTCTTTTGAATAATTTTAATCATAATTCCTGAAAGAACTATTGACAAGAACAAAAAAATTTTGAATTTCTAATATGTAAAACCAGAGAAATATAGAATTCTCATATATAAAATCAAAACCAGAGGAGATACAAGGGTACACAATTGTATATAGTAGTGTCGCATATGTTTAATTCTTATCCTTTTGTCTAGTTTATAGTTAAACGTAAAAATACATGTTTAATGTATTTGCCAAAAGTTTTAGCAAGTAAAATATAGTACAAAAGTTGCCCAACAATGATCGAAAAACCTTGTATAATAAATATTTTCTAGGAAATAACATCGTGGTTTTTACCATATTTTTATTTTAATACGACTTCTATTGCAATTATTTTTTTATTAGAAATTCTTCCTTCTCGAAAAAAATTCACATGTTTACATTGAAATATTGTCTGAAGTCAAGATTTATTTGTTTTGTTTTGACCTGAAAGATTTATTTTACCAAGCTCTAAAGCTTCTCCCGTTATTATTCATATTTTGATTATTGTCATTATTGTTGTTATTATTGTTGTTATTGTTGTTGTTATTGTTGTTAATGTTAATATTGAGATTGACCGCCAGCATTGCGTTGAGGAAGAGGAGAAGGAAGTTAATGAGACCAAACAAAGATCTCTTCTGCCGATGTAGGTTCCTGAATTAATACTTAAATCAGAAATAATTGTTTTAAAATATTTTCCACAATGTTATGTTGTTTTACGATAATTTATAAAATGTATAACAGTGCTTAGAATTCATTTGATCGTCAAGTCAAGTCCCTGGGATGCCCGGATCCGTAATATTTCTATTCTTTGGATCCATGGATCCGCAATATTTTAAGTCCCTGGATCCACGTATCTGTAATATTTTAAGTCCCTGGATCCACGGATCCGTAATATTTTAAGTCACTGGATCCACGTATCCATAATATTTAAAGTCACTGGAATCACGGATCAGTAATATTTTAAGTCCCTGGATCCACGTATCTGTAATATTTTAAGTCCCTGGATCCACGGATCCGTAATATTTTAAGTCACTGGATCCACGTATCCGTAATATTTTAAGTCCCCGAATCCACGGATTCGTAATATTTTAAGTCCCTGGATCCACGGATCCATAATATTTAAAGTCACTGGAATCACGGATCAGTAATATTTTAAGTCCCTGGATCCACGGATCCGTAATATTTTAAGTCCCTGGATCCACGGATTTGTAATATTTTAAGTCCCTGGATCCACGTATTTGTAATATTTTAAGTCCCTGGATTCACGGATCCGTAATATTTTAAGTCCATTTATCCACGAATCTGCAGTAAATATTTTAGGTCACTGGATCTACATATCCGTGATATTTTAAGTCCCTGGATCCACGGACCAAATACATAAAATTGTTGAAGTGTCCACTGACAAGAAATTATTAAAACCTTCCTGATCTCTTAATGGTAAATCACGCATCTGAATTCGGATTCATTAATAAGAGATTGGATCCTGGATCACAGTGCTGATGATGTTCTTTAGAGTTTAAAAATTGAATACTTAACATTTTTTAGTTACTCTGAAACATACCTTTTGAAATCATTTGCAAAGCAGAATAATTTTTAATCAAAAATACTTTTATGTTTTTAAACCTTATCTTTAGATCTCAATAGCTCTATTCTCACTTCTATTCTAGCTGAATATAATCTTGTGCACATGTTTTTCATAAAATTTGAAAGTAAATGTTTATATATTTATAAATATTGATTTTAAACATCTAATTGAATCAACAACAAAAAGACAGCTGAAGGTTTGTGTCAATTATTTTTCTGTTAGTGTACAGAGATTTTAATTGGGAAAGTTTGAAAAAAAGAAAGTTTAATGGTACTCATATTCTTGGATTTTGTATAAGCCAGTTGGCTGACAATTTTTAACAGTTGCGCTTCAAATCTATCCCAACTTTATTAACAGCTATTGTTTCAATTTTTTAAAACGTTGAATTTTCTTTAATTGAAAAGTTCGCAAAAATACTGTGAATGCACGAAAGAATATTGTGGCAACATTTTAATTATTTAAGTATCAATTACCTTGTTTCTTTAAAAAGTGTTTGAGTGTCCAGGTCAGATGGTATGTCTGATTCTGTAGTTGGGAGCCGAATGCTTGAATCAATTTCAGCCATTAAAACTTTTTCCGCCAAACTTGAGTCTATCTTTGACACCTCAGAAGGCATTCCCATGTCAATTTTTTGGTCATTTATTGTGTAATCCTTAGATGTAGAAGAAAATTTGTCTATGTTTGTCATTTTCTCTTGATCTAGAGAAAACATATGTTTCTTTGCATTGTTCTGCACTATTATAACACTAGGATTGTCTAACAACCTCTTTTTTAGATCGAATGTTTTGACTTGCGTGCAGTGTATTCTGAAAATACTCGAATAAATTATAAATAAAGGGTGTTTAAAAAAACACTTTACACTTTTTCCTCTCAGAGGCTTAATTTTTACCCTATCATAATGAAATTAATATCACAGTTTCTGTGAGGTGTAAGGATTATATAAAGAAAAAAATATTGGATTTGGTGAACCCTGCTCTGAATAAATGCGCTTTTTATCTTTTGGGGATGGAACTGATTAGCGGGAGAGCCTTTTCCCACCTTACAGCAGCTTCAGTTGACAGAGATTTTTCATTTCTTAACCTTGCAACCTTCATTTTTATTATGCCCCAATTACTCTCAATTATAGGCCGGACATTGTTAAACATGGTCTTATCAGCTTATATACAGTAATGGTCTCCGGCATCTGTTTCACCTTGTTGAAGGAGAAGTGAAGAAACTGGTTCTGCATTCGCCTGGAAATTGTGGGATACAGTATCCTCCTAATAGGTGTTGGGTCAGATTACCTTTACCCTGAACTTGTAATTTAGTAACTAACAAAGCTATTCAGGGTTTTAGGGTTTTATTGGATACCTTTGAACAGATTCTTGTCATTTTAAAGCCAGTTCTGGACCATTCTTAGCTTTGCAAATGCTTATTTTGCACGTAGGCTGATCAGTTCTATTTCCAAGAGACAAAGATTATTTATTTAAAGCAGGGTTAACCTAATCCGATAATTTTTTACCACGTTATTGTCCTAACATCTCAGAGACAGTGAATTAATTTCATTATGATCAGGTAAACATTGAACCTCTTGGGAGAAAAAAGCGTGAAGTATTTAGTTGTTTTAATTTACTTATTTTTAAATTATGGTTGTAAATCATATAATACAACAAAAATGTAGAAAAAACATTAATTCTAATTTTCTAATCCTTATATCTTTGCAAACGTATTCCTTTGATATTTTAAACTATGAATTCTGTTAAATAGATAAAGTATGAAAGTTTTACACTATCAAGTTGTAAAGCTATAAGGATTAGAACATCTAATTTTGTGGCGAGTTGAACCTTAAAAACTAAAACAAATTTTTACCTGGAAGAGAAGAAAAGAATTATTAAAATAGAAAAGAGAACCATCTTTTCTCTCTTTATATTTTTTCTATTCACTTTGCCTTTTTCTCTAGCCTCCCAATCTTCTTGAACCACCCTTTATGTAATTAGCTTTATTTAATCTCGTCCCTACTCAATAAAGCACTTGTAGCTCTGTAAGCACGATCTTCTTAGCCCTAATCTGCATTATATATTTAATCAAATATAAAGTTATTAAAGATGAAATTATGATTATGTATTAAAAATTGAAGCAAAGGAATTGAGTTTTTGCCACAAGCTCAAATTTTCTAATCCCTCTATCTTAGCAACTTGACGGTGTAAACCTTTTATATTTCAAAATTAGACTATTTAATATAACAGAATTTATAGTCTGAAATATCAGAGGTCTACAACATCAATTTGCAAAGATATAGTGATTATAAAATCAGAGTTGGTGTCAGAAACTCAATTCCTTTTATATCAATCAATTTACCTATAAATGTTCAATATATCTAAAGGATGGATGCACATCCAATCTCCAACTGCAAACCCAAACCCTAGCTTCGTTATCTTAACAAAAAGTTATGAGATGACCTGTATTGCTATATTAAAGGGACTGTAAGCGTAGTTTCAGGTGACCCTTCATGCGAAGATGGCAACACCTTTTTAATACGATACCCTTGAAAGCTTTGTCTCTCCAAGTATGAATTTTATTTTTTAACATTTTTTAACATTATGGTTAGAACTGATGAGGGTCAACCCAGACCGAAATATATTTTCAATAAAATGTGGAACTATACATTTACGTTATTTACTCTACAGAGGTTTGGTTTATATATATATATATATATATATGTTTTTGTTTCTTCTAACTGTTTATTTTCATTTGCAGTGACTTGAGCATTTCTTGTTTTTAAGAAATGAAGGAAAAGCTTACAGAGATAAACACTTTTTGAGTCAGAAAAACGAAGGTATCTTCCACATTTTTTATCAGAGGTTTAAGGGAGCCTTTGTAAATCGAGCATTGTCATCTTTGCATGCAGCTAGGGTCACTTGAAATAATGATTACTGTCCCTTTCTTCAAAACCACTAAAACAATTCAAATGTACATGACAGAGAAAACTCCACTGTCTCATAAGTTCTTTTTTTAATTGAGTAGCGGTCTTCATAATTCGTTTATTCCTAACCAACCTCTGAACGATGGTCCGCAGGTTCTGTCTTCTCCGGGTTTAAAAATAGACACAAAAGAAGTTTCATACAAGATGATTCTTCTTTTTCTCGATTATGAACTGTTCGTCCAGCATAGTTCCAGCCATTAAACCATGAACTAGATTTATTCCTTGAATATTGGGTTTCATCTGAAGATATCAAAACTGGGAATGATCGCTTTGCGTTCCCCATATTTTCAGCGTTAGCACTCTCGGAGATCTTAATATAATTTAATCAAGTAAAAACTCTTAATTTAAAATCTATTTTTGCTTACCTGGTTGTTATTGTTAACATTATCATTGTTATCGTTGTTATTGTTATTGTTGTTGTTGTTATCTATGTTCGTAATGACGTTGCTGACTGCTGTGGCAGCAACAACCATGAAAGTTAGAAACCCTGTGACAGAAAACACGCTCTCCTAACCAAAGATTTAGAATAATTAGACCTGTAAAGAGATTAAGTAAGTCTTTAAAGGGAGTGTTCGCGAAAAATGAAAGGGGGTAAAGGCTAAATGCGATAAAAAAGCGCTTTTGATCTCCACTAATCTTACTTCTATCTGTTGCGTCTATAAGGAGAAAATTGTTAAAGAAGTCTCATACCGAATAACATGGCGTCCATGCAAATTGAGAAAATTGCAACATACGACTTAGACCGTAAAAAAATCAATTTAATTTCAAACAGATCATTCCGACATTACAACCTATAGTCATCGATTATCTTTCTGCATTTATATATAGTTGATTTTTCATAATATGTTTTAATTGTTATGATCTGAGAAATACTTATAAAAACGTTTATTCCTGTTTCGAGGATTTTTGGTAATGAAGACGACATTTTCATATTTTCCAGGAATGTTCGAAAACAAGTTGTAAGTTAAATATTATTTTTAAAAAAATCAAAACTAGTATGAAATATTAAATATATACAAATGTGGCGAAAGATAATCGATGACTATAGGTTGTAATATCTGAATGATTTGTTTGATATTAATTTGATTTTTTACGGTCTAAGTCGTATGTTCCAACTTCCTCAATTTGTATGGACGCTACGCTCTTCGGTATGAGACGTCTTTATCAATTTTCTTCTTATAGACGCAACAGATAGAAGTAAGATTACTAGCGATCAAACGCGCTTTTTTTATCGCATTAAGCCTATACCCCCTTTCATTTTTCGTGAACACTCCCTTTAATGAAAGAGCATTTAAAACTATTTTTACAAGGAATACTTTTGAGAATTTCGTTGTTATTCTAAATTAATGTTTATGATCACGCATATCCTTCTAAACAGTTCTTGGATTTTAAAAGCTAACAGGAAAAGGGTCAAAATATAAATAACGACTACGTCTAGGCCCCCACTGCAAAGTTTGACTTAAAGAAGAGCACAATTAAGAAAGGTTGAAAGGGGTCATTAAAAATCACGTACAGTAAAACCCATAAATCTGTGGAACACTTATCAAATAAATTGGGTCTGTGTACACTGCACAATTTATGTTTTAATATTCATTTTACTAATTAAAAGCCGTCTTCTTATTCCACATTTTTAATAGCCCCTGTGTAGATAATATTCGCCAAGTTGACATATATTGAGACTAACATTTTCTCTATATATTAAGGTCGTTGAACCATGATTTGCAGATCGTTCTAATCATTACCTGTTGCTCTACACAAACTGGAGCTGGGGTTACAACTAAATATATAAAACTATGAAACATTTAATTTGATAATTCCGACAATAAACTAGGAACAAACTGAATCTTTAACATTTTTATGTACTGAAATATTAACTCGTTTTTTGTGTATTTTAATACATTTTTTTTTTAACTTTTAAAGTATAATTCATATTTAGAAAAGAGAAATTGCGACTTTTCATTATATTTATACGACTATTTCAATTCTATGACATTTATTTGAATATGTGTACGTTTGCAAATATATTATATTTGTATTATAATTTATAATAATTTACTTTTAATTGAAAATGTCAAGAATCAAGATCCTCGAGTGTTCACCTTTATATTTATGTCTTGATTTCTTGCTACCAGAGATAAGTTTAAGCTCGGAGAACGGGAGAAAAATGAATCCCAGGGCAAGAGTAATAATTCCGATATTCATCTCATTCTGGGCAAAAACTACAGTGAAACCCTTAATAACGAATACATCGGAAAAATTTATCAAATGTCGTCTTGAAAATTTTTCAATGAGTTTTATACTATATTACGTAAATCTCAGTATTTGCGAAAATAAATGAATAGCCATGAATATGCGAGAACAGTTTTAAAGAGTTCCATATAATCATTTAATTAAAAAACTAAATATCTGCAACATTCCATTATCAGAAATTTGATGAATTCTTTCCATGTATTCATTATAAAGGGTTTCACTGTATTTGCGTAAAGTGCATAGGTAGTAAAATTCATATATCTAAGGGAAGTTAAGGAATTTTGCTTTTAAAAGTAATAGATATAAATGTTCTTTGAAATTGATAAATTTGAAGTTTTAAAGTTTTTTTATATGAGGTGTGCTAAAGAAGGAATTTTTGACGTCCATAATACATGGTTTCCAAATGAAATCTATATGTTTATCAACTGGCTTACTTAATGTATCAGAATTATTTTAAAGATAAAGAATCATTTTGATAAAAGTTTTTCCCATCTTACATTGTAAAATTACAAACCTTTAAATTGTACAGTCGTGAGAGCTTATGTTGTACATGAAGGATATATTCAATTTGTAAACAAACAAAATCAGTTTATCTAGATTATCAACACCGTTCCCAAATCTCGCTTTAGCTGAAAAACAAGTTTAGATACATTTTAAAGGATCCCGAATTGAAAAAGAAACTAGCATAATTTGAAGATAAACTTGTTACGAACTATTTGGTTCTAAGTGCTCATACCATCTTTAGTTTTTATTTTCTCTTTTTAGTTTAGTTTGTTTTTTGATTTCCAAACTATGAAGAATATTTAAGGTATCTTCGGAAACCTGAATTGACTTAGAATATATAGAGAGGAATTTACTAGAAAAAAGTGTAAAACGGCCATTTTGTTGTACTGTTTCCATACTGCAGGTGTACTTCACATATGTTGGGCCCTGGAATATCATTTTATAGAAAATCTAAAATTATTGTTAAAAGAAAACCAAATTATGAAATAGGCTGGTTTCATAATTGCTCAATGATCATTTCACATAAACTCTATGCCTTTCACTGTACAAACGATGATTTTCCGTTATAACTATAAATCAAATGACGTTTTTATTCACCTAATTCATTATAAAGTTTATTTAACAGCTTTAAAAATTTCGAAATTGAAATGAATAGTCTAGGGAACATACTGTACTAATGTACTCTACTGCATATAATTTGTGAACATTTACATGATTTGTACACTTTGAACTCCCTTTCAGGCTGAAAGGGACTGAAAAAATCATACCGAGAGATTCTTTTAATTCCTCTCTATATATTCTATTCTCTATGACTTTATACCTGAACAGAGCCATTGGTATGCAGATAAAGAAAATTTATCCACAACTTCTCTTCTCCGTCTAGAGTTAGTTACTGTGATCATGAACACATTGTCATTATCATTGTTATCATTGTTGTTGTTGTTGTTATTGTTGTTGTTGTCGTTGTTGTTGTTATTGTTGTTGTTTATTGAATTTATTGCGTTTATCGCCGAAACTACGATATTAGTTGATATCCCTATAAATGTTAAGAAATCCAGAACTCCTCCCTAAAATTTTTCAATAAAATAATTAAAATTATTAATGATTAACTATTTCCAAAAAAATAGTTAAAACCAACAACTATTTTTGTATTAAAAACTGTTTAAAAAGAAAACCTGTGGACTTCCGCACTCGTCAGAGCTTAAATCAATTTTTTTGAAGTAACTATAATTACCTATACTATTTCAAAAACGTTTTATGATCAATCTTTTTTTAATGTATACATTTCATCTTTTCAATATAATCAGGACATGCAGGAGGAACTTGGCCATCTAGTTGATGCCATTGAAAAGAATTTTTTCATAATACTTCATAAATTCCTCCATGAAAATTGTTCTTTTTGTAAAGGGTTTCAAGTTAATTTGTTCAAAAAAGATTTCCTTAGTCTCGGCTGTTCTTGTAGTAAGTCCCAGGCTGGATAAGGTTTACTTGTCTCCAATTGAACTGCTGATGCTACCAATTCTTTATTTGGAAATCCGACGGAGCAAGATGCACTGGAAAAAAAGATAAAAATATAGATTTTTGTGAAGACGTTTTTTAACAAACCAGACGTGTAAAGAATATTTTAGTGCAGCTTTAGTATAAAGACACACTTTAAATAACTTATTTTTCGAATATGTTTAAAATATTTTCAAAAATCGACGTTAAATATCATTTAAGTTCATGTTTTATAATTATTTCAGTATAAATCTGTGTAAAGGAATGTTCAAATTAATTTTTAAGTTTAATAAGGTGTTTTTCTTTGAATTTTACACTTGATGAGTGTCATTAAATAAAAATAAACATCTGTAAAAAGGCAATTATTAGTTCAATTAAATTTGATCACTTTTTCAATCACGGTATAAAGTGGAGGGAGGGGGGGGGGAATGTCCCAAAGGGAAAATGGTGCTTTCTTATCTTTTTAATTACTGTCAAAGCCGACAGTATATAAAGATCCAGATAGCTATGACAATTTTGCATCAATTATTTTCAAAGTTAAAGATTAAGGAAGGATTTGAATCGGTAATTCAAATTTGAACTGCGCTTCGGTACACTGCTGAGTCCGGTTCATTTAAAAAATACCGGGCCGACATCTAACAAGCTAGAGCGAGCTGTACATATTATACCAGACAAAACGGGTTTGTACACCAAAGAACCGGTCCTTTCTAGGGAAATTAACGTGGGTAGGCAGTTCAAATTAATTAAATTCGGTCAATTGATGTTGTTAACCTTTAATATTTTAAATTTAAATTTTTTGATCTACCAGGATTCTTAGTTTGAAATATCTAAGAGGTCTAAGAAATTGGGTTGCAAGGATTTGAAAATCAGAGTTTGTGGCAAAGAATTAAATCCTTTTCTTATTTTCTTTTTATGCACACATTTTAGAATTACTAAGCGCTTGTTTAAAAGAAGTTATTGGAAAAATTCTGGTCAATTCTGTAAGAATCGCTTTTAAAAATAGCAAGATTTGACATTTTTTAGTAACGTACGGAATTCGGGCTCTCAAAGTTTAACTACCTTTCCCACAAATAAAATAATTCAAATAATTCACCCTAATTTCAGTATAAGTTAGCAATTTAAAGGTTTATCACGTTTTTTAATTTTTACTAAAACTAGATAAATATAAAATCATAAAAAAAAACATTTTCACTTAAAATTCGTTGTTGGTCAATATTTTGTCGATACTTAAGATAGAAAAATACTTTTGTTTTAGATAAAAATATAATAATATAAAATAAGACCTGTGTAATACTATATGATACTCAAGATAAAAATATAACAATATGAAATAAGACCTGTGTAATACTATAACTAGTATTGTGATACTCAAGATAAAAATATAACAATATGAAATAAGACCTGTGTAATACTATAACTAGTATTGTGATACCCAAGATAAAAATATAACAAAATGAAATAAGACCTGTGTAATACTATAACTAGTATTGTTAAGGATCTGAGAATCATTCTCAAACTAACCGTTCTTCCAGGTGACAAGGATAACAGTTTATATCCTTCAATATATCTTCTCGCAATACAAGGTTTCTTCCTACTTTTTCATACTTTTTCCTACATTTTTGGCCATTTCTCCTCTTTAAATTTGGCTTGTCTGTTTGTTTGTTTGTCAATTTGCATATAAAAAGTCAAAACGGATGAACCGATTGGGCCCAAATTTATAGGTGTAAAAGACAAGTTTGTTTAGATGTTACAGTTAGTTTTCACTAAAACGGTAAACTAGACAGGTATACTAGAATACAGTAGATGGTAAACTGGACAGGTATACTAGAATACAGTAGATGGTAAACTAGACAGGTATACTAGAATACAGTAGATGGTAAACTGGACAGGTATATTAGAATACAGTAGATTGTTAACCTACAGATGCTATATTACAGTTTTACAATTGAAGAGTGCAGAGATTAAAAGTGCGAATGGAGTTTTCAGGTTAGTCTGTACTCTACTAATCACATAATTTGAATAAGAATATTTCAATACATTTTTTTCACATTTAATTTTACTGCATTGTCGATACCCTAAAGAGATAAAAATAAGCAATTTTTAGTCACTGCACTTCTTAAACAATGTATGAAGTGTGGGCCAGGAGTAGTATTTAAAAAAGGTTTTTATGAGAATGTACAAACATGTGACATCTTGTAAATGTTGATTTTTTTTGTGATATTTATGATTGAAAATAAAATATAGATATAGAAAAATTATCACGGGAGGTTACTGAGTAATCAAAAATCCTGAAGCAAAAGTTATCAAAAAATACTGAGCAATATAAAGCCACTTAGTATCTATATTTTCTTTGTCAGTAACACGCGTACAAACTCAAACGACGTCTGTTAGAGGTTCCTTGGATCAAGGGGAGGAATGACCTAATAAAATATTATTCTTAGATAATAAGTTAGATAAGGTTAAAGAAATATAATTCACCAAATAAAAATGAATTATTTCAGAAAGTGGAAGATCAAGCTCCTGCTCTCCTCATGGTGTCATCATGGACTTCATGACCGTTATAGTTGCTGTAGTTGAGGTCAGTTTACCAGATAGTAGAGCTCAAGGAATATGTAGGAGATGTTAGGGAGGTCAGGAGATATAAAGGAGATTGCAGTGAATCAGGGGATATATAGGAGATGGTAGGGAGATCAAAGGATACATAGGAGATGTTAGGGAGGTCAGGGGATATATACGAGATGGTAGAGAGATCAAAGGATATATAGAAGATGGTAGGGAGGTCAGGGGATATATAGGAGATGGTAGGGAGATCAAAGGATATATAGGAGATGGTAGGGAGGTCAGGGGATATGTAGGAGATGGTAGGGAGATCAGGGGATATGTTTTAACTTTAATAATTTATTTTAATTAAATTTTACAATATTTTTAAGTATTTATATGATATTAGATGAAAATTTTTTGAGATTTCTATATTACTTGTTCTTCATTTTCTTCATGTTCGTAGATCTTTCATACATCTTTGAATCATATATCGGCTAATTTTGAAAAAAAGAGATGTCCTTGTAATTAACCACTTTACAAGAAAGAACTATTTTTAAAAAGATCTTGCTTTTTTCCAAACCCTGTATCCATTTGAACTAGCTGACTGGCTTTCTTTTCTCGGGGCTTCTATATTGAATTCTTGGGGGCACAGGGGGGGGGGGGATGAGGGGATATATATATATATATATAGGTGTAAAACAATAGGCAAGCATCAGTGATAATAGACTTTTAGTCTTGTTGATTAATTTACCAATTGATTGATGGAATGGATTGGACTTGTTGATTTGTTGATTAATTTGCCAATTTTTTGATTGATTGGGCTTGTTGATTTATTGATTGTTCTCCTTAACTCAAACACAGACAGTTGCAAATCTACATGAAAATCTGTATATTTCAAACCTACAATAGAATGTAGGTATAATAAATTAAATGACAATGGTAATAAAATTAAATGACAATGTTAATAAAATAAAATGACAATGTTAATAAAATTAAATGACAATGTTAATAAAATTGAATGACAATGTTAATAAAATTAAATGACAATGTTAATACAATTAAATGACAATGTTAATAAAATTAAATGACAATGTTAATAAAATTAATTGACAATGTTAATAAAATTAAATGACAATGTTGATAAAATTGAATATTCAGAGTAGAAAGGAGTGATTAAGGATTTGAGGGTTTGATAATAGAATAGTTTTAAACATTTGTAAACACTTCTGAAATATAAACCCAGCAAAATTTTTGATTGCAAAGTTATTTATGGATTTGATCTTTCACTTAGTAAAACGTTTCACTGTTTAGATTTTCCTTTGTCTGGGTAGAGAGGTAGAGTCGGAGAAATTGTTTAGTTTGGGTTTGGGGTTGGTAAAGACGACATGATGTGAGAAGGGGGTTAGGAGATGGGTTTATGGTCAAAAATAGGAGATATCACATAAGGTCATGGAGGATTTAGAAGAGAAGGAGTTCAGGGGAAAAAGAGGATATCGGGAGATGTGGAGTTTAGGGGATCTGTCACCATGGACTAACCAGGGCATGATGAGTTCGGTTTCTTCGACTTAAATTCAATCGCATTTTGACCTATAACTTAAAATCTTTAAACTTACGGAGTTGTCTATTCACACTTTTCCCTGTAAAACGATTTCGCCTACAAATAAGTGTAAAAATGAAAAAGTGAAAAATTTATGTTTAACAGGTCAAATTGATATCGAAAGTAACAGCTTACTAGATCTGTAAAATCCGCGTGATATAGGAGATGGTAGTGGAGGTCCAGGGAATATGTAAGAGATGGTAGAGGAGGTCAAGGGAATATGAAGGAGATGGTAGAGGAGGTCAAGGGAATATGTAAGAGATGGTAGAGGAGGTCAAGGGAATATGTAGGAGGTTATAGAGGAGGTCAAGGGAATATGAAGGAGATGGTAGAGGAGGTCAAGGGAAAATGTATGAAATGGTAGAGGAGGTCAAGGGAATATGAAGGAGATGGTAGAGGAGGTCAAGGGAATACATAGGAGATGGTAAAGGAGGTCAAAGGATTATATAGGAGATGGTTGAGGAGGTCAAGAGAATATGTAGAAGATGGTAGAGGAGGTCAAGGGAATATATACGAAATGGTAGAGGAGGTCAAGGGATCATATAGGAGATGGTAGAGGAGGTCAGAATAATATGTAGAAGATGGTAGAGGAGGTCAAGGTATTCTGTAAGATATGGTAGAGGAGGTCAAGGGAACATTCTGGAGATGGTAGAGGAGGTCAAGACAATATGTAGGAATACTAGAGGAGGTCAAAGGAATAAGTAGGAAATGGTAGAGGAGGTTAAGGGAATATGTAGGAAATGGTAAAGGAGGTCAAAGAATATACGTACAAAAGATAGAAGAGGAAGTCAGGGGATATAAAAAAGATAGTAGAGAAAGTATATTAAAGAAAATTAGGAGCTTATAAGGTCTTTAGTCACACTATCTACTAGGCACTGGTGCAGTTCTCAACACATTCTTTTTTAGATTTTGATAAGTATCACTGCCGGTATGAAAAGTGACAATAATAATAATAACAATAACAACAATAACAACAACAATAACAACAACAACAACAACTTGAACTTTAACGATGATAACATCAACGTGATGTCGATGGGAATGGCAAATATGGGAGGAGGAAGACATTTGAAAACAGGTTTAAAGAAAAATGTTATTTTAGAAAAATAATTTCTATAATAAGAATAAAGTTAGAAAGGCAAGAAAATATTTATTACAATATTTTTGGTGATTTCTAGAATATCTGGACAAACGGAGAAGAGAAGATGACTTCAAGTTAGAGGATAAAGACCCTCTGGATAATTTCATGGGGTAAGTATGACATTTCTGTTGTTGCATGAATCATTTTTAGTAAATGATGGTCACGGATATGAGATATATTAATAAGATCTTATTTATTCCAGGATGATGAGAACCCTGTACTCATACAAGTTTATTCAACACTTTATTGTTCCAATTGTCAAGCATAAAGATAGTGAAGAAAAATACAAATAAATTACAAATACCTCCGGAAAATATACTATTTGAATAAATACTATTACTAAAAGTTTTATGCACTCGTTTTGTACAATTTGTGACCAGTTTATCATATTGTCATAAGCTATGTATTCGACTTTTAGTAGATCTAAGTAAACATGATTTAAGAACTGTTTTATGTAAAAATCTTGAATCTTTTGCACAAGATTGTAATGTACAATCTAGAAATCTAAACAAGTTTTGTGTGAAACAAAATATGATATACAATCATATTCCTTTAGACCAAGAATGGAAATTACCAATTCTTCATGAATTACTTAAAGTTAAAGAAGATAATTTTGTTCTAAACAATTTTGATGATAATGAGATCGCAACCATGATCAACTTTTTATGTTCCGACTAGAAACTATATTTATATATTATACTTTATTCTTGTTTTTGTCTTATTATACTGTACCATTTTACCTTTGTGTACGAAATAAATCTATAATAATCTATATATAAATTTGGCTTGTCTGTCTTGGTGTTTGTCTGTTTGTTTGTTTGTTTGTTTGTATCCATTAAACGTTAAAACGGCTGAACCGATCGGGCCCAAATTTTTTGTGGGACATCTAGGAACCCCAGGGAAGGTTTATGAATGATTGAAATTTTAAAAATTTGTGTTTTAAGGTTTTTAATTTTGTAAAAAAAATTAAATTTTTGAAAATCCACGAATTTTTTTTTAAAAATCCGCAAAAAATTTTTCATCGTTGTTTTAAAATGTAAACAAAAAGAACATGTTCACAATTAAAATAGAAGATCGGCGCGAAGCGCCCTAAAAGCCTAGAAAGAAGGGCGCGAAGCGCCTTGAATTTCTAGTAATAATAAAAATAGTTACTAGGACTGAGTCCTAAGGGTGGATAGGATCCGCTCAAACAACACTGCTTTGGTGGGCAGCTCACGGCTTATCATTGCTCACAGCTGGCTCATCAATATTCAAAACATTAAAAAAAATTCCATTTTAAAACAGAAACCTTATAAAAAGCATTTAATCATCTTATTATATTCTGGCCCAACTCTAAAACAGAATTCAACCCCATGTAATACGAAACTGTGCAAAATTCAAAAATCACATTCTATCTTTGCAACCTGTTAGTGTAACTCTTTGATGTTTCAAACTTAGATTATTTGATCAAACAGAATTTATAGTTTGAAATATAAAAGGTCTACAACATTAGGTTACAAAGACATAGGGATGAAAATATCTGAATTTGTAATAAAAACTTTTTCCTTTAATTCTTGTAGGTATACGTTAGTTATACTTTCAGATATTCCACAGTACGGATAAAATGTTTGAAAAATGTTTTTCAACTAAATTTCTTTTCTAGTATCTTGCCTCAATTAAAATTCAAAAACCGCATGAGAAAGATTTATTTACTCTAAAGTACTGAAAACTTTTATATTTAACCTAATTGAAAAGGTATATTTTAAGAATAAAGTTTCATAAATACTGACTGCTCCGTTTTCACAAAGAGATAATGTCCGGCCTTGTGCAGGATATCCTCTAACGCAATGTAGTTGTACAACAGGGTGTTCACCACAGATCTGGACTCGCCCGCCATCTTACCATCCCAGGCGGCCAGGGCTCGGCCTCGGTCAAGGTTTTCTTCGGGATCTGCTACTTTCGAAAGATAAGGATCATCTCCAAGCTGTTCTCTGGTGACATGGTAAGTAACCCATGTATTTTGAATCTCTACTGCCCAAGTAGACATGTTGCTGACTATCTTGAGAATGGTCAAGAATTGTGCGGCAGGAGAGTTCCAGGATTCAGATGGATGTTCATGAATATACTCATTCTTATCAAGCATGGACAGCATGTTGGATACTCCAATCCTGACATTAGAAAGATCGTCCTGAAACCCGTGAATAATTGGCTCCGCTTGTGAGTACATATCTGCAATAACCGGGTTGGTCAACAAATTTCCATTTACATCAAATTGGACACAAAGTTTCCTCACCATTTCCCATTCAGGCTTGAAAGTTTCTTTCTCAAGGACAGCTTCAATTGCTGATCTCCGAGCTGTTATGTTCTTCAAAAGAGCAGCTATTGTTATTTCAAGCTCATCAAATATCTCCTTAGTCTCTGCTTTAGTCGTGCGTTTATCCTTCTTTTGGCCACCATCAAGTTGATCCAATGCTTCTAGAGAGGATAGAGTAAGTTTCTCAATTTTTTCCATAGGAGAATCACTGGATTTCTCTTTGTTATTGTTATTTGGTAAATTCGGCATTTTCTCATTTGCTTCTAGAAAATTCAGTTAAAAACTAAAAATTGCGGAATTTTCTTTATCATTTTCGCAGATTTCTCTGCGTATTGGTTTCAAGTTCATAATTTTAGATTAAATTCATTTTCTTCTTAAAAGAGAATAAGTTCTTTTCTATGTGATATTGCACTTAAATTTGCCATTCGCTAATAAGAAGGATATTTCTATATGGCATTTATTAGTTATTTTTGTTGTAAAAGTAATTTTTGTCTTTTCAAAGCCATGTAACTTGTTTTATGTGTTCCGACTGATTAAAGTTAGTATATTTGTAGACTTACGTATTTTATATAATTTATTATATTATGTTATTTATATTTGTCCGAATAAAATCAATCTCTATTTTATCGACCATGAATAATTAAACTAAGAAATCGGGAGGAGGTGCTTATTTGTTTGCTCGAGGTAAATTCTGAGAGGGTTTAGCTTGATAATGCAAGTAGATTTAACTGCATAAGAAACATTTCACACAAATGTGTAATCATTGAGTGAAATATTCTTAAAGATTTTAATTTCTATGAAACCCTAAATGATAGCCAAAGTGTAATTAAATGTTTTATTGGACTTAATTACTCCAAATCTTCGATATGAGTGATTAATTGATCTAATTAATTCAGTAATGACCACCTGTAGTAATGAATATAAATCGGTATCAAATCATTATTTTACTGTCTCAGTTCTTTACCTGGACCCCACTCACATAGAGTTATACTGGTAAGAAAGCAATTTCAGGGGACATTAGTTCCAAAACTAACACTTCCATTTCTAACACTGAGTGTTAGAAATGGGCACAAATTGGAAGACTGAGTATTTAGGATCCCGGCCCATATCCAGAGTAAAACTTGATAATAAAAACTATAACCAACATTTTATTATGTATGACGAGGACAAGAATTCCCAATTTAAAACTATTTTTTGGAGTCAAAATTATAATAGAAGTTCTTTTTATATTAAATCTCCTGACCATTTTCAAGAAAATATCAGGTTTTCCATTTTCGAACATATCCTGAATTTGAAACATTGTCGCGTTTTCGAGACAAACCCCACTTTCCCGTTTTTGTGTTCAATCCGCAATTCAGAACAAGACTCACTTTCATAACTTACAAAATAAATCACTTAAAGTTAAAATTATTTTATGAGAAATAAATTAACTGCTAAAATATTTCTAAAATTTTAATTTCCCTATTTTATTAAATGTGTGGCGTAGTTTTGTTCAACTCGCTTGAAAAAGATAACTTTGCAGATTTGGTTCATTTTTAACACTCAATGTTAGAAATATTTGAAACTAATTTCCCATGAATTTAAAGGAATTGAATACTAGGCCCAAACTGTAATTTTAACTCCTGATGTTTGTATCATCAGATTCTATAGATAATGAAAATCTTTAAAGGGAGTGTTCGCGAAAAATGAATGAGGGTATAGGCTTAATGCGATAAAAAAGCGCTTTTGATCGCTACTAATCTTACTTCTAGCTGTTGCGTCTATAAGGAGAAAGTTGTTAAAAACGACTAATACCGAAGAACGCAGTGTCCATACAAATTCAGAAAGATGCAACATACGACTTAGACCGTAAAAAATCAATTTAATTTCAAACAAATCATTCATATATTACAACCTATAGTCATCGATTATCTTTCGCCACATTTGTATATAGTTGATTTTTCATAATATGTTTTGATTTTATTTTTTAAAATTATATTTAGCTTACAACTTGTTTTCGAACATTCCTGGAAAATATTAAAATCCTCTAAACAGGAATAAATGTTTTTATAAGTAACTCTCAGATTATAACAATTAAAACATATTATGAAAAATCAAATATATATAAATGTGGCGAAAGATAATCGATGACTATAGGTTGTAATATCTGAATGATTTGTTTGAAATTAAATTGATTTTTTACGGTCTAAGTCGTAAGTTGCAATTTTCTCAATTTGTATCGACACCAAGTTATTCGGTATGAGACGTCTTTAACAATTTTCTCCTTATAGACGCAACAGATCGAAGTAAGATAAGTAGCGAACAAAAGCGCTTTTTTATCGCATTAAGCCTTTACCCCCTTTCATTTTTCGCGTACACTCCCTTTAATAAAAAAAAGTACCAGAGAGTACGTAAGAATCTTTTCCATATTTCTTCCGCTACTCTTCTCTAAATTCAATTATAAATGAAAACTTTAATGACTTAAATAATTTTCCTTTCAAATAACTTTATGGAATAATTCAGAACCGTTGTTTAAAACTTACACTTTATCATTTTTTCTCGCGTTGCTTTTTATACTTTTTTGTAGCCCTAGGCATATACATTATAAAAAATTATTGCGCTTAAGTTTAGCAAATACTGATCGACTTTTGCGTGAGAAGATCTGCATCTTTGTTTTCAGTGTTTGGAGATCAATTAAGTCATTAACATCTTTTCTAGTTGATCCATCACGGATTTTACTTTATCAGCTGTAGAACTTCTTCTCTACGAAATGTTGATTAAATTCTAGTTTAAAATAATAAATTTCAACCCTTTCATAGACGGGGAATGGTGGTCAACATCACAGTTGAGGGATGCTTTAAGAATCGTCTGTGATATTTGAAATAATTTGCGATATTTAATCGGCAACCTTATTTTACAAGTAAAATTCTTGCAACAATGATCACAAATACCCATAGTCTTGCCTTTTTTTAAATTCTTGAAAATCATTTCATATCTCCGGCACAAAAAAAGGCAGACCACTGAGGGGTGGCTGCTCTCCGGGTTTTGGAGTGCTCCCGTTTTGGAGTGCTCCTAGGGTTTTAGAGTTGCTCCCAGGGTTTTAGAGTTGCTCCAAAGGTTTTGAAGTAAAATGTGAAAATTTATCCGATCTTTTATGAAAAATCCTTTAAAAGGGGAACTATAAAACCGAAAATTGAAAAAGGTCACTGCTATCCCTTTTTTACTGTCTTTCTTCAGATACTTGCAGAAAAAAATCGCAAAAGAAAAAACATTGTTTTCTTCAGATATCTCAATAATTTGATGATTTTTGGTATAGTGCGGTCCATATAAAAGGCTCTAAAGGAATTGAGTCTTTGCAACAAATTCAGTTTTTGTAAAACCTATATCTTTCCGACCTTATGATGTAAACCTTTGATATTTCAAACTTACATTAGTTGATCTAACAGAATTCATAGTTTGAAATATTAAAGGTCTACGACATTAGGTTACAACGATATTGAGATTAGAAAATCAGAGTTTGTGGCAAAAACTCAAATCCTTTAACATAGAACAATTTTTATTTTGTGAGTGTGAGTACAAACGCATTTTTGAATGGCACCTATCAATTAAAGATTTTTTTAGGAGAAAAATTAGATTTTTCTGAAAAAAATTTGGAAATAAGATAACTTATAAAGATATTGAGATGTGTTAGATCAGCTTAAATGAAACCTTTATGTATCTAGCCAAAAAAGATTTTTTTTACATTTACCAATCATCTTTTATGTATAAGCTGGTTCTCAGTTTGGCTAATCAAAACTATATGATCGCCGAAGGCTACTTGAACTGAAATTTGCAAATTTGTTTCTGCAAATATCTTAACAAAGACAGTAAAAAAGAGCAGCAGTGCCCTTTTTTTAATTTTCGGTTTTAAAGTTCCCTTTTTAAATGACTTTTCAGAAAAGGTCGGATAAAATTTTACATTTTACTCCAAAACCCTGGGAGCAACTCCAAAACCCTGAGAGGAGCCACCCCTCTCTCCTTCAAGCCGACTCTTAATTTTTATTTGTTCGTTTGACACCCTGTACCTTGGGTCAACCAGATAAAATTTCGAAGAAGATGTCTATTTTTTATTTGACTTTTGGGAGAACTGGGTTATAATTATCAAATTGTGTTTAAAATAATAGGTATATTTTCGGGCTTAGAGCAATGATGGTAGCAATCAATTCTCCAAACGGCAACCATCCAATATTAATCTTCTGGGACCAACTTCAATGAATTTGAGCTACGTAGTAGAACTACCTACTGCCGCTTCAAATTTGAACCACCGATTCAAAGTTTTGAAAGAATTTGAATCGGTAATTCAAATTTGAACCTGTGGTAGGCAGTTCAACGACCCTGCAAATTCATTAAATTCGGTCCCTGGTCGTAGAAAAGACGATGGTGTGGACCAGGGGGTTACTGTTGGCCTCACTGTGTAGTATCCTGGCCCCAACCTCCTCGTATAATGTTCTCTATGGTTTCACCCCGGCTGAACTGCAAGCCTTCATTGATGGAACAGTAAGATTATTTTTTTTAGATATAAGAACTATATTGTTTTTATTCCTACCAAGTCTGATAATTTTATCATGGAAATTTGAATAATTTTTTTTTATGAAAACCTATCACAGAGTTCTTTCCAGTTTGGAATTTATGCATCAAAATTAAAGGCCTGGAGAGTCGCCATAGGTCTAAGTTTTGACTTGCAAACCCACTAATACTTTTTGTAGCCAGTCATGAAGATTTAAAAGTTGCAAAGCTCTTATTTCTAGCCTTCATTTAAAGTTTCCATTCAAGTATTCATCTCAGAATGAGCAAAATTTAGTTTATGTGAACAAGCTCTTATTGGAACCAAGGAGAAAAAAGAGGACACTTACACACCAACCAACTACCAAACAAAACGTTTAAATTTAGAAATTTAATGTTTCGATATTACTTGATAACTTTTTTTAGGAGGATGGGTTTACAGTGAAACAAATAAATATAGATGGAGACCAATGCCAATGCAGGGTTTCTGTATCCAGTAGTAGTAGTTCTAGTAGTTCTTGTAGCTCAAGCAGCTCCAGCAGTTCAAGCAGCTTAAGCAGCTCAAGCAGCTCAAGCAGCTCAAGCAGCCCAAGCAGCTCAAGCAGCTCAAGCAGCTTAAGCAGCTCAATCAGCTCAAGTAGCTCAAGCAGCTCAAGCAGCTCAAGCAGCTCAAGCAGCTCAAGCAGCTCAAGCAGCTCAAGCATCTCAAGCAGCTCAAGCAGCTCAAGCAGCTCCAGCAGCTCATGCAGCTCATGCAGCTCAAGCAGCTCCAGCAGCTCAAGTAGTTCAAGCAGCTTAAGCAGCTCAAGCAGCTCAAGCAGCTCAAGCAGCCCAAGCAGCTCAAGCAGCTCAAGCAGCTCAAAAAGCTCAAGCAGCTCAAGCAGCTCAAGCAGCTCAAGCAGCTCAAGCAGCTCAAGCAGCTCAAGCAGCTCATGCAGCTCAAGCAGCTCCAGCAGCTCAAGTAGTTCAAGCAGCTTAAGCAGCTCAAGCAGCTCAAGCAGCTCAAGCAGCCCAAGCAGCTCAAGCAGCTCAAGCAGCTCTAGCAGCTCAAGCAGCTCAAGTAGCGCAAGCAGCTCAGGCATCTCAAGTAGCTCAAGTAGTCCCACCACTACAGTTGCACCACAAATAGGTTCTGCTGGATCTACAGGTTCATTGTTTGGAATCAACGCGGAAGGAGGGGAAACTGGACTAGGAACTAAGTCAAGCCCTAAATGTAAGTTTAACTCTAATGTACAAATTATAGCAGATCAATTATGTACACTATACATAAATTAAAAACAAGGATTACATAAACATGGCCGTTGTTGGAAAACTCAAAAATAGTTATTTTGTAAATAACTAAATTTATTTGCGAATAAGTACTTATCAAAGTAAAATCACAATATCGAGGTTTGTTTGCATAAAAACTATTGATTGAAATTCCAAAGTACATTCGTTTTTCTTTCCACCTTTAAGAATGTTTTAAATAATCTTTATGATAATTGAATACAAATCTGAAAATAATTAAGATGTTTGCAGACCATCATATGCTGAATCCATTCTCAGGTTAGATTAAAAACAAGAACTATTTGGTTTGGTCTTAAACGCTCTTAATTCCTCCTGGTGTAAAACTTTCTCCCACAGATTATCATTTTGTAAAAATTTCATGCAAAATTATGTTCCGTGATGTTCGTCTGTGTGTTGTTTATTGAATGGACACATTTTTCTGGGACGGAATTCAAACCGACAGACGTTAAACTCATTCAATTCAATCTCGGGTGAAATTAAATTAATTATAATTTTTTTCGGTAATTCAAAAATGAAAGAAGGATGATACAAATCTTAAAATTCCCTTGATTAGATGAGTACTTTATATAAAATCTACACAATGTAAAAAGTATTGAATTCCATTGTGGTTTAATATACTACTCAATGAATGTATTCTAGCACGTACCTGGAGTTTACCTACAACACAGAAGACATGGAAATCTGGTTGAAATCTCATCCTCAGTACGGATTCCTTCCCTACCTAACCAACCAGGAGTGCTATGTATCAGTTAGAATATTTGATGCGGGTATATCAGGGAGATCTCTTAAACTTGAAGTTATTGATGCTCAGCTTAGAGGAACTTCATATCTATCCATCAGAGAGAATAACGATTTTACAAGTCGGTAGGTGCTTAATTCGTCATTTTACAGATCGAATCCATACTAAAAAACGGAATCAAAATTACTTGATTTTTAACAAATATTAACTAAAAACAAAAACAAAATTAATCCTCTTCTTATTAAAATTACATAAAGAAAAATATCTTTTTATTAACAGGCACACTGGAGATTTTACAGGACTAACCTACGTCAAGCCCATTACAGCTGGGAAGGAGTTTAGAGATATCATCGCTCTCAAGTAGGATTTTAACAATTGTGTAATTATTCAAGTCTATGGTTGACTGTATAGTATATAGATTAACCCCTAATATTTCCAGGTTTGTAAGTGGGCCTGGAGCAGGAGATCAAGGGAGAGGATTCCTTATCAAGATCTCAGGTTTAAATTAAAGGATTTTTCACCTAGAAAAAATAACACATTAGACCCGATTTACTCGTTTTTTACAAGTCGCATTAATTTCTACAGGAATTATGTCTCTGTCACAAACTCTGATTTTCTGATCCCTAATCTTTGCAATCCAGTGTCGTAGACCCAAGAGTTTTCAAACTATGAATTCTGTTAGATCAAATCAAGCAAATCTGCACCTTCAGTAAAAGTAAATTCAACCTATATGAAGCATAAAGTCTGACCGCGTCAACCTTGTTGCACCTGCTAGTCCTGTCCATAGAGCTAGGTACAGTACAAACTGGGACCAGAAAGGTTGACACTGCTCGGAAATTCAAATGTACCACGGCTGCCCGTGAAATAACCTAAGTTTGAAATATCAGAGGTTTACACTAATGGACTGCAAAGATTAGACAATTTTAGTTTGTGGCAAAGACTCAATTCATAGGCGCCGGCATAGTCATGCGCAGTTTAAGAATACCTTGTCGTAAAAATATTGATTAATAACACCATATCACGTTTTTTTAATTCAGCAAAACCAACTGCGTTATTTTTACTGGAAGTTTAGTTATAACTAACCCTTAAAAAAGCTAGGTTGTGTTCCCAATTCAAAAATTGGTAGTTTAAGTTATTTATAAATAGGTGAACAATCACTTTTAGTTATAATATGTCAAGCTATACTAATCACAGACCGGAATGAAAATTAAATCTATTTATTATTTATCAAACTATAAATTAAACATTATAAATATCTATTTTCAGAATTCCGTTGAGATGAAATATGAAGAACGAATATTATATTTATAAATGAGAATGTTTATCATATCCTGTAAATATTTATTTTATTTGTGATTGCACCTTGTAGCTATATACGCTGTCTGGGTATGGGAAAGTTTAAAATTGTATTTTAAATTTTAAATTAGCCAGCGTATAAACCTACATGTGCAATAATATATGTTTTATATTGTTTGTAACAAAATACTCGGATCAGTAACTATGTATGTAAATATATTTATGTTATCAAATTGCAACTTATTAGTCTTCATTTAGTTTTGAAGTGTTAATAAAAATGTATTTTCTAGTTCATTCAAAGAAAATGGAAGCTAAAGATAAAGATCAAATTAAAAGACGTGGTTTTTTATCAAACCGGAGGAGAAATTTAGATGTTTTTGAAGTAAAAAAAAAGCCCAAACTTCTTAACCAATTGTCCTGACGAACGGTCCTTATAACTCATTTTAAGATTTTCGGGTTGTCCAACATTCGCAGGAATAAATTTTCTCACTTATGAATACTTCCTGCAATATATTTAATATATTTAGCTAGATGTATGTTTCATCTTAAAGTCTCGCCCCGGGGTTACTGTTTGCGTAGTAACGGCACGTTAGCTGTGTCAATAGTATTAACATTTTATTAAGTTCTGATCTCCTACTCCTGGTACTCCTCGTACTCCGTAGATTTTTAAAGTTGAATTTCTTGCTAAATATATTTTTTTTTATCATGATTTTACAAAAAAATCTTAAAGTTTTATAAGAAAAGTATCTGCTTACTACCATACATACCTATGTTAATAAAAAATTCACCTATTTTTCAGCAAAAAAAGGCATTTTATACGTTCACCATGTGAGGTCCCATACAAAATTTGGGCCCGATCCGCTCAGCCGTTTTGACGTTTATTGGATACAAGACAAGCAAAGGATATATATAAATTAAATTTATGATATCAGTATCAAAACCTTATGATCATATGTATATAGTAAGTATAAATAAGTAATGAAGTTAAAAGAGAGGTAACAAATCCTAAAAATACTATAACTCAAATCTAAGCTATGATTGTCTCATCTGTTCATTAAAACCGTTTAACCTTAATCAATTATTTTTATCATGAAATTAATTTTACGCTCTTTGTTCTGCGAGGGATATTACAGTTTAAAGGAGTTTAGAAAAGAGGGAAGAAATTTGAAGAAAAATAATATATATATGTTCCACTGTAAACGATTTTAATCTATTTTTAACCTATCATCATTTTATAATTGTAGTTAATACACTCTATTTCCCTCAGCAACTAAAATGCAATTTCCCCCTTGACAACTGAATTATGACTTAAACACCACAAAAGGAGATATTTATTAAGACATTTCATTATTTTTCACTTTTCATACTCGCAATGAATGATACATGAAACCAAGGTTATAATGCAAGGAAAGTTAATTGCAGTATACTCTGCGTACATACTGAAACCCGTTCTCTCCGGGCGGAATTTGTAAGCAGCAAGAATAGATACATTAGTGTTCGTTTAGTATTCGAGAAGGTTAAAATCAATAAATTTTTATAATTTTTATAATTCACATAATAGTTTCCAATGACCAGAATATTTCATTGATTTTTTATGGGAATGATGGATCCTATGTATGTCAGGCTTCGACATCCGTCTTGTGTTTACATTACCGCCCAAAGACAGTACACTGCAGTACAAAAGATGCGTACACCTCTGAAATAACTTTTCTTACATCATAACCTTGCATTAAACAATAATCAATTAAAGATATATAATTATTCCCTGAAACTCCTGTAATTCCAATATAATCCGTTTTTTCCATTGAATGTCTGCACAATTACTGTGTAATGTGTGATAATATAATGTAATGATGATGTTCCATCTGCCCTAATGTGAGATACTCCAAGTGTTATGCGTCCCCTAACTTTGACAAGGTTTATCCCTCGATGAACAATAGTTGCTACCTCTCAGCTAGACATATGGAGTGGATATAAATAAGAAGAGGGAAAAAATAAAAAATTAAAAAGAATTTAGAAAATTTTGTGTTTGGATTGTATAAATTTTGCAAAGTAACCCGTAAAATTAATTTTAAAAGATTATGTTTTTATAAATTATTCCTAAAAGTTTTGCTTTTGAATAGTAAATTTGAAAATTAGGAGTTAGTGAAATCGTACAAGAAATAGGATTTTCTATTCCACAAAACGTGCAAAGGAAATGAGTTTTTGCCACTAACTCTAATTTTGTAATCCATATAACTTTGCAACCCGACGTCGTAGACCTTAAATATTTCAAACTAGGAATACTGTTGGATCAAATAGCCTAAGTATGAAATATCAAAATTTTACACCAACAGATGAAAGATATAGAGATTAAAAAATTTAAGTTTGTGGCAAAAACTCTATACTTTCAAACTAGAGGTTTTTGCAGTATTGAGATTTGAAATTCCAAAATGAGAATATAAAATTTCAACTTTTATTTTCAAACTCTGGTATTGGTGGTAGTGAGATTCAGTCGAATATTTTGAAAAATGAAGTATGCGTAAATTAATACAACAAGAGTTAAAAGTTGGAGAAAAAAAACAGCAATTGTCCAGAGTTGTTATGGGTTGGACTTTCAGATGCCAATGCGTCTCACTCTCATAATATAAATCATTCATAGACCCCCCCCCTTGTATATCCTTTTATTAAAAATTTGCGCGAAGCAAGCATTTTGAAGTTACAAAAATGTATTTTTAGATTTATTCTCAATAAACAAGGTTTAATTAAATATGGTGCATCAAAAGTTACGATTATGATACATCACCTAGATTTCAAAAACACATAAAACATTAAATCATCTTATTGAACTAAACCGATATCTATATATAAATTTGGCTTGTCTGTTTGTTTGTCTGTTTGTTTGTTTGTATCCAATAAACGTCAAAACGGCTGAACCGATCGGGCCCAAATTTTTTGTGGGACATCTAGGGACCACAGGGAATGTTATGAATGATCAAAATTTCAAATATTTGTCTCCATCAAAATTCGATCTTCGTAAAATTTTTGAAAATTTTGAAAATCCACGAAATTTTTTGTGAAAATCCGCGAATTATTTTTGTTTTGTTTTACGATGTACACAAAGAGAACATGTTCACAATTAATTTAGAAGATGGGCGCGAAGCGCCCTCTAAGGCTAGTGTATTAATAAAAGAGTCTGCAGCTCAAAATGAACGTAATTCACATTTTTAAACATGTACATTTTTTTCAGGATGAATAAAAATCCTTTTAGTTTGGTAAATATGTTTAAACAATGTTTTTTTTCTTAAGAATGGTCTTGATTAGTGAGTGATATTTTTGGTTTTTTTTACACCAATTACCAATTTTTTTTCCAACGAGTGGCCAATTTCGTGGACGGAAAAACCTTTCAGGTTAATGAATTTTTTTTTACGAAATTAAATATTAAGAGCAAAATTTTATCATAATACACATTGCTGAAAACCTTTACATTGAAGGGTTTAATTCTAATCACTCGTGTATATGTTTATTTTTTCCTGTAGTAGAAATACGCAAGACACTGTTATAGAAAAACTACAGTTAAAAATTATCAGTTTTCAAAATTGTGAACATATTAATAAAATTTATACTTCAGACAAAGCCTGTGAGAGTAACGTTGTGAATCACTCGAAATTACCTTTAATTTACTACGCAACTTATAATGCCCTTATTTTTAATCTTTTTGTTCATATTGTTGCAGAGAGCTGACAGTACAGTTTCCTGCAAGCTCCAGGGTGTTATCTTACCAAACAGTTAAGATTAGTGAATCTGTAGAGAAGGATCGGAAATCCGTTGTATCATTACAATGTACTTCCAGGATTACATCTTGTCTCCCACTGTTCCCGCCAAACAGCTCAGTTTGCCGCCGTGCATCCATCCGGCGGCAATTCCGCCATAATTTGTCCTAATCCGAATTATACCGGTCGGCGCCCGTTGGATTGAATAATGAAAATGATTTGAAAAGGATTAGTATTCAGTTTGCTCTATTAAAACAATCCCCATGAGACGCTACATTCATTATTCTTAAACGGGAATGGGTAAAAGATTTAGATCTTGAATATTTCAGCATTTTATAAAAATTATATGGATATGATATGTAACATGTGTATGACGTCCATTTAAACAGAAATAAATTAATCATGTTAGAAAATTTGTTATATTGAATCTTCCTCCAAACTATTAAAAATGTAGCTTATTTCGAATAATTAAATATTAGCGCATTAAATGAAAACGTCATATACATACAGAGAGGTAAATGAATAAAAAGTGTAACATCGATTAAAACGTTTGAACGATATTTAGGGATTTAAGAAATTGAATTAATATAAACTATTTACATTTTATTGTTAAGATCTATTACTGCAGTAGTAAGGAGTAAAGGATAAAGGAGCCGGCCTGACAAACACATAAAGAGAGTTAATGCGCCTTCATTTCAGGTTGGGAGAGAAGGGGGAGCAGTAAACCAATCTGATTATATAATCAATAATGGGATCTTCAGGGTTTAATACCTATGCATTCTATATTGAATTAGTAAATACGTTCAAAAGAAATGATTCCTACTACAACTTTTCAGACATTAAGATTCAAAGTCGATAATCCTTTTGTGGACATATTCGTCCAATATTATTCAATTTTTCTAATTCTTCTTTCATCCTGGTTTATTTTTGATGCTATAATCAATGAAGACTGTCCAGTGTCCAGTGTCCAGTGTCTCGCCAATCAAATGTAACGAAATAACTTTCGGATGAAATCTTGAAGAATACATTCAACCTCATTAATTTGGTTTTCTTATACTTGTGCATAAAATTAATGTTAGAGGAGCTAAGAGGTCACAAAATAGTACCAGTAATGTCGCATAAAGAAATTAAGTCATTGCCACAAACTCAAATTTCGAATCCTACAGAATATAATGTTTGAAATATCTAAGGTCCACGACATTGGGTTGCATAGGTATAGGAATTTATGGTAAAGACTCAATTCCTTTGACCTTCTTTTTCTGTCTATGTCACTCTTTAGTCTCCATTCTTTTTTTCTTGTGATTTTTAAACCTGTTACCAGGTATACTAAATATCTCACTCTCCACTAAACCACACTATTTCTTCAGTCAATGTACTGCAAATCACTGCATCACATACCGAAAGCTTAGTTTGTAGTTTAAGTCAATTTTACCAATTCTCTATATTTTTGGTCATACTTTAGTTTTAACTTACAGACACTCAGCATGACAAGCAGGTGAGGATAAAGTAGTTTAATCCTTGTAAAATTGTTGAACACTCAACCAACCAATTAAATACTTAAATCTTCTAATCTGATGCTTGCAGGAATGTAAGATTACTGCAACCTCTCCTGTAACACAATGCTCATCTTTACAACATGTCCCAACAGTATTCCTTTAAAATACACTTTTAAGATGAAAAAATATAAAAGGACAATCTTGAAATATACTTGAAAATAAATACATGATTTTTTTTCAAAAATATTAATAAATTACAGATACTTATTATTTACTTTACTCATAAATGCAGTCTTATTGTGACCAAAGTCTGAATGAAGGCTTAATGAACTTTGTAAAGGCAAAAATAAAAAGTCCGGCCTTTTGGTGAATATTTCAAACCCTCTTAATCTTTGGCGGATTTTATAAAATAAAATTCTTGGATTTTCTAAGTTTAATGCAAATCAAATTTTGTTGGAGGCAAAATCATAAAATTTTGAACACCTACAACCCTTCCCTGGGGACATGTGAGGCTGTATGTATAAAATGCCTTATTTTTCACATTAGCTTTATGTAATCCCCTCCCCATATAAAAACATATTATAATTTTATCAATTCACGCAATAACATATTGTTCAAATTTTTCTCCAGAAACAAAAGTGACAACCGCGTGTTTTCAAAATGCAAATTACTTTTCGTGTCTTTTTTCTAATATCACTTCGAAACTAAGACTTCCTAGAATTTTCTCCCCTCCTTGGAGCAAGCGAGGCGTCCTGAATTCCTAATCTCAAGTCTCTAAATTAAAAGTGAATGTGCATTTAGGGTAAATTCATAATAAAAGCCCCTTTGGTTTTTATGTAGCATCTTTTACAGTATAATTATAATCAAATCTTTAGTTATTAATAATATTAATAATATTAGATAGCACATAAGAAAGCTGAGTAATTACTTAAGTTTTTTTATATATATCATCTAGTACAGTATATCTAATTTTAACTAAATATTTAGTTTTTATATAACTGGCCATTTTAGATAACAGGTAAGAAAACTCAGTAATACTTAAAAAGTTGGCAGTTTTCAAACCTTCTTGAAACTTAAAAAACATTGATGTGTTTTTTTTCTCATAAATATCAATAAATTACTGATACTTATTATTTACTCTATTCATAAATGTAGCTTTATTGTGACAAAGTCTGTACTCTGTATAGGCTTATTGAACTTTGTAATGGCAAACATAAAAAGTCCTTTTGATGAATATTTCAAACCCTCTAAATCCTCTATTCTCCCTGCATGGTGGGTACTAACACTTTCCAAGGCTATTTCTATTTTCTTCTGTCTCTTTGTTGTTTATCATCTGTATTCTATTGAGGGGTGTGTGGGAACGTAGGAGTATTGATGTGCATTATAGAATGACAATAAGAACTAATCTTTTATGGAAACAGCCAGAAGAAAATAACGACGACAAAACTCGTGAATCAAAGTTGGGTCACGCGGCATCCTAGCTCAAGGCGCAATTTTAGGGGATTCAATATCTGTAGCAATTTTCAACCCAATAAACAGAGATTAGACGAGAAAAGAACAAATAATATTTATGCATTAAATCCTAGTGTAAACAGATATCAAAGTTCTCACTAGCTTCTAGAACTCACTTTATAGGTTTAACACCAACTTTTTCTCAGATTTAAGAGCTTTAAGTTACACTTACAGCTCTTTTGTAATAAGGTTCACAGTCCTTTAGATCTCTAACCCTCTTATATCCCAATATTTAGCCCCTCTCTCGCCCCCCCCCCCATTGACTTAAGCATGATCATGATTGTTGACCATCTTATATAAAATGTTGTCAATTAAGAAAAAAATACCAAAAGGAATTGACTCTTTGCCACAAACTCTGATTCTCTAATCCCAATATCTTTGGAACCCAATGTCGTAAACCTTTGATATTTCAAACTTATATTTTTTGATCTAACAAAAGTCAAAGTTTGAAATTTCAAAGGTTTACGACGTTGGAATCCAAAGATATAAGGATTAGAAAATCAGAGTTTGTTGCAAAGAGTCGATTCCTTTTTCTTTGGAATTTCAAACTATTTTTTCGTTTTCGACAGTCAGTTAGTCAGTCAGACAGTCAGTCATTCTTAATCTATCCTCTAAAAAAAACTGTTTACATGTTACTTCTCATGAGTATTACAATACTAGAAGTGTAGTGTAAGGGGTAGGGGGTATTCTAGAAGTGTAGTGTAGGAGGAAGGGAGTGGGTTTACTAGAAGTTTAGTGTACGGGGGAGGGGGTATACTAGAAGTGTTGTGTACTTTATAAAACATGAACTGAACCAGACAATATTAACCACGACAACACCAACGTTTAAGAAATATTAATAAATTCAGTTTTAAACAAAATTTAAATAAATACCTAGGTAGCACATGCCTGAATACCAAACCTGCTTCATATTTTACGGGTTTGAATTTTATTTGTTGAATTTTATTGTTTTCCTAGAAAACCATTAGTTAAACCCCTCCCCTTATTATTATATGTTACCGCAGCGCTCGGTCCTCCTATTTTCCTGGACCCGGGCGGTCCTAAGCAAGGAAATGTCCCTCTCAACAGTAGCTATATCTCAGGACATCCATAGCTTGGTTTCTCGAAACCAGTGTGTTTCTTTTGCAGTTTTCTTAGCTGAGGCTAATGATCCTGAAACCTAATTTTCAAGATTATTTTATTTTTAAGATTATAGTTATTGTTTCCTGCATCGTTTCGACATTGACTGTATTGTTAAAGTAAGTAAGTAACACAAGCAAACATTTTGAACAATTTATTGTTTAAAGAACCCAATGATCTTTATTTTATGCCAGCTCAACTCGGACCTGGATACAGGTCTCCTCAGTATCATCTGCAAGAAGAGCGTAGAGTCGGATTCTGTAGGTTCCAGAAGCCAGAAGGTCAACTATACATCGTTTATAATTCAATAGTTTTATGTTTTTTTTTCATTAAAAATCTTGGATTTTGCTCAGATTATCATTTCATTACAAAATATCAACTTATTGGAAAAAGTGCAGCGAACCAAAAAACTGAGAATTCTTTTTTAAAAATAGAATTCTCATTTGTTTGAAACAAAAAAAAATATTTGATAGGAAAGTGGCGTTAAAGGAATTTAGTAATTTGAGATAAGATTTAGTGAACCTAAGTTTCCAAAACTGGTAATATTTCCCAAACGATTGAAACTGTTTTTTGGTACTTTGGAATCGTCCAATTGCGGCAAACAAGTTATAATCCAGATGTTTTTAGGGGTTTCGAGGAAAACTTAATAAAAATAACTCGAGCGATCTCTAAGATCTTTGAATATCCAGAATCATCTCTTTAAATGTTTTAGTTTTTAAATGAATTATTAAAGGTTCCTATCAGTTCAGGAATGTCAGGAAGAGTGAGAGTGAGTGGTTCTCCACCATATTGTCCAGGATGAACTGGAAGAGTACATTCCTAAATATAAAAAAAATCACTTTCAATATAATTTGTCTGTTTAAGACTCAAAATTATATAAACGGCTGAACCAAATGATCCCAATTATCTGGAGATGTCCGTTATCCCATGGTTGTACGCTCTAGCGAAAAAATTGATGAAAATTTTGCAAATTATTTTTTAAAACCCAAATCTAAAAAATGCTTTAAAGTTCTAAAATGTATATAGTTCGCGCTACAAAAAAGTTTTTATGAATGGGGTAAAATCACAGGCCGGTCAAGGCGTAGTGGACTCTTTAAACTTAATCCAGTCTTGAAATTTGACGAAACTTTTCATTTTGGTCTCGATTTGTGTTCAGGCATGTTCTGAAGTGAAGCTAGGGACTTTTCAGGGTTCAAAGACCTTTTTCAATGTATTGTGCTCACCTGACCCTCGGGGAAATAGTTGGGACAGAGGAAGTCTGCAAAGGAATCAAGAAGGCTCTGTCCGTCATATTCACTAGAAAATTAAACATTAACGTCCAACTGGTTGTTTTAGATTTCTCATTAATCAATTTTAGGGTTTGTGGGCAAAAAGCAAAGAGGGAATGGCTGTTTTGAAAAGGAACTTAGTCTTTGCCACAAACTCAAATTTTGTAATCCCTATTCTTTAAAATCTTATGGTGTAAACCTTTGATATTTCAAACTTGAATTATTTGATCTAACAAAATTCATAGTTTGAAATCTCGAAGGTCTGCGAAATTGGATTGTAAAGATATAGAGATTAGAAAATCAGAGTTTGTGGCAAAGGCTTAATTCGATTAATTTTGATTTTAAAATATCTATTTGAGTATCTGACTATTTAAGTTAAGATACTTATTTTTCAAGAATATCCCATGTATCTAATGAAAATTTCAATTTTAATGTTTTCAATTATTTTTTAGTCGAGAACTTAATTTGAAAGATTACTTGTTCAACTTACCAGGATCCAATATTGATACCATCAATAGCAATACAAGGAATAGGAAGGTTGATTATTCCTTCCTTCACAATCTCAAGCTTAACCTTAGCTCCGACAGGAACATCTTCTAGAAGAGTGACAAGAATATGAATAGTTATTTCAGCTCCATCAGCGACAACAATTGGGAAAGGTGCAATCGAGATATCATCGAATGTCAAAGGTTCATGAGCGCCCTCGCAGTATCCATATTCCAGCTCATCAATTTTTAGGTGTCTGCCTGAGACAACTGCAAGGACCGCCAGAAAAATAATTGATTTCATTGTTATCCTCTTGGAGTTACGATGATACAATGATGTTCTAGTCCGGCCCTTTTATACGATAGATAAGACAAAAAGAACGTCAGCATTATTTGTTGTTTACTTACACAGGCCTAAAGTACAGGATGCACAGTGTGCGCATTAAAGAAAATTTTAAACATTTAAAAAACACAACTTTAGCCTTTTAAAACTATCTTTTCTGATGAATAAAATCTGTTTTTACAAAAGCAAAAAAATATAAAGCTGCCATTAATCTGTAATCATACAACATATTTGCTTAATTTTACACTTAAACGGAAGCTGGAGCAAAAAAACTATGGAATCATATAAAATAAACTGTTCTGCATATGTGAGTAGAAAACTGTAGAATAGTTGTTGTTTATTATACTTTCTTTAAATTAATCTTAAACACTTGATCTAGATATCCAATCTGGGCACTATTTGGAGGATAAATTAAAGTTATCCCTGAAGGGTATGAACACTTCGGTGAATTCAATGAATACGTAGGAGGTCTGCATAAGATGGTGATTAATGCTTGAACCCAAAGATCAACCATTCATTTTGAACATGTTTAACAATACAGCTGTTATAAATTACAAAATCCTTTGTGAAATTCTAAATAAAGCAAAAAAGACAACAAACATTTCACTTTTTTCTGGTAAAGGAACTGAGTTTTTGCCTCAAACACAAATATTCTTATTCCTATATGGCAACCCAATGTCGTAGACCTTAGATATTTCAAACTAATAATTATATTAGATCAAATTATCTAAGTTTGAAATATCAAAGGTTTATACCCACTGGTTGCAGAGATATAGAAATTAGAAAAGTTAGGTTTTGGCAAAAACTCAATTCCTTTATAAAGCTGTCATTTCACTATAATTATGATTACAAATATCCATCAATATTAATGTAAAATGTTTTATGACTAGTTTCTAAAGAACTTCCCCTCCAGATAATTGGTCTGACTGCGTTAACATGATTTGAAGTTAATTTTCTATAATGTTTATCTCATATTAGGATCTAGAATTATACCAAATGTTTAAAATTTGAGAAAAAGGAGGCGGAATTTTAAACGGAACAAAACATCCAAGAGTCAAAATCAAAAAAGTTTCATCCTTAGCACAAAAAAGTCACAGAATTGTGTTTAAAGTCAAGATTTTTCTTCTGCATTTTAACTTCGCTGTCAATGTATGATTCACAAAAGGTAAAGATTTAGGATAAAGAATATTCATATTAGCATCAACACTGCCTTTTAAAATCAGATTTCTGAATCGTAGTGCAAACCATTAATACAATTGTTATTTTTATGATCTCTTTCCTAGAACTGAGCGTAATTATACTATTCCAGAAGTCAAAAGTTTTGTGTGAATTGACGATAATCTACAGCTGGTTTATAGGTTAAGTTAAGAATGATAGACATTCACTGCAGTGAACCTCCATGGAGGTTGTACGTTTTTAATTGGGGGGGGGGGGGCGTTGCATATAAGAAGATAAGGATAACCACCCTCTGCAACAAATTCTGCTCTACACTTGAAACCTACCCTGGACATCTCTTCAATATCCACCCTGTACAAAACAACTGTGACGGAAAAATACACAATGTTACGAGAACTGTGTGAAGCAAAAATTCATCACAGACAATGCAGAGAAAAAATTTCAGTAAGCCTCTTTAGATAACTCTGGTCGAGCAGAAATACTTAAGTTTGATAACCAAGCTTTCAAACGTCAATGATACAAAAAATTAGATTAACTGCCAGTGTAAAAGTATCTTTCAAAAATGAAACTTTTAGGAGAGAACCTATAGAAACACTCATAAAACAAGAACGTTTTTTCTGCTGGTGCAGACTTGCAAGGAAGAAGACAAGAAACTACAAACCATATTTTAAATGACTGCAAAATTGCACTGCACAAAATTACATCTGATCAAGGAACTGCTGTGTTGAATACCCACGAACACTAGATCTCGATATCTACTACGGGCACTTTTAATAAATTGTTATTCTTGTATATTACTTTGTTTATTAGCAATTCATGTCAGTGCCAATCATAAAATGCGATATCCAGACTATAAAAGTATAGATCACCCTCAACTAAGCTGTCGGTGCGTTCTTCAGTAAATTGCAGCACACTGACCGAAGATATAGTAGCGTTTAGTAGAGAGTGAGCTTTTGATTTAATTGGATTAAATTTTGCTTTAAACAAATATAAATGAATAGTATAGATACTTGGACGGATAATTAACACGTCGTCATTTAATTTCTAATATTGATCAAAACATACACATTGCACATTACATATCAGACATACTACTCAGTTCACACAGTATTTTGTTTTAATAAAGCTGAACCAACTTCAGTTCGCCAAACAGAACAAAACATAATTTGAAATAAATTTATCAGATTTCATTATTGGGGAGACAGATTGCAGCATTCAGTTTGGCGGGCAATTACTCCACCTTCAACAATACTAAATCACCGTTTGTCCGGAATCAATTGGGTTTCCTAACTTGATTTAGTGAGCTCGGTGGTGTGCCCTATCTCTCAAATTGAATTTTCCCCGGCATTAGACCGACGGATGGTTCAAACCATGTCTCTTGATTGGCCGCTGGATTCCTGACGTCATAGGTCCGCCCCCTTGGTTCCGCTGCTCTCATCCACAATACCCACTTTCTAACCCTAGGAATAATATACAGTTACAGCTGCTTATTCAATACTGGTACAGCCTCTTCGTCTGATTGAGTAGGTTGGAGAAAAGTATTTAATCATAAAATTGTTGGTTTACAATTGAATATGAATTTAGAAGTAACCTTTATCTGTGGTTTAAATGTGGAGCAAGTTACCGTATGATGAAACCCTTGAAATCACAATCTGGAAAGAGTTAAAGCGAAAACTTTTTCTACAGATCAAAAAAGTGCCTTGGCACAAATAAAAACATTTTTTTCTGAAAACTTACATTCTCTGTCGGCTCACCGTCCTACTCCTGTAGTTCTGTGATGATCATGAGCTACAGTATGAATCCTGTTAATCTATCTAAAGTAGAGATTAAGACTGAGGATGTGACGAACCACACTGCGATAAAGAAGCACACGATTGACGCCATCCTTGGTTTACCTCGATTAGGCAGTTGCTTGCAGGCAGACGATGCAGATATGGACGGTGAGATTTTTTTGGATAAATAAAAAATTTACCTTTATTAATTATTTAATTTAATTGTAAAGCTTGAATTATGTTATACGACATCGATATCATCTCTCTAATTGCAGACAATGTGGAAAATGCACAAACTTTGTTAATTTATGTTTATGAGTTTATTACTTGAATTTGGGAGGATTTATTTTGATTTATTGTATGTAATGACGACAANTATTTTATAAAAAAAAAAAATCCTATTGCGATTTTATATAATTAGTCTAGTTTTCATTTAAAAAATTATAAATTTCAAATGGTAAACATTTTTTTTACAAATTCATGTTCAAAATTTATTATTTAAATCCATAGGTAAGACATGAGGATGAACTATTATTCTGTGTATGGATTATTAGATCTTACTAGTTCACAAAGTATGATATAAAACAAAGCAATTACAGATCAGTAATGAGTAATTCGCTTTCAGTTCTTTAAAATGTTTTGCTATTGCCTGTTTAGAAATATTGTTAGGTGGCGACACCTTGATCTTTTCCCAGATAAATGCGCAGATTTTTTTTTGATAATTGCAGTAATTTCCGGCAACACTGGCACTGTAATTTCATACTGCCACGAGAACAAAGTATTAAATGTTGATAAAGATCGTAATAAATTTTTACTTCCCAAGTATGAATAAACTAAAACAGCGATTAATTTACTTTTATTTTCTGTTGGCAGTAAAAAATTCAATTTGATTTCAATGAGAAACATTTCGTTTAGCTTGGTTTTTGAATTGTTTTAAGATTGGATTATAATTATCATGCATGAGAATAAAGGTTATGTACACTGGGTTAGAAATAAAATAGATGAAAAGTAAAGAATAAAAAGTGTAGAATTAAACTAATGACTCAAACATCTCTTTTTTCAATTCTTACTGATTTACTTTAACGTATATAAAGCATTTTTTAAAATGTAAAAGATTATCAAATTATAATCATATTTATCAATTACTAAACTTCATATATGTAAAGGAAAAATTTCCTTATTCATTATATTTTATGTTATTATTATTAAATAGATATATGACGCCTTTAGACTGGTATTTAGGCAATACATCGATAGATTAATACCAGGCAGATTTTATCAATCAATTAAGATATCAATAAAATTGAAGTGTACACAATACCTGCATTATAAACATTATAAACATTAGCGGTCATAGAAGAACTTTAAATTTTTTATTTTAACATATAACAAAGCAAAAAAGACAATAAGAAAGCGGTCTTAAAGGATTTTATTATTTATAATATAGTGGCATTTTTACAAAGTATAAGCAAAAGAATTCTAATTTTAATTTCTTGAGTGGTATCCCAAACAGTAAAGGTATTCCTTTCAACCTTAACTCATAAAAAGTAAGATGTAACTATACCCCTATAGGATAGGTTTTCTGCATGGCAAATTAACCATTTGCAAACTTGTTTCTGGGACACTCTGTATTTTTCTTTGAATGTTGAAACAGATTGTTCAAATAATTAAACATATGTTATCTTTAAAGATATATCTGATGCATCACGTGGATTTAAAATTATGGAATTTTACCGGTTAAAAATTAGTTTAAACAGTAATATTTTTAAATAAATTATTCAAAATTCATCTTTTTTAATTGTGCTTTTTGACTCAAAATATTAAATCTTATACCGATGTTATTTTGCAATTTTGAATGATAAGATGCAATGTAAACAAACACGTTTTTTTATCTTCTATTACTTAAATTCTAATCAAAATGTATAAAATGTTATAATTTAAAATTTGATAAACATACAATCCAAGGTTGATTTAACAGTCTGATTTATAAAAAATTGAATATTTTGACTTCACCGATAAAAAGATCAAAACGAATTTTGAACACGCCATCCGGCCCATTACCCGCATTATACCCTAATATTTTGAAAACTGTCTTTTTTATTTCGCAATGTTGACACCTGAAGAATTTTTGGTTCACCAAAAAGTCCAATCAATTATTTTAGTTCAGGTTTTATTTGGTTAAAAGATTAAAATGAAGAAGATTCTTCGTATTCCCCTGGGATTGGTGAGGAAAACACTCCTAACCTGACACAGAAGCTAAAGAATCTGTATTGAGAAGTTCTAATCCTACCCCCCCCCCCCACACTTCAATCCGATTAGCCCTGATAATGAGAAGAAACCGTCAATCAGGATACAAGGGGCGGATGGGGGGGGGGGTCTATGTACAAGGATGCTAAATAGAGTGAGAGTTAGGATGTCTTTGTAGAACCTATTTACTAGATAAATCGTATTATGTGCTGTTTTTTTCTCACTTAAAGAAAGGAACTAATTTCATTTTCCCATTGGATTTAGTTTATCTGTGAATAGACTTAATTTAGAACTGGAGTAAAACCAAGTTGTAGAATTGGAAGATTAGTAAAATCTAGTTAGAGAGCTGGAAGATTAGTAAAATCTAGTTGAAGAATTGGAAGATTAGTAAAATCTAGTTGAAGAACATGGAAGATTAGTGAAATTTAGTAGTAGAATTGGAAGATTAGTTTTGTAGAACTGGAAGATTAGTACAATCTAGTTGTAGAACTGGAAGATTAGTACAATCTAGTTGTAGAACCGGAAGATAAGTAAAATCTAGTTGAAGAACTGGAAGATTAGTACAATCTAGTTGTAAAACTGGAAGATTAGTACAATCTAGTTGTAGAACTGGAAGATTAGTAAAATCTAGTTGTAGAACTGTAAGATTAGTAAAATTTACTTGTTATAGAACTGGAAGGTTAGTTAAATGTAGTTGTAGAACTAGAAGATTAGTACAATCTAGTTGTAGAACTGGAAGATTAGTATAAATGTAGTTGTAGAACTAGAAGATTAGTACAATCTAGTTGTAGAACTGGAAGATTAGTAAAATCTAGTTGTAGAACTGGAAGATTAGTACAATCTAGTTGTAGAACCGGAAGATTAGTACAATCTAGTTTTAGAACTGGAAGATTAGTACAATCTAGTTGTCGAACTGGAAGATTAGTACAATCTAGTTGTAGAACTGGAAGATTTATAAAATCAGTTCCCAAACTTTATTTCTAATTGAGGTTTCCTATTTCAGGAGAGAGTAGGGAGGGATACGATAGATCTGAGGGTGAAGGGGAGGGGGAGGGTGGAATCAGTCCTGAAGGAGACGATGAGAACAAGAAGAAGCACAGGAGGAATAGGACAACCTTCACCACCTACCAGCTCCACGAGCTCGAGAGGGCGTTCGAGAAGTCTCACTACCCTGATGTATACAGTAGAGAGGAACTGGCTATGAAGGTTAATCTTCCAGAAGTCAGAGTCCAGGTTGGTCTATTTTCAGGGGCGTTTTTTTTTGATAATTGCNTTTTGCACCCCGCTAATGGTTGATGTGTACCCTAAAAAACTTTTTTATTAATTAAGCTACATGTGTCAAATGGTAATATTTATCAAAAGTAAAAATAACTAATTTTGAAAAAATTTTCTGCATACTTTTTGAATTTTACAAAATCCGAACAATTAAAATTAGAGGTCTAATTCTTATTAAAGATTAAACCTTGAAAAGTTGGACTACGGACATGTATCACACTCCCCTATCTCAATTCTAAGGGCAAAATCATGGGGGGTGGATGGTGGAAAACATCCCCCCCATCGGGATAGGGTTAACCTACCTGACTATTAGTCATCTGACCATAATTATCAATCATACCATTATAAAATCTTGTAGTTAATAAAAGAGCCAAAAACTTTTTAAATACATATTTTTTTATTTTTCTCAGTATACCATATCAATATCAATTATATTATGACTAGATTACATAATCTAATTAATATTAAAGCTTTTTAACGATGCCTAAATCTGTGAGAGAAAAGATGGCCCAAAACATTGTTGGTAAAAATTGTTCTAAAATGTTCCTATATAAATTTTCCATAACCAAAATAGGCCCTATGGGTGGTGTTTGCATCTACATTATACATATTGATGATGAAGATTGTTCAATCCAGGGGTTAAATAATAAAAATAGAAGTTGGTAAAAAGTTATGGAAACCATTGAAAAACGGGTTAAAAATAGCATTGCATTCAAATAATACGGCCTTAGAATTAACAAAAAACAAAATTAAAAGTCTCCATATTTAAGAATTTTGGCTCTAGAAGGGACCTAGGGAGTGCACAGGGGTATCCCCCACTACGTGACTGTCTAGTTTTCATTTTATCTAGTTTAGTTTAGAATAAGAAAAGGTTAGATAAAGATAGATACTTCACCATTTAAACAGAATTAAACAGCATTGAAAGTTAACAAATCAGATCGAATTACGGTTCATGCTTTTAATACTCAAAATATAAAACGAAACAAAAACCAAACAAATCCCACTTTTGTAGTTGTGCGGTTTCTCAATCGGTTACGATCTAAATTTTAAATTTAAATTCTCAAAAAATAGTTTTTATGTATTTAATATCTAGTTTCACAAATTGACTCTTTTATAGGCTCTTGTTATCCCGCCCACTCATTCCCTTACCTCGTTTTCCCACTCATTTATTTCATCCTCCTTTCCCTCACCCCTCATTCCCTCATCTCACTTGAACTCATTCCCTCTATTCCCTCACCCACCAACTCATTATCCCTCCATGCCCTAAAATACTCATTTATTTCCTCCCTTGCCTCAACCAATCACTCCCTCCTTTCTCTAAACCACTTCCTCCCTCCCTACCTCTTTTTCTTTTTCCCTTTCTTCTCTAACCAATTCCCTTCCTGTGTTCCTTCCTCCCTGTACTCTCTCAATCCCTCCCATTCTTTTTTCTACCCTTCCATTCCTTCCCTCCCTTCCTGCGCAAGTAATTGTCTGTATACTCTGTATACAGTGTACAAGTGATGTTATTATATTTGGTCCACTGAGCTCAATGTAGAGGGAAGATGGTTGATCCTTACAGATCTTGTCAACCATAATATATCTTCACACCATAATAAACTAATTATGTGTATCATACTCTACTAGTAATTCAGAGAGCTACACGCCACTCTTTAAATATGTTTTAAACAGGGGTTTGCAGAGGGGATCTCTGTATGTATATGAATTTGGCCAATTGGTTAGAAACAAATGCAGACTAATCGTATTATGTTTATAACACAAGTGTAACACGATTAGATGTTTTCTGAAATTCTATGTTCTAAAACCCTGCCAGTTGATGCCAAATATTTGAAATATGTGTCCGAACATTTTCCTAGATTTTTGTGAAGATAGTTTTATTATCCTGGATATAAGCAGCTCTTCTCCACCTGCATATAAATACTTTGCGTTTGCTAAAACTGTTAAACCCTCAATTCCGCCACTTTAATCCTAGTCTTATCTAAACAATGATCTACAAATTTCACCAATTTTACCGATAAAATCATTTTAAATTTTAAGCTTTTGCTTTAAAATAAATTATAAATTTGTTTATATTCAATATAGCATTTAAAAGTCTGCGTTCCCCTTGTCATCATATCATAAAAATAATCTAAATCAATGTAATAATAGTTGTTTACCTAAATAATATCTGTTCCTGAAGTATAGGCCGCCAGCTAGTTTAGAGTCCTAGCGGCAATATAATCAAGTTATCTGATCCCTGGCGGCAAACTATCTATCTATCCAGTTGCCTATCTATTTATCGACTAATCTATTTATTTAACTATCCAACTATAGCCACAGGGAACTCAATTATTTTGAGATTAATTGCCTAAGTTAGACTGCATTTAGTAGATATTTAGTATATAGTAACAACACTGGTATATTTTGTATTTAATAAAATATTATCTTACGTACGTGTATTTTTATAAATAGCAAATACAATGGTATATTTTGAATATATGGAAAAGAGAAATCGCTGCAGACATATTTTGTATTTTAGATTGATAAAAAGTAAAATCTATATATAAATTTGGCTTGTCTGTTTGTTTGTTTGTTTGTTAGTTTGTCTGTATGTCTGTCTGTTTGTATCCAATAAACGTCGAAACGGCTGAACCGATCGGGCCCAATTTTTTTGTGGGACATCTAGGGACCCCAGGGAAGGTTTATGAATGATTGAAATTTTAAATATTTGTCTCCATCAAAATTCGATCTTCATTAAATTTTTTAAAATTTAGAAAATCCACGAAATTTTTTGTGAAAATCCGCGAATTATTTTTGTTTTGTTTTACGATGTACACAAAGAGAACATGTTCACAATTAATTTAGAAGATGGGCGCGAAGCGCCCTCTAAGGCTAGTTATATAAAATATAGCCAATGGCTAGTATTTTGTGAATGGTTTATTATATATATTACATAAACCAAGAACTTGCATTTATCAAGTTAATAACAAGCTTTGGGGAATGGGGACAAAAAAAACTTCTGTCGTAGTTGTATAAAAAAGGATCCTAGTACCCCGTTTCAGCTAAACATTTACTCAGATTTCAACGTCGTGTTTTGTGTGTCAAGATTAAAATCTTTAATGTTTTCGATCAGAGCTCCTGTAGTTTAAGAATAATTGAAAAATTGTTTTGAATTTCTAATGTGTTTAAACCAAATAAATTTGTTTTAAATTTCTAATGTGTTTAAACCAAATAAATTTGTTTTAAATTTCTAATGTATTTAAACCAAATAAATTTGTTTTAAATTTCTAATGTGTTTAAACCAAATAAATTTGTTTTGAATTTCTAATGTGTTTAAACCAAATAAATGTGTTTTGAATATCTAATGTGTTTAAACCAAATAAATTTGTTTTAAATTTCCAATGTGTTTAAACTAAATACATTTGTTTTAAATTTCTAATGCGTTTAAACCAAATAAATTTGTTTTAAATTTCTAATGTGTTTAAACCAAATAAATTTTTTTTAAATTTCTAATGTGTATAAACAAAATAAATTTGTTTTTCTCAAAATTTGTTTGTAAATTCAAGGCTAGAGGTATAATTTTACCATTGCGTCACAACCAAACTTCTCTCTCTGTTTTAAAAAACGTATATTTACACATACAGTGTACACCTCACTATGATTTAAAGGTTGCAAGCTCTCAAGCAAAAATCTATGAGAATTTTGCCAATTACTTCTTAAAACCAAAGTTGGGAGGGAGCAACGGGAGGGGTAGCAGGAGGGGGGGGGACTAATAATCCAACACCTTTTACTTAACATTCCTTTCTCATGTTCCTCAGGGCTAAACCATCTTCTTAATAAATACAAATATAATCAGAATTATTAAATAACTTATTAATTAAGTAACAGTGAAAGACTAAAACCTTTTTTTAAATATTTAATTTAATTCAGTATAAAGAAGTTAGGAAAATTCTAAAATAATCTAAAAAAATAAAATGTGTGCAATAAACATGTTGCATTCTTCAACTAGCTATATAAACCAATATTCTGTTGTACATAAGCAGGTTAAAGAGATAATCTACTTTAAACAAATCAGTTAATAAATCCTTCTCATATTTCCACGTCAAACTTTAGTAAATTGCACTTAAATGTTTTCAATCATATCTTCTCTTATTGAAGTGCTATGAAGAAGACCAAATATGTTGAAAATGTATACTATGTAACCAGATAAATCATATTTGTGCATAAAATTAAAACTATAAGTCGTAAGTACAAGTCGTACTAATAATATCGCTTAAAATTGAATTTCTCCTTCTGTTTAGTTAGTTCACTGTGTTCCATCTATCGACAACCTTCTCTTCCTCTAAACTTTAAATATTTTTAAATTAACCCTAAGCCTCTTTTTCCTATCAAATTTTAAAAAGTCCTCCTTCATTTTATTTTTTAATTTCTGGCAAGAACTCAGTTTCTTTGTCAACACATCAAAGGTTTATGACCAAAGTTCAAAAACATTGCCCAGAAAAAAATGTTTTTGAAAATGCGCCAATTTTAAAGTTTAACGGTAAAATTGTTAATGTTAATAGGAAAGGGTCGCGCTGAAAGCCTGGCATTGTATATTCCATTCTTGCTTAACTCCTCTTTTCTGTATTGAAACTTTAATATATAAAGAAAAATAAAACTATTTCCCCTCCCGCCTCTTCACTATTCTGTATTCCAATATTATTCCCTTCTCTTACAGTCTGAGCATGAAATTGTTGATTGATGGCTAGATAACGTAGATTATCATTAGATTAGATTATACAATACCTTCTCCATGAATATACGGGCATAATATTCATACGGAAATAATAAAAATAAAGAAAAGTAATGCTTAAAATTTTAATAAATAATTACTTGGATTTTTAAAATGGCTTCATTTGTGTAGTGTGCGTGTAGTCTCCACTGAAATCTAATCGAACTGTACGTGTCCACAAATAAACTATTTTTTCATATGTACATATATATCTATATATATATAGATAGATAGATAGATATATATATCATCTGGCTCAGTTTCATTTGCCATTGTCAAAGTATGCCGTATTTGAATATGTCATTACACTTGCCATACTTACTTTTGCACAGAACCACTTGCTATAAGTTACACGGCCATAATGATTAAATTAGCCAATTATACAATATACCTCTTTTTACCAAATATAAGTATTTTTATATTTACATATAATATCCCCCATGTGTTATATTTCACACATTAAGAAATATTCTATGATCTGAACAAATCCCCTGTATTTCCGACAGAAGGAGAAGAGATGGGGAGAAAAGATGAGTAGAGAAGAAAAATGGAGGAGTTGGTGACAAAGGATATGGGAAGGGAGAAAGGAATAGGGAAAAATAAGAGGAAGGGACAATAGAATGGAGAGGGAAGTGAGAAAGGGGAAGAAAGGAAAAGGGGAAGAAGAGGGAGATGGAAGGTAGAGATGCATGAGAAGGGAAGGAAAAAAATGGCGGTGTGGAGAAAATGTTATAATTTAATTTTATAGGGAAGGGGGGAAAGTAAGGGTAGTGGATCAAAAGAGGAATAGAGAATAGAATTAGGAGAATGGTAGGGAAGGATTTGAAAAGGTGGAGGGAAGGAGTAGTTTGGTAAAGATTATGACGTTAGAAGAGGTTAGGAGCTGGAGAAAGATAAAAAGTCCATTTTATTTTGAAATTATATCATCAATTATCATTTTGTAAACAATCATTGCAAAAAATTTGGTTTAAAAATTGTCGGTCGGCATATATAAATGTTTCATTTAAAGCTGAATATTCATATATGCAGGTTTACTATGGCCTTAATTTTTTTACTTAAATTAATTAAATAATTAAATAAGAATAAAATTTAAAAAGACTGGGTAATGACGTGACGGGGCAGGATTTCGTGATGAGGGGAGAGCTAACCAGTAACCACTCAACAGTCACTAAATTCTAAACTAACAGTAAAAGGGGGAAATTCGTTTTGTTTCTAATACAGCTGGCACGTACCCTACGCAGATATTTATCAATGTATACATGGTAAAAAAGTCAAATAATTTATCTTAAAAAGACAAATGGACTACGTAAAAACCAAGAAATTGTTAAGTTTGACATGAAAGCTTCTAAAATTGCACAAGCGCGACAAACCAAAAACCCATATTATAGATTAAAGAAGGGTTTAAAGTATGGTCATTAGAGCGCGGTGGTCTCAATTTTCTCACTTCTAATCTACATTTAAACTTCTTGGAATGAACTTCTGATATCTGAGATTAAACTTAAATTCCTTGTCTGTACTTTGCCTCCTTCCCCCCCCCCTTCCTCATACACTAGCCTGTGAGCCCATGATACCAAACAAACAGAGCCAGCCATACTACTCCATAAAGCTAATTAAAATTAGAACTTGATAAAAATGGTTAAAATGTAATTATGACCAACATTATATACTCAGCTTAATTATATTATAAATTATTAACCTCCTTCCCTCCATATATCTACTCATTAATGTAGAATTGTAGAACATTCAAATCAAACTAAAATTTTGAAATTGATTCTAAAATTTGAGAAGATATGTTTTAGCCAAAATTTAATTTTTTTTCTATATTCCCCTTGTCCTCTTGTCCTTGTCTTAGAGTTCCCCCCCCTTCCCGCCTCCCCCCTGTGATCTCGAATATTACAGGTTTACACTCAACTGTTCATGACAACCTCTCAAACTCAAACCTAGTATTCTTCTCATCAGTTTATATCCCTTCCCATCCATCCAGAAATTTTCCCATTAGTTTATATTCCTTCCCATCCATCCAGTAATTTTCCCATTAGTTTATATTCCTTCCCATCCATCCAGTCATTTTCCCATTAGTTTATATCCCTTCCCATCCATCCAGTAATTTTCCCATTAGTTTATATTGCTTCCCATCCATCCAATAATTTTCCCATTAGTTTATATTCCTTCCCATCCATCCAGTCATTTTCCCATCAGTTTATATCCAGTCATTTTCCCATCAGTTTATATCCCGTCCTATCCATCCAATCATTTTCCCATCAGTTTATATCCCTTCCCATCCATTGAGTCATTTTCCCATCAGTTTATATCCCTTCCCATCCATCCAGTCATTTTCCCATCAGTTTATATCCCTTCCCATCCATCCAGTCATTTTCGCATTAGTTCATTTTTCTTCCAAAGTATACGATCATTTTCTGTCTTCTCTCTATTACGACTTCTTCTTTAAATAAAAATAATTCTTTCTAATCCCATTAGTTTACATTTTCTTTCCATCCATCTTTCTTTTCCTTTTCCCATCAGTTTATTCCATTCCCGATTCATCCCTAAATCTTTCCCATCATTCAATCCTTCATCCCACTCTTCATTTCTTCACTTTTCTAACCATTCTAACATTAAACTTCTCATCAATTCAACAATTATTTACTCCGTCCTATTCAGTTTTCATATAAAATCATGAGGTTTGTTGATCCTGACCTCTGTTGTTCTGGTCGGATGAATTCTACTGGTCCGCATGTGTTCTCATCTAGATACCATCTTTATGCTTGTAAAAATCAATTAATTAATTATTTGTGTAGGAAACAAAGGGAATAGAAATTACATAGTTTATAATACGTATGATACTGAATATATGAGTTGGTGAAAAACATAATATAATATATATATTTATACTATCTTGGTAACTTAACTTTGATTGTTATATAATCTTTCTCTATGATAGTCAACCTATCAAAGAATATTTAAAACAAGCTAAAAAGATTCACTCACCGAAATTTGAGGCTAATTGGTCAAAAGGTTCATGATTGGACTTGCAAACAAAATAACAGAAAGATACACAAATATTACTGCTTTATATATTTAATTAATCGCAATAATAATATTTTTTTTTAACTTGCATTTTCAAAAAAAATATAACTTATTATTTATTAATATTAGGTAGAGAATATGTAAATATAAAATTAGGTTTAAAGTACAAACTGTAAATTGAACAGCCATTCCTCCGTGAAAACCCGGGCTGAATATTATTTTGTTTGTCCCCCCCCCCAAAAAAGAGAAAAAATTCGAATATTTAATTTAAAAGTAATTTTTTTTTTCTTGAATAAAATTACTGTATAATATTTGAAAATGTTCTAGGTATGGTTCCAGAACCGACGAGCAAAATGGAGAAGACAGGAGAAGATGGAAGCTGCAAGGTTAGGGTTACATGATTACCAACTTGGGGGTCTCAGACCAGGACTAGGACTAGAACCCTGGCTCGGCCCTCCCCTTTCCACCCTTAGCCACGCCCTCCCTGGTTTCCTCTCACACCCCCAGGCAGCCTACGCCTCCTATCTGACCACACCGGTATCAGCATCAATCGGTCTCTCTTCTCTATCATCACATATGGCCTCAACTGCTCCCGCCCCTGTTTCCCCAGCAACATCAGATGGTCGTCTTTCTCCAGGAATGGAGACTCCAACTTCTATCAGTCTACCCTTTCCTCTCTCAGAGCATAGAATTTCAAGCATTAACGCTCTTAGATTGAGAGCAAAGGAACAGATGGAACTTTTTAGAGAAAATGGGTTCGCCCGTTAGAACATTTTTTGCTCGCCCTGCTTTATATTTCCCCCAACAGTCAATACTAGTTTTAAAAGAGGGAAATAAACGTTACAGACATTCTAAACATGTTGGAATCATTTTATTGGTTTATATTTGGGTTTTGGACTTATAAAATGCATCAAAAGTAGTTCGAACCCGACACAGTTCAGCTAAACTCAGAAAAAAGAGATTCCACTGTTACCCTTAAAGCATCATAACCAGTGAAAAAGTGTGAACATGGTAATACACAATAAACATTAAATAAATTAGTCTGTGGCGGCTTAAACTTAAACAATAAACTGCAGTTACTACAGAAATACCACACGACGATGCACGCTGAAAGTTTGGTGATATATATTAGTAGAATAAAACAAGAAAACATTTAATGTAAGAGCTGATTAATCTTGTTTTATTTAAGTAATTCTTTTAATTTTGAACGTTGTCTACCTTCGACCCAGTTTGCACGCTTATAACACTTTATGAATTAAATAAAATGAATTACTGTATTTTTTTTTAATACGAAAACAACATCAAAATGACAAACTTAATTAAAGACAAGGTACTAATGCAAGGAAAGTTAATTGCGGTCGCGTATACTCTGCGTACATATTGAAACCAGTTTTCTCTGGGCGGAATTTGTAAACAAGAATAGATGCATCAGAGTTTGTTTAGTATCCGTGGAGGAAAAATGCATTTAATTTTGATAATTTTGATAATTCACACAATAGTTTCCTATGACCAGAATGTTTCAAAGATTATTTTTGTGAAAATGGATTCCATGTCAGGCTGTAACATCCGGCTTGTGTTTCCTTTTCCGCCCAAAGACAGTACACTGCAGAACAAAAAATGTGTTTACCTCTGAAATAACTTTCCTTGCATTAGAACCTTTTTAAAGATAAATAATCTTACAATGCCATGGCTTTTAACTAGTAAATACAACAGTTTTCTTTTAAACCACGTTTGACATTTAACTCAAAATTATTGAGCTTTTTTTCAAACGAATAATAAAAAATTTATATTTTCTAGGCCTAATATGTTGGCTGCATTAACCTCCAACCTAATTTATATGCTTGAAATACATGCTTTAATATATCAATGAAAATGTAATGTTTATTGTAATAGAAAATTCAGCTTTGTTAATAAACTTTAGAATAAAATATCTTTCAAATAAACATCTTTATCTGAGCAAACAAAAGTGCTATAAAAAGAAAATTCTAATATCATTTGAAAAGGTTACTCTGTGAATGACTTGATATACAGGATGACCCCAAAAAATTGGATTAGGGATTTACAGTCCTAATATTCTTTTAACTTGACTTTAAAAAGTGTTTAGTATACAGTTTTAATTTTATAAGGACTCTTTAAAATAAATTTTTGTCGTCTGATTCTTTTATTTGGTATAAAACTTAAAACTTTCTGTTTACTTAAGCTAACCAATATTATTTAGGAAACAAAAACACGGGAACCTGAAAAGAGAGGTTGCAACCATCCGGCCTTATGATTTCGAACAGCTTTGATGGACCTTAGAAATAGGTCATGAGGACCGTATTGAAAAATAATTTCAAGTTTAAACCTTACAGTTATCAAATTATGTATTCATTTGCGTAATTTCTATGCAATATAGTTTTCAAAAGAACAATACAGATTATTAATTGATGGACAGGAAGTACCTTTTTGGTGGACAGGAAGATACCTTTATGGTGGACAGGAAAGTACCTTCATGGTGGACAGGAAGGTACCTTTATGATGGACAGGAAAGTACCTTCATGGTGGACAGGAAAGTACCTTTATGGTGGACAGGAAGGTACCTTTATGGTGGACAGGAAGGTACCTTTTTGGTAGACAGGAAAGTACCTTCATGGTGGACAGGAAGGTACCTTTATGGTGGACAGGAAGGTACCTTTATGCAGGACAGGAAGGTACCTTTATGATGGGCAGGAAGGTACCTTTATGGTAGGCAGGAAGGTACCTTCATGGTAGGCAGAAAGGCACCTTAATGGTGGGAAGAAAAATACCTTAATGCATTATAAGTGCAAATGGTGGGAAGAAAAGTAACTTTATTGTGGACAGAAAGGTACATTTATAATGGATAAGGAAGGTACTTTTGTGGTAGATAGGAAGGTACATCTATGGTGTGCAGGAAAGAATTTTTATGGTGGATTGTCGAAGAGAACCTCTAAGGTGGATAGAAATAGAACCTGCATAAGGAACAGGAAGATAAACTGTAGGAAGGACAGGAAAAGAACCTGCATAATTGACAGGAAGAGAAATTGTATGATGGATAGGAAGAGAACCTGTTGAATAGACAGGTAGAGAAACTGTATGAAGGACAGGAAGAGAACCTGCATAATTGACAGGAAGAGAAATTGTATGATGGACAGGAAGAGAACCTGCAGAATGGACAGAAAGAGAACATGTTGAATGGACAGGAAGAGAACCTTCAGAATGGACAGGAAGAGAACTTGTTGAATGGACAGGAAGAGAACCTGCACAATGGACTGGAAGAGAACCTGTTGAATGGACAGGAAGAGAACCTGCACAATGGACAGGAAGAGAACCTGTTGAATGGACAGGAAGAGAACCTGCACAATGGACAGGAAGAGAACCTGTTAAAAGGACAAAAAAAGAGAACCTGTACAATAGACAGGAAGAGAGCCTGAGAAGAAAGAATTTATGATGGACTGACAGGGAATCTTTATTTGAACAGTTGGACAAGAAAAAAGTTCGATGTGATAAACTGTAAAATAAACTCTGTAATATACTGGAAAAGAATCTTATTTGGACAAGAAGATTAGTTCGACTAATGGACATCAAAAGAACCTTTTTTGATAGACGAGATGAAAAATTTCTTATGAACAGAAAAAAACCTTCATGTCGGACAGGAAGAGTTTTCTGATGAACAGATTCACCAATCTCGACATCAAGAAGAAATCTTTATATTATATATACCGATACGACAATGCACTAAAATAACTCCAACTGTTCTAAATATTTGTTTAATTATCGATATTCAGACTTAATTTGACTCCCTGACAATATTGCTAATTTTAATAAATCTAATATTCTATTAGTTTAACAAATCAATTCATCAATAATAACGTTTTATTTCCTAAACTGTCTCGCTGCCGCCCTTCCCCTAGTTTTTACATTGCTCCAATGAGAACCCAAGGTTTAGTCTCCACGAATGAGATTCTAGTATTTTCAGAGAAAAACATCACGAAATCAAGTTTACAGGTCAGGAAAGGAAGAATGATTTCTGTTTGTCAGATTTAAGATTTTTTTAGGTGGGGGGGGGGGGTGAGAAAATGTTTTGTTCTATTAAAAGTTCACAGCCCAGATGTTTCCTTGAGGGCGAAGATGACTGAATTGCTAGAAATAGGATGAGTTTGGAATATTAAATAAACTGAGCTGAGAGATAGCGCGGGATTTAATCTCTCTAGAACTTTAGAACCAAAATACATTTTAGTGATTTTACACTTAATTATTTTCTTAACATAATTAATGATTATATGAAGCTGATGATTACTAATTAAGAAGAGTAAATGGAAACCTAATTACTAAACTAATTGAGTTCTCCGTGAATGAGTTGGAACTATGTATATGTATTAAATAATTACAGTAAACAGAACTACATGCATCTACAGAAACATAGTAACCTGGCTATAATGGTTTATGTAAAGATGTTTTTATCTTTTTAATTGTGCATATACTTAAATAGAAATAAAAAAACTTTTTCGTGTAGACTTTCAAAAGTATTCCAAGAGAATATTTGAACTTACCAAATCCAACCCATTCAAAAGTTAGCGTACTAGAGGAGGTGCACTATAAACTACGGTTCATTTCAACCTTTAATCAGCTAGAGTAAGCTGTACAGTACAAAAACACAATATATAAGGCAAAAAGGGACAGTATGTCAAATTTATTATCCTCTTCTAGTGAAAATATGGGATCATGGGAGATGTTTACGTGAAGTAAACATCAGAAACTACAAGACTGAACTCAGAGGAATAAGCAGAAGAAAGTAATTTGATTTAAATGTAAGCGTGTATTTATGGAAATAGGTCTCATTCTTTAAAAGGTTTAAACATCCCTCCTTAGAATTTATTCATTTGAACATTTATACATTTGAACCTTCATGGCAGAAACAAATCTGAAGGATAAGTATTATGTTTAAACTTTTAAAAGTGAATATTTTAAATTTTTTACAAATCATGATTGGATTATGTTTCTTTTTTAATTCATCTTTAAAAAAGTTTTTTTTTTGAAATTTTTAAAGCATTTCTTTATTATCTGTTTTGTTCGTTAAGCAAAAAGGGTCAACACAGACCGAAAAATATATCTATTTAAAATGTGTAACTGACTTTATATCTGTTGAGGTTTCGGCTATCATCATCAACACCAAAATTAAAATATTTAAAGAGAGGTTGCATTTCTATAATCATACAATTTGCTTCCATGCTTGATTAAAATTCCCTTTATCTATATGTGTGTATTTCATATTTCCATTTAGTAATTATATACAATACAGAATAAGCGTCAGTATGGCTCAAGTTGTTTTGGGAGTTATTATAAAAATTTCGCTTTAAAAAATCAAAATTTTTAGTCTTACACGCAGTTTATAATAGTTTTTAAAAGAAGTGCCAGAATTTTTTTCAAAGATGTTTAAATTGGATACATTTTTAATTTTATGATACACATTCATTTGCTGAAGAACAACAATGGAAAAGCTTAGAGAAAGGAACTTTGTTCGTAAGAATTTTTCTTTCCTCAGATAGGCAGGACTTTCTTTCTGCTGAAGAGGAATAATCTGATATTACAGAAAACTGGCTATATATTTGACAAAAGGGAAAAGCTTAAGTTGGACATTTATCTTCAATGCAAGTAAATACTAAAGATGTCTAAGCTTTATGTCAAATGTAAACGAGAATTTACATTATGTGTAGAATATAATGTGGGGTGTATATATCCCTGTGGTTGTGTAAACAGTAACAAGAGTTAATTAATTTTCCACTCTGCACAGACAAAGGAGAGATTGGGGAGAACTTGGTTGGATTATAAAAAATATTTTCTGAAAAAAAAATCAAACGTTATTTCTGAAAATAATCGTTAAGTCATAAAAGATATGCAATCATAAAAGAATTCAAATATGATATGCAGATACAAAAAGACCATTACAAAGATAATTGATTTTAAAAAAAGATTTGTAATCATTAACGAATTCAGATATGATATGTAGATATAAAAAGACCATAATTGATTTTTAAAAAGTGTCTCCTTTTAAACGATATGGACAAATGTCTAGAAAAATGACTAACAACTATTGTAATGTTGACTGTAGACAAATCACAGATATTTTAACCAATAAACAGTGCTTAAGAATATAAAGAGAAGAAACCAACCATTGGCAAACTGCTAAAATGCTGTCAAAAGATTATGTCTGAAAATAGTAAAAGCTGATTACGAAATACCTGAAAATAAAGTGGTAGAATAGGAAACCAAACTCCTATAATTAAAGGAAGAAAAGAGAAAACCAAATTCTCAAAAACACAATAAAAAGAGAAAAAGAAAGAAACCAAAATTCCAAAAATAAAAGAGGAAGGATGGAAAACAAATATTAGAAATCAAAGTGGGAAAAGAGGATTTAAAAATCCCCAAAATAATGGAAGAAAAAGAGGGATTAAACTCTAAAAAAAGGGAGACAGCGAGGGAGAGAAAATTTTGTAAAATGGAGGGGTTAGGTGGCGGCATAAACTTTAATCCTAGTTAGTTGTGTTGTTTAAATTCAATCTTTACAAGTTAGGGACGGAGAGGAAGGGAATATTGAGCTGGGATTGAAAACTTGAAGACCTCAATCAAACATGATTTCGGGGGGATTTATGTTGAAGAAAGAAATAATAAGCTGAATGACCGCTTCGAAAAAATAAAAAATTGAAATGAAAGAAATTGTCACTGACATTAGGACGTAGAAATGACCTATTTAGGAGTTCAACATTTCACAACACAATCCCTACACATTTTTATCACAGGGCAGACTAGGGACTTGTTATCTCTAAAAAGAACAAACAAAATCTAGTTTTATTACATAGTTCCAGGCATGAAATTACTGAAGGCAGCTTATGGGATCAAATCTGTAATCACGTAGAGTAGAAATCTACTTCACCAGAGTTATATGTTACTATTAATCAAGTAAAGACTATGATTTCTAGTTAGATTTATTAGTCTAAGTTTGAATACCATCTGCATAGATACAGAAATCAAAAAATGTGCGTTTGTGGCAAAAACTCAGTTCCTTTAATAAGTAGTAATATTCTTTGTAGATAATATATTTGCAAAAACAATCAAACTTTATGTTTCTATCTTGTTGAGAAGTTAATAAAATATGAATCTTGTTGGAAGGGTTGAAAGTCTAATTAGTTTACAAATTGACTTGATTAGTTTGACTTTGTTAACCTTAATTACAGCTATTGAAGGAACCGTTGCTAGCAGCTTAAACTTTATCTAATTATTCTTCACAGTTTTATACTGTCATAACTCTAACGTTTAATCAGTTGTCTAAATAGATATGAAGAGCAGTACGGTCAAATACTGCATATATGGGGTTGTCAGTTTAAAATACGACAAATTCCCCCCAAAATCTACAGAATGATACAATTAGCTTCAACAAATCAACAAAAATGATCTAACAGAAAATTTATTATCTATAAATATATGACATAGAAGTAGCTAAAATGTAAATTATAAACAAAATCACATTAATAAATCAATAAAAAATATCACTACCAAATGAAAAAAATTCAAAACAAAGCATTGAAGTGAAATGGGAAGAAAATAGTTATGTTGATATATTTCCCCCCTAATCACTAAGTCATTAATCTGTTTAACCCAAACCATACAAATAAAAAGAAAACCTGGTTTACAAAACAGGGTTTATAATAAACGATCTGATATTTTTTCTCAAGGGTAATAAGAAAAAACCTGATTTTTCTTCTTCATGATCATAGCAAAACAATGGCATTATAAACCTAGTTTCCATGTATATAATATCTTTAGTTTCGAGTTCAGGAAATTAAAATTCTTGATTTGGATAAGTGAGTACAGAATAATTGACTAACAATCTGCTAAAGTACTATTATCAAAGATAAGGTTGACACGACCGGACGTCTGACAAGTTTATATGTGCCGCAACGTTCATGTAAAATAGAACAGTGGACTTAAGAAGGAAAATATTTGTATTTCCATATCTACTGTTACTTAGTTCTAGCCACGATCCATCCCCAGAACCACTGGATACACTAAAAAATACACAACAACCCCAAATTCTACAACTCGATTGATTGATTAACTCATGCAACTGTTTAGTAAATCTCTTTCAAGCTAGATAGGCGCCCTGGTCCACGTCAATGATCCTTCTATGACTACAATGGATTATTTAACATAAGTTTTCTAAAAGCATATTATTTGTACATCTTATCTTGAGGATCTATGAGGTGGCATGTAATATCAAATTTAAATAGTATTGTTGACTAGCAACAAAATTTACTTTACTTTAGCTAAATTTTGAACAACCAACAGAGGATAAATTATAAAGTTTATACAGGGTGTCCCACATCATATTAGACCGAGAACGGGTCTTTATTACGATTTTCGGGACTAATTAGAAAATTTAATTAGAATGAATCATTTTGAAAAATAATATAAGGCTTATATAAGAATTTTCTTGCGGAAAATGATAAGTTTTTCGAGTATTAAGGGTTTATTTTGGTGTTAAAGATTGGTGATAATCTAATATGATATGGGACGCTCTGTATGTTAAATTTTAATGAAATGTCCTCGTAAAATAGTAATAAAAAAATAAGTTTCGTAAAAAGGTTTTTAACTTAGTCTCAGATCTCAATTCTGTTAAAAACATTTTAGGGACAATATTACTCTGAAATTTTTAGATTCTTAACAGTTCTTTTTAAAATCTAAAAGTTTACAAAAAAAAGGGTAGGGTTAGAAACTAAAAAATAGTGTAAGAAATTTCATTAATATCTTAAATAATATCATAATAAAAGAGATCAATAAATATCATAAATGGCTGCCGGAATGTAATTTGCTTGCAATTTAAAACATCAAGATGACAAAGGTTTAAATAGTGCAGCATAATTTAAACTAATATAAAGGTGAAAATGAATGATATTCTCCAATCAAGTTTTGAATGCTGGACATTGAGGCAATCTACTAATCATCAAGATTATTAAAACCAAAAACTTCAATCAAGGATACTGTAAAGTTCTTATCAGAGGCTAAAGGAGGATTGTTAAAGGTGAGACAGGGTTCAGTTCTCCCAAACTCCAGGTTCTCGTCAAGATACAGACCTGTTCCATCCCTAGCAAACAGTTAAATTTCAAGAATATTTAAAGATAATGTGATGTGAAATAATAGATTTAGATGCGGACTTACCCGCCCCCAACTGTTATCATAGTTGTATCTCCTGACATATACAACTGCTCCGCTCTATTACCCCGTCCCTCAATCTCCTAATCGACAAGAAAATTATAATTAAATAGGTTACTCATGTCATAATCATATTGATCAAAGATATCGTACTTCCCACATCAAGAGATTTGAAAAAATATTGTACAAAACAATATTAATTGAGGTAAATATGTTCTAATTTTGTAGTCGACCTGGTAGACGTAACTTCATCATCGAACCAAAGACGATTTACCACTATACATATACATATACATATACATATACATATACATATACATATACATATACATATACATATACATATTATTATATTGATATTACGTAATCAATGAAATCATTAATGTAATTCCCACATCCAAAGATTAAAAAATACACTTTAAATACAAAAACAAAAATCTGACCTTGTTCTCCCCAACCCAAGGATATTTAAGAACCTTGTCTCCGTCAAGTTTGAAAAGAAATGTTTCTCCGGTCCCAAAATATGTTTGTCTCATCCCGCGGTCATCTTTCTCATTCCTACAGCGTGCAATTTTTAAGCGTGGAAAAATTTCAGGAAACCATACAAACAAAGTTTCATTTAAGATTTTTTTCTGTTGCTACTTGCAAAACCGGAACAACCATCTGCTTTTGGGATTTTTAAAGCGCTAAAAACCCCAGCATTGCTGCCCTACGGGCCTACCGTCATTGTAAATCCCAAAAAATACATAAATAGCCAGAGGCGTATTCAGGGGGGGCCTCTCCCTGGACCTGTGAAATCTATGGATTTCAGGGGACGACTGTATAATGGACTGTATAATCGACTGTAAAATCGACTATATAATCGACTGTAAAATCGACTGTAAAATCGACTGTATAATCAACTGTATAATCAACTGTATAATCGACTGTATAATCGACTGTATAATCGACTGTATAATCGACTGTACAATTGACTGTACAATTGACTGTACTAACGACTGTACAGTGTATTATCTACTATATTTCTGCTGTAATATCATCTGATCAATCTTCTGTACAATCTACCGTGCAATCTACTGTGTACAATCAACTGTACAGTCTACTGCAAAATATTCTTTACAATATACTGTACACTCTACTGAACAATCTACTGTACAATCTACTGTATAATCTACTGTACAATCTCCTGTACAATCTCCTGCACAATCTCCTGTACAATCCCCTGTACAATCTACTCTATAATCTCCTTTACAATGTGCTGTAAAATCATCTGAACCATCTTCTGTACAAACTCTTGTAAATCTCCTTTACAGTGTGCTCTTCTGAACAATCTGCTGTACAATCACCTGTGCAATCTTCTGTACAATCAACTATACAATCTACTATACCTTGATGTGCGGGGTGTACCAGATCCTTTCCTGACAGCAATGGCTTCATCAAGCATAGCTCGCAACTGTGCTGTTGAATCCTGATAAATTCAATGGAGGACGGATTTCATAAACAGCAAGATTTAGTTGAACTAGGTATTTTAGTTGGACTACTTATGTAGTAAACTCTTAGCCAATCTTTTCAGAAGTTTGTCAAAATCTCACTATTCATTAATTTCAATCTCTGGTCTTATTTTGTTTTGCCTTCTGGGGAAAATTTTATTAGCAAGAATACAATTTTAAAATATTTCACCTAACATTAAAATCCTTTTAAAATTTGCAAAATAATCATTTCTCCAAACTAACTATACGTTTACGTTAGCAAAATCAACCCAATTTTCTTGGAAAATTGTGGCGCATTTACAGCAGAAATATTTTCTTTTTGAATAGATATTCTTAACAAAGTTATAGCGAGAATATTAACATTCCCCGTTAAACAATTATAAATCCTTTTTTAAGTATGCGAATTTTCAAGTTTGGCAGAGAAATATAAAATTGCATGTTAAGCGCAAACAAAATTTTACAGAACAATCTACCTTAGATTTTGACTGCAGAAGCCGAAGCGCTTTTACAAACGTTGGATCCAGAGCCGTTGCAGACATGTTGTAAAAAATTTTCACTAAAATGCAGAAAATAATGGTATTTTCATGATTTCATGTTTTCAGAATCCATGGATCCAGAGCAATTACAAGACAAATATTATGACCCCTTGAAACCAGACGGAGAAGATTTGATATGATCCAAACATTCAAGATTCTCAAGGGATTTGACCGTGTGGATAGCAGTACATGGTTTGAAACTGTTGGGAATGAGCCTCCAAGACGAACTAGACAATCTGTGTATCATTTGAACCTAGTTAGGAGGCAAGCAAAGACTGAAATAAGGAGCAATTTCTTTTCAATCAGGGTTATTGAACCCTGGAATAGATTACCAACTGAACTGAAAGAGAGCAAGACTATAAAATCATTCAAGGATGGATTGGACACTATCATGTAAACCAAAGATGCCATATAGGACCACACTGTAGCTCCTGTTATAATCCTACCTGGATTTATAGGAGTCAACATAGAAGTATTGAAGAAGTAAGTATCTAATATCTGAAAGAATACCCATTAAGTATAACTACCTGCAAGCCCATGTTGTAGAACAATAAGCTCCGAAAACATCTCCCTCGTAGGATTTTATCACAAGGATTGTTGGTTCGTATTTCTCCGTCTTATTGAAGAAGGTTTGCAACGAGGTTCCGTGATCATTAGAAGAGTAAACTAAACAAGAAACATACAATACAATACAAGGGGTTCCAAACATTTTATAGGAATTATTCTAAATAACCTTGCCTGCATTTTTTCAATATTTTACTATGTCGGAAAATGTATGATCCGTTTCCTATAAGATCTTCACTTCATTTTAAATAAAACTGGTATTCGAAACATTCGACTTTAATTACAACTGAGACAGGTAGGTGCACTTTAAATACATTTTTTCTTGAAGTTCTAAAAAATATTTTTCAAGTCCTCAAAGCTAAGCTTATAAAATAGAAAATTATGTTTTATAATTCATTTCATAAGAAACGCTGCGTTGCGATATCGCGAGATACAGTTTTCAAAAAAGTAAATCTAATTGGAAAATTACCTAATTTTGGAGTTATCATAGTTATCCTTTCTGGTATTAGATTCCAAATCTTGACTAACTGCAATAATAAAATAGAGATATTCATTTATTGGTACTTAAGATATATATTATTTATTAGAGCAGCTTTAGAGACTCTAATTCAGAATACAATTAATATATAAAACAGAGGCAGGCATTTGTTTTTAAATAATACTAAAAAATAAATCATTAAAAAAATAATAATAATAATTTTTGGTGATAGTAACAATAATATTCATAAAAGTTATGGTTACCAGTTAAATACTAATTAAATTATTATAAACATAATTTATATTTCTAGCAATTAAAATCTAAGCTAAGAATGTAATTATATCTGAAAGATGAAAAGATAAATCTAAACAAACAGAAAAGTTTAATATTCAACTAATTATACACATGCATCGTTGCACAGAATTTTAGCTAAACGTAATTAAAAATTAATTAAATTTAGTTAAAAAGGGGAAATAGAATTAATGCATTAATTACAATTATTGCAAGCATTTCAACCAGCTCTATTTTAACATGTCAATTCTAGGTAAAAAAAAATGCGAAATTAAAACTAAAAGTAAATTTTTTTTAACAAAGATGAATTTAAAATTCAATTTTTAGGAAAGCAAACATGCTAAACTCACTAAAACAACGGAAAGTTTTAATTTTGTAGAAAATAATGTTTATCTAAATATTGCAAATCCTCCCTAAACACCTCCTTAAACATTTTTTTTATTGTTAAATCATACAATTTAACTAAATAAGAGAATAAAAGTCTATATAACAATTATTAAGGTGAACTGTGAACTGAAAGAAGGAGAAAGTCAAATTAATTTCTGCGATATAAATGGTAAGACTTTGTGATCTCGTAGTCTCTCTAGGTTTAATTTTACACAGAAGAATGAGAAAAGCTAATTTATGTGGGGACATATACGAAATTGAAAACATTTTTGTTCTTCTCAATTCTCTATTAAGATTGAAAACATGTAAGATTTCAATCTAACGTGGAATTTACATTATTTTGACGGGAGGTTCGTATGTTAAACCCTGTTAATATCTAAATTGAGTATTTATATTTACCTGAAATAAAATGTTAAGAAGTTAAACGAACAACAATATATAAAAACGTTGAAACGATCATACAAAAAATACGCTAAAACGAACAAACAACAAAATATTTATATAAGCAAAATGATCTATCTTTTAATCAAACTTATAATACTTATGAAACAATACAACCTCATTTAATGATTTAAAAAAAAATTTTTATAATGCTTTGATACATCAGAAAGTAAAATGGTTACCGATAGAAGCATAATTTCATAATAATTTTTTGTACCACACTTGTAAGATTAAAAAAGTTAAAGTTACTGCAGTAACTAATATAAATAAAACAAACAATGAAAAGACAATGTTACAATGATACAAAGTATCTAAAAGCGTGTTGTTGATGCCAGAGTCTAAATTCTAAACCAATTTTTTTTTTAATACATTACACTCATCTATAAACAGTTTCTGGTCTGATGGGACAACCCAAATCCTTTATTCATGTTTGCAGTACATTTTTTGCATGTTTGATGTCTTAAACGAACGTTGATTTTTTTCGAAATCACAACAACAAATCTCAAGGTAGAAAAAAATTGGGATTTTGTCAGAGCTGAAAACTTTAGAATTGTGGATATCGAGATCAATGTTTGTTTCAAGGAAAGTGTCTAAAATTCAACCAATCAGAGTGGCGTATGCAGAATCCCGAACAGCTAATCAGAAACAGAGATATTAAAAAATTGCGCGCGCCATTTAACGAGAGAACTCTCATTGGTCGGAATCCAGTAGGGATGTCCAAAAAGAGGGAATTAACCAGAAATTAGAAGTGTCCACAGTGGATATTGAGATTAAGGGATCGGTATTCAGGGTTGCCAATTCTAAAGTTTTCTGCTAAGATGTCATTAGAACTTTGGGACAGAAAAAGGTGCCACATCTCTACCGATAATATGAAATAAATGAAGTGCAGGATATCCAAATTAAACCTATAAAACTGTTATAAACAGAGTGCCCATAATAAACTAAATATTCCAAACTAATATTGCAGAGCATGCAATGCACAAGGAAAAGATACTCTACGAGGAAAGATTAATGGAACCAATTACGAAAGCAAATAATTCACATAGATTCTACAGCCTAATGATAAAAAGTCTCATCAATTTTTAAGACAGATTGAACTTTGGAGTGTCGCAACGTCTTGCGCTTGGATTTTACTTCTCTAACTCCCATTCTGTAGCCTTTACATGTAAATTAATACACGATACACGATGAAGAACTTTTTGTCAGCTTCTGATTTTAAGAAGTAATTGGCAAAATTCTCATCGATTTTTCGTAATAACTTGAGACCTTTTAATCACAGTGAATTAGACCAAAATATTGCAACTTATGGAAAATGACTCCACAAACAAAACAGTGTTGTACCCCCTGAACTGTTTACACTGCAGTGCACAGTCTTTAAACTAACTTCTAATAAACTTTATATCTTCAATTGATTTAATCTAAATAAATAACTTCTATTTTAGTGTAATACTTACAACTAAGACAAACTAAAACATAATATGCAGTGCAGACACAGAACATCTAACTTTTAACTTACATTAGTCTTACTCAATGCTTCAGATTTTAAATGATGAATAGCAAAGGTTGTGGTGGATTTAGGTTTAGGTTGAGGAGTACTAAATCCCTGAGAATATTTATTGTCAAGATTTTAACAGGATTATGAAAAGTTTAAATATAGGTTTTTAATACAAAACATTTCTAAATTGTCTTCATGTCTGAGAAAAAAATAATGCCGTCGAAGATTCAAGCTTTTTTAATTCAACTTACAAATGAACGACTTAGTCACAAAGGAACCTGCCAGGAAAATCTAGATTTTACACACACACACACTTATATTTTTGTATCAAGTCAAATATATGTAAAATTATTTTGTTTAAATTTGTAGCCTGCAGTTTATCCCAAAAGTTTATAAATCAACAGCATATTTTTCCGACTTCTTGATCTGCATTAGTCGTGTGAAGTTTAAATAAAACCACAATAGAATATGAATCTTCATAGGAAAGAATTTCACACGAAGGAATTGATTCTTTGCAACAAACTCTGATTTTCTTATCCATATTTCTTTTCAACCCAATGTCATAGACCTTTTATAATTCAAACTATGAATTCATAATCGAAATTTAAACTATCAAAAGTGTACACCGTCAGCTTGCAAATATTTAGGGATTAAAAATTTGAATTTGTGGCAAAGGTAATAATAAAAATAATCTTTTATACATAAACACATCTTTACTTAACTATTGATTACAATATAACCCAGCACTAAATACCTGTTTATATGACAGATTATCAGAAACTGCTACTAGATCCTCAACAGTTTCAGAATTTAACAATTCTTGATTACTTCTCCGTCTTCCTCCGTCCTCTATCTTTATACTATTCTGAGCCTAGAAATATTTCCATCTCTTAACTTGGGAAAACAATTATATTAACTAGTTTGTAACTTAAGGTTTGGTTCTCTTCTTCACTTTCACTATTTCTATTTGATTCAGAGGAAATTAATATTTAGATTTAAATACTTCCAAAAAAGTTGTGGAAAACAAATTAGAAAAATGGTTTGGTTTAATCTACATCATTTTACGTGCAACTCCCTCTATAAATTTTAGAACCCTGGACCCATTTCCTGGTTATCTATTTATTTGCGTTGCGTGTAAATAAACGTTGCTTAAAGATTAAATATCCACAGATATATATATATACCTTAACCTCCATTTCAAGTTTGACCATAATCTTTGCAAGATCGGATTTACTGAAGCGTTGTATCTTGAACCCAACTCTGATGAACTCCTCCTCTGGTATTGCTAGGTTGGAGCAGAATATCTGGATCTGTGAAGCTAGGCTTCCTGATAGGTTAGTTCCAGGTTTAAAAATCTCTTTACTGAACAGTTTGAGGATTGCCAAACCAGTCCGGTAAAGAACCTAAACATTAAAGTTTAAACAATTAAGAAAATAGGTTAAGAAAAAAGATTTCTAAATATTCGTTTTTATTTATCATAATAGAAATCAAAATGCAATAGACCGATCTTTTTTCTTAAAATAGCATTCTTTTGTCGATAATCAAAACAAAGAAACTGAACAATTGTCTTAATTTCATAGTTCTTAAATCTTTGCAACTTTCAGTTGAATACCTTTAACATGTAAAATTATGAAATCTGCTTAATAGAATAGTCAAAGTATGAAATATCAAAGCTACAAAGGAAAATGTAGAGACAAGAGACAAGGCGAGTGTTCAGTTATTTTCTAATCTTGGTAAAACATACAAGATATGAGATAAAAGGGTAGACATCACTTTTGAAATCCCAGTTATAAATATTACAGAGATATCACTTATTTAAAAGAACCTGAGGCCGAATTTAAAGAATTTGAGCGGCGGCTTAAATTTAAGCCGCGGCTCAAATATGGTTGGTTTCACTTTAAAATGTATTCAATGTTTCAAAATTTAAGCCGGCGCTCAATTGAAACCGGTTTTTGGCGGATTTAAGACGCGGCTCAAATTCATTAAATTCGGACACTGGGTTTACCTTGTGTCCCTCTAGAAGGAATGATGTAAATATTCTTGTGATCAACCGAACTGGTAAATATTTAAATATCCACCAAATCCAACCAGTCAGTCCAGAGTTGACCTTACAAATAAGATATTTTTCATCATTCCTCAAAATATTTCTGAAAATAAAAAGAAAATAATTCATAAAGAATAACTTTATAACTTCAATAGTTCCATCTATATCTAAAAATTGCAAGATGAAAAATCTGAGAAAATATTTCTTAAACATCAATATTTTAGTTACGAAAAGACACTATTTTAAAGATCTAATTTTTAATGAATAAACTGCTCTACTTTTTTTAGGATATTAACCAATTAGCAATCAGTATCATCCAGAAGAATTTTTTCAGGCTTATTTTTAATTATTTATTTCTATTTTGATACCGATCAATATCCAATTCATATTAGAAGTAAAGTAATCTACCTTATCTCGTCCAAATGATCTTTCTAATTCTGAGATATGCTTCTTCTAAAACAGAAATAGTTAAATATATAGATAATTAGTTTATTGATATTTATATAAAAAATCTGATTTAAAACATTAACTCAAAAAAACCCTATTCTTAACTGTCGTAAAAAAAGAAATAAAAACAAACGTTATTTAAATCAAGTTTATTTCTAATTCAAACGCAGAATTTGAATAAAATGCTTACAATATACTTGAGAGCTAGAGGTTTTAATGCTCTGCATGTAATATCCCAGGATCTTCTACTCTGCGTGAAGAAGGTAAGACCAGGAGAAGGAGATACCAAACAACTCAGGAATCCAAAACATTCCGCTTCGCTCAGAAATTTTCTATAGAAGTGGAAACAAGTGAGTTAAGATCTAAGAAATCATTATTTAGTCTTACGGTAATGTTTCTCATAAAGATGCATCTATATATAAATTTGGCTTGTCTGTCTGTTTGTTTGTTTGTCTGTCTGTTTTTATCCAATAAACGTCAAAACGGCTGAACCGATCGGGCCCAAATTTTTTGTGGGACATCACGTGACCACAGGGAAGGTTTATGAATGATCAAACTTCAAATATTTGTCTCCATCAAAATTCGATCTTCATTAAATTTTTGAAAATTTTGAAAATCCACTACATTTTTTGTGAAAATCCGCAAACTATTTTTGTTTTGTTTTACGATGTACACAAAGAGAACATGTTCACAATTAATTTAGAAGATGGGCGCGAAGCGCCCTCTAAGGCTAGTATAATACAAAATTTTCCAAATCAAGACTTTCAGAAAAATTTTAAGTTCATGCTAAATTACTGGTTCAAATTTGAGACATCGTAACGCCTTTAGTTATGAATTTTTGCCTAAAGTTGAGAAAAGCAAACCTAACTTGTTGCACAATGCATCAAAAGTTTTTAAAAACTTGTATTACTCAAAAGCCTATTAAAATAAAACATCCAAATTTATTTTTTATTTAGCTGAATAAGCCTGGGTCGTAATAGAGCGAATTTATCAATGAAATTTAAAAATGCTGAACATGATTTGCAACAATTTCCACATATTGGAAGAAGGGTAATCAAATAAAAAAATTAAGATGTATATATTTTTGTATTTGTAAATTGTTCATAAATGATATTAATTGTGTAAAAATAAATACAATATTTACATTGAGATTTCTAAAAAGCTATTGGTAGAGGAATTGAAAGTATTTTCCCTTGAGAAATCTGGCGCTTATTATTTATGTTATTAAAGCAGTAAACCTTAGCAATGCAGCTGAGGGGTATAATAAAGGACAATACGGTACATCAGGACTCATGTAGGCTATACATGTCACTAGACGGCAAACCTAAACAAGAGTCATACAGAAATATGCATTTTCGTTAAGGAAATTCTTAAGAATAATGTGGTAAGTGTAAAAAAGAGAGAGGTAGTGGTGGTTTGAATGTGTTATGTCTATTTTTATTTCAAAACTTAACCCAACCGCGTACTCATTGGATGCTAGACTAAACGACTGGATCTGTGTACAAAACCAGTACCCACACAATTTTACTATATGAATGATGCAGTTAAATTATGCAATTAAATAAACAAAAAATAAAAGACGGGATTTTATACCGTCTAAGATGTACCTGGGCTTTTGACTCTGTATCAAGATCATAGTTGAGCTGATGAGAATCTACGCAGCCTGGAGTCTGATCTGCACAATCCTAGACCCACCATAATAAACAAGTATATTTGATATTGCTTCATCTAAATCTATCTATTATTTTATGAAAATGATGTGGTTTTTTTAAACAGAAAGAAATTTCGAAGATTTTAAAGGGAACGAAAAGATTATGGAAGAGAAATAAGATGGTAGGAATTAGATAAAAAATTTAATATTTAAAGACCAAAACAAACTTTTACAATAAAAATAAATACGAAAACCAAAATTATTATCACATTACATTTACCTACCACTCTAGAGGTAAATTTGTTAAAAAAAAAATGGATATTTTGATTAAGATCCCTAATCGAGAAGAGTGATAAGTTGTTTATTTTAAGATTTAAATTAAATTAAGATAAATATTTTTTTGTATTTATTGAGATGGGTTCCTGCCTCTAAATTTCTTGAGCCGAAGCATGTATCTACAGTATCCCAGTATATAGAATCATTATCAATCAGTTTATTTTTAGTACGCAGAACCAGGATACTCTTCCACACTCCTTAAAATAATTAATAATTATACAAATAAAATACAAATAAAAGAACACTGCACAGTGCACGGTGAAACAATTTTATTTCAGAACAATGTGCTTGAACCTGGGTAGTTAGTTATTCCTGAAAATCTTTCTTCTGATTTCCCTTGGCAATCTTAGTTCTGATCTCTCCCTAGAAATCTTAGTTCTGATCTCTCCCTAGAAATCTTTGTTCTGATCTCTCCCTAGAAATCTTTGTTATGATCTCTATCTAAAAAATCTTAGTTCTAATCTCTTAATATCATAATTCACCTCCCACTGATTTAAAAGTTCGGGTCCTTCTTACAGCAAGATGTCACTTTTAATCACATTTGACAGCTTAAACATGAATTTTTACATTTTTACTCTTGTACACTTTTATGTCCTTGGAAATAAAAATTATAAATAGACAAATTTGTGCATTAAAAGATATATCTAGCCCTGGTTAGTCCTAATCAAATCTTTATCCATCTTATAAACTTTAACAAAAGAATTCAAACCTGCTATATCTGTAATAGGTTTGGTTCTCAGCAAAATTTTGGCGTCTTGTATTTTTCCCTAAAATTAAAAATAAATAGATAAAATAAATATATAAACTTCTGAATTTGGAATCTGAAATATTGTGTTTTGTTTACTATCTATGCAATACCAAAAAATTTAACAAAATATGGCATGCTTAGGATAAGATAATAATTTTGGTGTACATCAATTACAATGTATTTTACATGAATTATTTTTTAAATTTTGAACATTTCATTTTATTGTAGATCCGAATCATAGACGAAGAGAATTGAACAAAGAAAAAGAATTTACACATTTAAAAAAAGACCTTTAAATCTTATTTGGTAAATTTTCGTTTCCGGATTTTAAAAACCGGATCAATGAGCCCGCATCCTAAGCCTTGAAATTTATGGTGTAAATTATTCTCCTGTATAATCAAGCTCTGACCTGTTCTAACAGTGCTGAGAATGTCCCCAGATCTATACTACCCCCTGAAGACTGAGAACCTTCAACTGTCATCCTGTTCTCATATACTCAAGGATAAACTCGGAAACCCATTACACATTTCACAATCTGAAATGCTTCGTTTCGTAAAAATTTATTTTTAAAAATGTTTTTTTTTTTCTCTCTCACTCAAATCAATTAATCACACTTATGAGACAAAAAAAATCTCTTAAGATATAAAATTAAATAAAGACCGTGTTTGCATATTAAAGCAAGCAATATTACTTATTCTAAATTAATGAAAAATTTCTCAGAATTTGTTAAAGACAACATAATCTAGAGGAAACAAATTCTACAGATAACTTTCTCCAAACGTTTTGAGTGTTACATAAATATACAATTTAAAAAAATAATTAAACCTGTAATCTTTACACCATGTATTGTATCACAATTAGTTGAATAATCTTTATTCCTAAATTGAATTGTAGGTTTGGAAATAGTAAAATTCAAATAGTAAAACATATTTTTGATTTGAAAACTTGTTTCTATCTCAAAGTCTGAAGTTTCTGTTTGTATCCTGCTACTTTCTCTAAGACAGAGAAGTTCTTCACAGATCTAACTTCTATCACACTCAACGCCTAAAAATAATAGATCTAACATTTGAAATCAATTACTACAAAATACTTCCATTAAAAATAGTTTGAATCTCAATCCATTTGAGATACATTCTAAAGTATTTCTTAATTTGCCATTCACTATAAGTTGGTAGGGTCGACTATTAAATAAATTTTTCTTCCTAACTTTTAAAAAGTAAAAGTAAAAAAAGTAAAAAATTATTTATTTATTAAAGGAAAAGATAATGAAAAATACATATTTATTGTTTACACTATATTTAATATAAATTGGTGGATTGTTAATATTTTTCGACGATGAACTAACAACTTTTGGAATAAAAGATGTTAAAAAAAAAAATTTAAAAAGCTTTATGGAGTGTGAAAGAGATATAGGTGTTATGAAAAACGGGCATTTTTAAGCATCTTTTTAATTCGCGCTGATTTTTGACATCTTTTATGTTTGATAATATCTTTTACTCTTTTTATTCTTTTCTTTTTAAAATCGTCTTTGCTTTCTTCGATTTTTTTGGAAACATAGCATGTGTTAGAATTAAAACATTTGTTCTGCTGATAAAAATCTTCTATTAAATTCTGTTTAAAATTCGAAATAAGATTGATATTTAAAAGCTTAGAAAAGTGTCGTTTATTTTCATACCATATTTTAGGGAAATTGTGAGGGGGGAGCAGTCCAATTTTAATAGATTTTACTCTAGGAATATAAAAATCATTTCTGTTTCTAAGATTTGCGTTTTTGATATTTTTTGATAGTAATAAAATCTTTTATAAATGTTGGGGGTAATTGATCTTCTTACAATTGAAATACAAATTTAATGACATTAAAAATTCCTAATTTTCTGAATTGGGAGTATGTTTAAATCCCAAAAAGCTTCCGCTGTGAGACTTATTCTAGGTAACCCCATCAAAAGACGGATAGCTTTCTTTTGCAATGATTCTATTTTATCAATATTTTTGTTTTTGTCTTATAAAATAAAATTTTATCAAAATGGAGCTCTATTCATTATTTTTTTTTAACAATTTTATCAAACAGAAAAGAGAAAATAAATTTATTAGGTTAGGTATTTATTTGTTATTTATTTAAACAAAATTGCTGGGGCTACTCCTTGAATATCGTATTATAGCTCGCAATGACACGATTTTATAGTTTAGTTACAATAACAATTTAATTAGTTCCTTTAATGGATGATTTTCTGTTCTAAAAGGGTAGTATAATTGGTATTTAATCTATAACATTGCAAGAGACATCCAAAAATCTTCCATATTACCCATCCCACCTTCTAACCATGACCGTCAATCAAAGCCCATTAAATATTTACTAATTTCGATCAATGATTGGTCCCCGCAATTATGTCTTTTCAAACTATGATATTTGCTAGATCAAATAATCTAACTTTGAAATATTAAAAAGATACAGATTAGGTTTCAAAGATAAAGTGATTATTTTTTAATAATGTTTTTATAATGTTTTTTTTTATAATTTTTGTAAAATAAAATGGAATGAGGCAAAATAAATAATTTCAAATGTTCATCTTTTTTCTCCTTTCTCCATATGCACGTCCAGAGTTTCTCTTTTTCTTGCCAAATGTTTTATAATTTACTTTTTTAAAATTTGTTATTAAATAAAATGGTACGAGGCATAGGGTTTCACATGTTCATCTTTTTTCTCCTTTCTCCATCTGCGCTTCCCTTTGCCCGTCCATTAATGGCGCTGCTTTTAAAAGAATTTTTACGAGTCGCTGTCTTTGATCCATAATAATAAAAAGCACGATCACCCTTTCATTGTATGGATGTCCCCCTCTCCGTTTTTTTGTGTTGCTTAATTGTAATTGCAGGCTTAGCGCTGAACATTCTGTCTACTTGCATGTGACAGGTCACCACTTCTGCACTTCAAGTTAATTTCTATTACCAGCGAGGAAGCAATAGCTTCCCTGCTATGTACCGGACATTTTTACTTTTCTGTACAATGAGGGTTGCTTTTCAACGAAGGATAATCAAGTGACCTACTCATAGGTAAGGTTGTTGTAGGATCCAACAGAGAAATGAACTCGAGTCTTATTTCGCTGCTTGTGAGAAGGTTAGATGGTAGGTAGAGGAAAGTGGAGATGAGGATAAGGGTTTGTAAAAGTGGTGTATTAGGAATGTTTTGTTAAAGTCGTTCAATTTGTCCACGTGTTATACTGTTTCCCAGTCCAGCGGAATTCCTTAGGAAGTATGGCATTTAGTGTGCACCGCTGCATGCAGAATGCGGAGTTGTCTCCTTTCATCAGCACTCCTCAGGGAGAGGGACCTTACAAAAAGGGGCTCCGATCGCTAAGTGGAGTGAATATAAAACTAGTATTAGCGCTTTGTTATTCCTATTTCTTCACTTAGTACCCCGGCCGTGGGTACGGTAGCTAAGAAGGAGGCTAGCTAATTGAGCAAAGGGTTTAAGGCCGCTTGGCCTTCCCTCCCTCCATATGTGCAGACGCATTTCTCAGCGTCCACTGCAAATAGTGCAGGTAGCTTCCTAGCAGAGCTCTTCTATCCTTGACTGTAGGAATGCAACTGATATGAAGTGATTTTAAAATTTGAATTTGTGGCAAAAACTCAACTCCTTTGACATTTGACGTGAAATTTTATATTTGACATATAATTTTCCAATGGAAACCCTAGTCACTACCCTGTTGGGTCTTGATATTGGGAGCCATGATAATTTTGATACGATGTGTTATTTGAATTTAAATAATTTTATCAGTTTTCCAAACACAAACTAAAAATTGCCTGTGAATGGTCAAAGGCTATAAGCTTGTGATAATTCTATTATTCTAGTCTTTACCTCCATATTCTTCAGTTGGAATGCGAGGTCTGCAGCTTCAGAATACATATCCAGCTTCATTAGGTACTGCAGTCTCTCCTCAGGAGGTATCAGAGAGACAAATCTACATAATAAAGCATTTTGCTCATATGCTTAGCTAGACCTGGTTAAACGACTAGACCCAATTGGCTGAATTTTGTTGGAAACCCATGGATCCCCCGAGCCTGAAATTTAAAAGAGTATCGTTGAACGAAACTTCCGAGTTTCCTTTTTGGGGTCTTAATATTTGTGTAGATTTTGATTCAAGAGAGTTGATAAAAATGGTAAGGTATAAAGGATTAAATAAAATAATATTTCAAAACAAAAATATCGATATCTACAAAACTGGGTAAACCCATTTGTGAAACCCGGGTTTCAAAACTGGTTTTCATAACGATACCCTGTCTTAAGTTTTGGGCTCCGGGGGTAACAATATTTTCTCCCAAAAATTTGTTTCAAAATTCAACGGGTCACGCCGCACTCCTGTATGCCGAGTCCATTAGCACCTGATCCAATCAGGGTTTAGTCATGTGTTTGATGTCTATTCTGAACCAATAGAAATAGCTTGGTGGTAACATATATCTTTCTATCTCTCTCATTATCCAATCAGAGTTATGAATCCTTCAATCGGCGCTTTCAGTAAATCTAAATATTTACTTCTACTGAAACTATGGTGACCGTGCACTTCAGCTAATCTGTAATAATTATGTACCTCAGATTAAAACTACTGAACATTTTTATCTTACGTGAAGTGAATCGAGTCTTTGTCACAAACTCAATATTCAAATACCTATATCTTTCAACTTGATTGTGTAAATCTAAATTTTACCATATTAGGTTGCAAATATATAGGGATTATAAACCAGAGTTTGCGACCAAGACTCTATTCCTATACTCAGAATTGACATGAAGACATACAATTTTTAGGATGAAACGAGTGCAGTGTGAAATGTGTATGTAAGATTAATTTTAGGTCATTTAAGGTTGGCCGTCGCATACTAATAGCATTATTCTTTTTTGAAAAAGCATAAAAGCTAAATATTTCACTGACTTATGCTTGTTAAAATAAATAACTTGTGTCTAAGAACGATTTTACAAAACTGAAACAGTTGTGGGAAGTGGGTTGAACATAAAGAGTTCCAAACAAACGGTCAATCTCTGTTGCGCAGTTATTCGATATTAATTTGTTTCTACGACTCAAAAATACGGAAAATGTAAAACATCTTGTTAGAAATCAAGAAACAAAGAATCCTAGATTTATACCTGTGTGCTTCTTCTTTGGCACCACCTTGAATACAGGCGTCTACAAACGGACCAAATCCAATTAAAGATTTCTTACTCTTAGCTAAATTTGAAAGTTCGTCCCACTGCTTGCTAGCTCCGAAACTTCTGTAAGGAGAGGGAAAAATTAAATAGCTAACTAAATTAATTTACGAATTGAAATTCAAATAAAAAATATCCAAGTAGAAAGCATAAAACGGCATTTTTAAAAGAAAATTTTGCTAACTTCAGTTGAGAAAATTTTTCTTGTGATTTTCTTTCTCTGTTTTTTAATTTAAGGATTGTAGAGGCTACACATCAATGCTAAGGTAAATTTGTTTTTATGATGTTTATTTTTGTTATGTATTTCTTGAATAATAAATTTAAATGATAAAAAAACATGTCATTTTTAATTTTCTCCTCCCCTGACTTTGAGCCAAAGATATTTCCTATCTGAGAGTTTGAACTCTGATCTCAGTTTATCTGCTAGCTTTATTTCCCCCTCCTCCAGCAACTGGGAGATGGTCTCGTGGAGACTCTTATTCATGTACGCCTAAAAATGGGCTAAGAATAATGCTGAAAGTGTTATATTAAGAATAATGCCGTCACTAATGAGTCAAAAGCGTTTTCAAATTTGTAATATAAAACTTTTCTTAATAGTAAGATAGAGAGAAAATAGATCAAACATATATAAATTAAAAACTGTGAAATTACGTATTTAAAACGTAAAAATGTATATTTTTTTGTGAATTTGTTCTCCTGCCAAATTGATTTTTCTCAAAAAATTATGTATTTAACAGAGTGTTCCAAAATAAAGCTGACAGTATTTTGCCAAATCTTTAGAATAACATGGTTTGAGGTTGATAACTGGATACTCCTGGTAACTCTTACCCTGCCCAGTTTTTCTTCTAGTTTAGATTGATGATTAAGTAGTCGACTTGTCTCTTCAGTAGCAGTCAGATTAAACTCAGCTCTAGATCTCTTGTAGTAATCTTGAGCTGTTACCTAGACTATAATTTTTAGGAAAGGAATACACACCATTTAGTGAGGTTGAAGCCAGTGCTCCTTTCCGACGCGTTGTAACGTAGCTGAAACAGAAACATTTCCGACCCTTTCCATTAACAAAATTAATTCTTAACAATAAATGCTCTTTAGATTAAAGGAAATGAGAAAGTGTCGGAAAAGAGGGAGGATGGAAGCCCCCTCCCACCTCCATGCAATTTTGACGATGCACGGTAATCGCTTTAAATGAGTTAAAAATCAATCTTATCTAAATATAAAAAAAATCTATTTTGACCCCTAAAAATTGTTCTACGAAGAAAAGTGGTTGCAAGCAAATGAAAGTACCATTTCAAAGCAAAACAAATTACAAGATGGGGTAATTATCTCAAAGCCCTATATACTTTGCTTGTCTGTCTGTCTGTTTGTCTCCAATAAACGTCAAAACGGCTGAACCGATTGGGCCCAAATTTTGTGTGGGACTTCACGTGACCCCAGGGAAGGGTTATGGATGATTAAATTTTAAAAAAATTGCCTCCAACAAAATTCTATCTCCATTAAATTTTGAAAATCCCCATTTTTTTTTAAATCCGCGAAATATGTTTGTTTTTATTTTACAATGTATACAAAGAGAACATGTTCCCAATTTAAATAGAAGATGGGCGCGAAGCACCCTATAAGCCTAGTAATAATAGATGTAAATATTTACTAGAGCTGAAAGACGTGATTCTATTCTAGTAGACGAATAGCTCTCTATAACACTCTGCCTAGCTAATGAGTTCCAGTCGTCTTCTTGTTGTAACCAACTCTGTAGAGCTGCTGGATTATGCTGGCGGCAGTATTTACTGTACAACCTAAACAACAATCAAATACAACCTCGTTCTCATTAGAAACAAATTAATTTCTTATAAAAGTAAAAAAGGTGCACAATATAGTACAAATGTGAATATTATTAAATAAAAAACTACTGTTAGTATTTTATAGATCTGTTTTTAATAGAATAAAGGATTCTGTTTGTCCAATTTCAAAGTTTCAAAAAATATTTTTTTAGAGAACTCAATTGTAAACAAATGTGAACATCTTAAAAACAGAAATATGAAAAGAAAGGATATGGAACAAGAAGGTCGAAACCAACTATGAAATGAAACTCTAATGATAAAATAAAATCTACCTGGCTCCTAGATCAACTCCTCGAATGATCATATGAAAATCAGCAGTTGAATGCTGCTCCTGCAGGTTTAATATCACGTGGTAGATTAGATCTGAGTCCCCGCTATCCACAGCCTAGAATTAGAATTTTAAACAAACCTCCCCTCATTTAAAGGGAAAGTAAGAGTAATTTCAAGTGACCCTCAATGCACAGATGGGAATGTTTGATTTACAACGGTACCCTTGAAACATTGATCTGATCAATAATGTTTGATTCTGATAATTCATATATGTTCTCATGGAGTAAAATGCGCAATGTACTCAGATAAAAATGATAAACAATTCATTTGACACAGTTTAAGGGTACCGTTGTGAATCGGGCATTGTCATCTTTATATGGAGATTCATTTGAAATTACGCATACAGTCCCTTTAAACAGCTGATTTTGTACAAGCAAATAAAATTTTGAATGTTACACATTTAAAACCATGCATCTTCGAATAAAGTTAGAATTTGCCGAACTTAATTCTATTCAATATTTCCACTTACATTAACATTAATTCACTGTTTAAATTGAACTCGAACAAAATTCAAATTTACCTTGCTTAAAGCTTGAGCTCCTTGTCCCAACCTGAAATATATTTCAATATAAATATGTTATCATTTACAACCTGTATATCATATAGTTAAAGCCTTCAAACATAGATAGCTATATAATAAACAAGACATTCGTATATATATATGTTGCCTATAGCCGGCCAAACGGCTGTACCGATTGGGCTAAGCAATTTTGTGGACACTCATGGGTAGCCGGGGGGTGTTATAGGCTGAAAAAATTGAAATAAAAAAAAATCACGGACAACGCCGGAACTTTCAGCTAGTATAATATATATCTAGCCCACTGATCTAGTTTATTCAAGTGTATCCAGTTATATTTTAACCGCTCATAGGAGAGGTCCTCCCAAGTTCTTTCTCCGTGAAACGGAGCCGAGAGCAGACATGAGAGAGGTCCCAGGATTGATAGTAGTTTAAGCGCTGAGTGGAATGCGCGATTCATCCCAGACAAGATAAAGGAATAAAGGAAATAAATAGTAAAACTTCATCTTCAGCTTTTCTCTGCTATACATCTCAGCTAAAAGAAGGAATATAGAATCTCAAAAATCAGGGATGAAGTACACGCTGATACCGGTTTTGTACTTGGTCTGCTCATAAAAATGGAACTGGAACTCATCCTGCTCTTAAGAATGGATTGCTACGGAAGATCTTATTCAGAGTTGGGTATAAAAGTATATTTGTACTCCTATGCATAATGTATTGCAAAACAATACGAGTTCATCAATTCCACACAAGTCGGAAATGACTATAAATCAAGGAACAAGTAGACTTTTTTTCAGCAAAGAAAATTCCTCAATACGCCTCTTCCTAACATCCAACTTCTCCAAATTATCCATACCTCAACGTCAAATTAGTTGAAAACATCCAATAAATAAAGAAGATAAAAAAGTACAAAAAAATGCATGCTGACAGGCCTAGACTTGAGATTTAGATTAGAATACAATTGCAGAAACCTTCGCCAACCCACCACCCACCCTTCCCATTTGATTTATAAACAGTTTGATCAGCTGTAATGAATCAGCATTCCTGATAACTGCAATAACGAAAGCAAAATATAAAAATCAAGACATGCCTGGTCTGCAAAATAAAACAAATATATACTGCATTTCAAGTGTAGAGTGTAGGAACAGGGTGTCCACAACAAAATTCCAGAACCAAAAACATATAGGTGGTTAAAAACTTCTATGTAACCAAAAACATGATGGAGAATTGAAGCACATGAAAAAAACATTGTAAAACAAGAGTGTAGGGCAGAAAATGAAGTACAACAAGAACTGTGACAGGGTGTGTGCAGACGGGTGAGCACCCTGGTTAATTGCTTTGACCATCATCTATTTAATTACACAAATTGTTACAAACTAAAATAAAAAAATAAAAATGTAAAAAATTCCAGTGTATCCTAATTCAATCCCAAAATAGACTCCTTTAAACTCTAAACTTCTCTCGACCCCCTAGTCGAGGGCCAATCAACAGCCATTTATCAAATAATAAATGATAAATAAATAATAAATAGATTTACTTGAGAAGAAGAGGAACTTGTTTATCTGCTCTAATCTCGTGTTCTAGAAGCTGAACTGCTAAACGCTTCTTACCAACCTCAGCTGCTCTACCCGCTACATCACTATACGAGATATCAGCGTTTAATCCTAGCTTGGAACTAACCTAAATAAAAAAATACATTATTTGTGGACCACAATTAAGGAAATCAATTGCATGACACTAGATATTTCAAATAGAGATGAAATGGACGACATAAGCAGTTACACATTTATTGAATACAAATAAAGAAAGGAATTCAATCTTTGCCAAAAACTCAAATTTTCTAATCCACATATCTTAGCAACCTGTGGTTTAAACCTTTAATTATTTATATTTAGATGATTTGATCTAATCAAATTCTTACTTAGAATTATCTAAGATCTGCAACATCAGGATTAGAAAATCAAAACTAGAGTAAATTGGCTGATTCTTTAAAATAAACATGTGTTTGATTTTTAGTTTGTTTTATTGTTGATTTTGAAATCTTTTGTTATCAATTAGCAATCTAATACAGAAAAATACACTACCTGTCTAGCTGTCTCGGCCTCGTCGGCGGTCGAAGTTTCCACCTTGTAACAGGCCCAGTGTCCTAGTACTCTATTCTTGCCCTCACCTAAACACAGCCTAATTTTAGTTAAATTGAAGAAATTGATTTGTTTTTCAATATTTTGGGAGAAACCAAAATAAAGAGAATTGTAAACTTTATATTGTTCTTTGTTTTCCTCGAAGTATTTAGTATTCAAACACCAGCACCTATCTTGAATTATATTTTAATGATGAGAAAACAGATATTATTTAGAAAATTATTTTCGGGGAAAAAGACACTTATTATAAATTTTGAAGAACCCTCCACCCCACTTACCACTATTACTTATGAATTCAATGCATAGTGCAAATTTGGACAAAAGCTGAAAAATAATTTTATAATTCAGAATTGATTTTTAAGGAAAACTAATACCCCTGACACGTGAGAACTCACTTGGACTGAGTTTAAGATAGTCGCATATCTCTAGAGCTAGAGGGAAGAGCCTACGGTTTATGATCCTGTCAACTAGAACAGATCTAGAGAGAGAAGAGAGCTGGGTGGAGGTGAGCGGAATACCGATCTTGTAATAACGAACTGCATTCAATAGTTTAAGAGTCTGGCATTGCTGGTGGAATGTGTCACCGGCAAATCCCTAAATTAAATGAATATGAGACGTACTACGTAAAAGCTTACGATCCAGATCTATAAAATAAACTAAATTAAAAAGGTAGTATTAGTCGATGATCACAATCAATCAGGTTTAATCAACTTATTAATGTGCCTCCAGTTTTCATGAATATTTGCCTGAACTAACCTGGATAAATGAATTCCCAAACTTCGCAGCTCTCATTAATTCCTTCTGGTGTGAAGGTTGAAACATAGATCCAGCTGCAGATATACATTGAGATACTGCCTAGAATATTAAACCATCCAGCTGAAGATATACATTAAGATACTGCCTAGAATTTTAAACTATCCAGCAGCAGATATACATTGAGATACTACCTAGAATATTAGACTATCCAGCAGCAGATATACATTAAGATACTGCCTAGAATATCAAACTATCCATTTGAAGATATACATTAAGATACTGCCTAGAATATTAAACTATCCAGCAGCAGATATACATTAAGATACTGCCTAGAATATCAAACTATCCATCTGAAGATATACATTAAGATACTGCCTAGACTATTAAAGTATCCATCTGAAGATATACATTGAGATACTGCCTAGAATATTAAACTATCCAGCTGCAGATATACATTAAGATACGCCTAGAATATCAAAATATCCATCTGAAGATATACATTGAGATACTGCCTAGAATATTAAACTATCCAGCAGCAGATATACATTAAGATACTGGCTACTGGCTAGAATATTAAACTATCCAGCAGCAAATATACATTAAGATACTGCCTAGAATATTAAACTATCCAGCAGCAGATATACATTGAGATACTGCCTAGAATATTAAACTATCCAGCAGCAGATATACATTGAGATACTGCCTAGAATATTAAACTATCCAGCAGCAGATATACATTGAGATAATGAGCAGATTTACATTGAAAAAAAAACGATCTAAAATATTTAAAAGTGTTCTTTATGGTCCCGTTAAATGTATAAAGAATTCGAATGGATAATTGATGGTCAAATTAGTAAAATTTGGAGTTCAGGTGCTTTATATTACCAAGGCCAAGTCAAGTCCCCATAAAAAACCCGTCAAATAGATAATTTTGGGAGTTAAAACTTTTGTTATTTTAATTCCATATTTTCACAACTTCAAGACAATTAGTATTAAATGAATTCTTAATAAATTAGATTTACCTGGTCGAGTCTTGCTTGAATCATTCTGATATAATCATCAGCTTTGTGGGATTTAGATGAGAATGCCTGAAAACAAACTGACTATTAGATAACAGAGTTGAGGTGGAAGTAATCTACAAAACTTTTGGAAAGAAACCTTAGATAATACACTTGACAAGATGTGTTAACCTGTGATGCCATAAGAAGAATAGATCCCGGAGTCATTGAACCAATCTTGTAAATATCTGCAACGGGCTCTTCCACCTATATTTACAGTAGATTATACAAGTTTTTTACAGAAGTTTTTTTTGCAGTTTTGACGTCTTAGACTGACAAATATCGAATTGTAGTGGACAAAATGTAAAAATATATTGTGTGCATAAAATAAATAATCTAGAAAAATTGACACAATATTTCAGTCAAACGCTAGATGTCACAATTGATCTGGAATTATTTTTTACATATTAATTTTTAAATCTAAATTTTTTCACAATATTTTTTAAATAGTTGTATGATATAAGAGGCAAAAATTTTAACATTTCAATATTTCTTGTCCTTCATTTTCTTCTTGTCCATACATATTTAAATCATATTTCAGCTAAATTAAAAATTTTTTTTTTTTGGGACATCCTTGCAGTTTTGCCGATACTGCAAGCTTTAGAACTATGTTGAGAGGATCTTTCTTTCCTGTTCTGAACTCTGTATTGTTTACACATGTGTTATATCTGACTCTGCAACACATTTTCCTGATATTCTCTATCTTCTACTTAGGCATGTGANGGGGGGGAGTCTCCTAGTCCCATCTCTAATGCTTGTTTCCATTCGCTAATGGAATAAATTGATAGTGTAAAGCTTATCATCAGAGATTTTCCTTCAAATTTTTCCTGTTCTTTTTTCTTCTTGCTTCTTGTTTCTACGTTTTGAGGCCTCTGCCAATAGTTCTTGTGACATCGAATTGTGGAGCCGGTCAGAGAGATAAGGAGGTTTAGAGGAGGAATAGTAAGAGGAATTTCAGTAGTAGCTCCCTGCTTTCCTTCTTGTCATGGTCTTTCCAACTAAGCTCATAACTGCACCGCTTATAAAGAATGGTGAGTTGTAAGCCTCTTCCACAGCAGGCCAGTCCTCACAGCCGACCGTGTAAAAAACTGGTAGCATTGTAGATGGCTTATATATATACCTATCAGTGGTTATACTTTTTGAGTTTCCATTGTTCTTGCTTCCTAGGAGAGAGATGGAAAGAAAGAGAGAATCCACAGTCCACACTATTTAAATCCTATATTTCGCTACTCCCCTGTAGGATAAGTCATGAGCAACTCTACGCTCTTTCAAACTGTGGAGCCGGGAGCTGCTAAGAAAGATCTCACCCCCACAAGTAAAAAGCAACTAATTGAACCGGAATTTTAATTTCAATCACTTAAGGTATCTTTTATATGTACATCATATATTTTTACCTTATGAATGAGATCGTGAAAACCTTTGGATAAAACTCTAACTCCGTCACATTCCTAAACCACAAGTTTGATTACAGTTTCGCAAAGACAGAATTGTATTGGAGCCTGCAGAAGAAAGGAGTTATTTGAAAATTAGAGGAAAATATTTTAAACGATTAAAAAAATAAAAACTCTGATGTTAATGCATCATATTTTTGGTTTGTTTACAGTATCAATGTGTTGTCTTCAATTTGTACCTGTGTTACAGCAATAGGGGATATACCATACATAACTTCCACTACTCCGCTGATAAAACAATTGTTATACAAATTTAGGCAAGCTTCAAATCAAATCAAATCATAAGTTGCAGGGATGGCCGAGGACTCCAGTAGTGGATTGGAGTTTCAAGTCCTCCCCATTCCTGGTTTTTCAGTCTGGCCTTCCGAACGTAAGGTTAATGTACTCTTTTTTTTTACTTTGTAAAGCTTATGAAATTATATTCGTTTCCTTTCAAGGTTTGGATATTTAAGTTCATATGGAGGGGGGGGGGGCAAAAGTATTGCATTTACCCCTCTCTCCAAGTCTTGCCTTTGGTTGAAATTATTGGGTTAATTAGTAAGATCAACATGTATACTAAAGTAAACAGTTTTATTGAAGTGCCTGGGATTGCCCGTGGAATATTTAAAAAAATTCACGGGTTCCCTTAAATAAATTTCAGCCCATTCGGTCAAGCCGTTTGGCCAGCTATGGCCAACATATGTACATACAAACAAATATATTTATGTGAGCGAAGAGAATTATTATATTGATGAAAGATTATTTAGATTGTTTTAAGTTCCTGGTATGAACAAGGTTTGCAAGGCCGGAAGTGAGAGAGATAAAAACAGCGTCTTCTCCACACCAAGCTAGGTAAATAACCTCAGCATCTAACTGGTAATGACTCAGCTTCCTAGATATTCTTAACATTAACAACAATATTATTTAAGTGTAAAAATAATTCCTGGGAAAATATCAAAATAACAGCAAAACTTCCAAGTTAACGTTAAAATTACATTTTCCCCGTAATTTCTAAAAATGTAGAGGTAGGAACTAGCAACGGAATCCCAGTTTTACCTTGTCGTAGTTCCCATCCAGAGTAGTCCTGTATCTGTGACTACAGCTATATTAGATTGACTAGGACTAGTCACAACTTTAGTTATAGAAGCCTGACTTCCAGGAGAAGCATCAATCTAAACATATATCTACAGATCATACATAATGTGAATATTTCTTTATTTGCTTGTTGCTTGTAGTTGTTGATAATTTAAAATTGAATTAGAAAACAATACGATTACTATAATATAATAAAAGTTAATCATCAATTAAGACTATACCTGGATATCTAGCACTGTCATATCGTTATGCGTAAGAAGAATGAGTTCAGATCCACGGCCGACCAACAACTTATTTTGTCTGGAGAAATATTATAAATATTAATATTTATATCATATTTATAGTTTAATCGTTAAACGTTCTCTTAAAATAATCCTTTGAACCTAATCATTACCGCCTCCCCTTTTGAAAATAATATATTTTTGTACAATAATTTTGTTGTTGCTTGAAACCCTTGGCCTCAAAAACATATAAATCGATATACAACATGCATTTTGCACAAATTTTTGCAAATTTTTGCGCGTGCTCGCGGACTGAGTAAGCGTACAACAATTTAAGTTGCATATTTGAAATCTTCGGCCTCAAAAACCCCTATTGAGATGTATTGCATGCATAAATAAGTCTTATAAATAGTCCATTTTTGGGGACTTATGGACCACTGTCAGGGGACGGAAACGTCATGTGTGTGTGTGTGTGTGTCTGTACCACAAAGAATATAATTTGATTAAAGTTTACAATAAACTAATCGTTATTCAAGCTTAATTATAATTGACGACATTGTTCTGCAATTTCCTTTTCTGTAGTCATGGTATGTGTCTGTACCTAAAGAGTGTGCGTGTGTAATACTAAACTCGTCTGCAATGCAGTGCGACTGGCTTTCTCATGCGAGACCAGCGCCATTGCCCTTCCCTTTATTCTTATTCCCTGACCACTGTATGTTATGTATGTTTGGGCGGAGCGGGAAAAAACGCTTTAGGTTATTTTCCTGAATTGTATCAAAAAGAAAAAAAAAACTTGGCTATTTTTCATAATTAACTGCCCACCCCGGGCAGTTAATTATGAAAAATATACACCCCCTGAAAACTTTTGAACCTTTGCAGGTTCGTAAAACCCAGCAATTTCTAAATTTTATTAACCACTAAAAATGTACAAACCAAAACCTTTGACCGCAATGACAATATTGAAACTAGACACTCTTATTCACATTTATAATGGCGCTGCGATATCTTTGCTAACGTCGTTTTTGCTGGAGTCATTTTAGCCAGATGCACCTAAAAAACGTGTTTTTTTGCTATACGACAATTTTTCAAAGTAAAACATCACCGTCATATTATTTAGGGTAAGCGCTGCGGCTAGTTTTTATGGTAAAGTTTTATTACATAGAGAAATCATGCAGCAAAAATGACGTATAGCATAATGGAATACATCAAACAATGACTTATAGCTTAGGTGACGCTTGCAAATTGACTCTAGCATGAATGGAGTAGCGTTCTTTATGGTAGAACTCATCACTAACCTGTCATTCTGTATTGGACACCAGGCCATAAAATGAGGGAGCTCAACAACATCAAATAGTTTACGCACCCTATAAACAATATTCTGTTCTAAAAGCTACTTAAGGTCTAATTGTCTATGGATACCGATACCATGAAATATACTTTCATAAGTTCAAATCAAATTCTAAAGGAAAGTTTTTTTGAAAATAAACTCTTAATCACAAAACAATTATCAAAGTTGTTTTACTCTGCAAGTCAGCCTTAAGAGCCATTTTCTTTAACCCCGTTGGCTTTAATTTGGTAATATTACAAGCACAAGCACAAGCACAAGCACAAGCACAAGCACAAGCACAAGCACAAGACCAAGACCAAGACCAAAAACAACAAAAATAATAATAATTTACCTGGCAGAAAGAATTTTCATATCTTTAGCCTCCTGTCCCATGGAGAAAGATGATTTGAAGGTTCCGAAAAGAGAATAAATAAGAACTGTTCCATCCTCCAGGACAAATATTGGTTCCTCCTCCTCTGTCAATCCCATACATATCTGGATCAAAAATTTTAATACATTATTTGCTTTTTCTACCTATTAAAAATTGTTTATTGTTTTGGTTATTTAATCGACAAAAATATTTCACTTATTCCTGCACCAATTTCATTACTTAGATTTTGAGACTTGAATATTTATTGCGTAAAGACAATTTAGTTATCTCTGCTTTTCTTTAAAATCAATACTGTAGAAAAAAAAACAGACTTGAATGACTACAACTTTCAATTTTTAACATTTTAGAACTCCCCTATGATATGATCATTTTTCAGTGAAATTTTAAGTACTGATTCAAACTTGGAAAAATTTTCTGTAGACAGCCTTTTATTTTGAAACAAAACCATATGGAAGATGATGTCCCACACACAATTTATTAAAGATTAGAAATAAATATAAAAAAGAATAGCCATGCCAGATAGATTCTAGAGATAAAAATAATGAAACCGTTATTTTCAGATGATTATAAAACTATTAATCATAATTAAAAAAATCAAAGGAAATATCAACCAACGATTAATTTTTTATTGTGGGGGGGGGGAAGGTTTACATGGAACTTGTGTAGAACAGTTCCTGCATAACCAAATATAAACCTGAGGAGAATTGTTCCATTTCCATATTGCCAACTGCTCTCCACTTCCTGTTAGGACTTGTATCTGTTGTTTATCAGCTAAGAGGGTCAGTCCTGCAAAACAAACTGTATAATAGATTAAACAAGTTGCTAATCAGGGGTGTATATTTTTTTTGAAAAATCATTTCCCCCCTCTTTGAAAACCCAAAAGATAGTTGTTGCTTTAAGAAGAGTTTTAATCGCAGAATTGGGGAAAATAAATGATTTTTAGGGAAAATAAATAAATTTCTGGGGAAAAGTACGAAAAAGAATGAAAAACCTGCTAAATGTCTAATTTTAAAAATCACCCCCCCCTAGTGCAGGGGGGATTCTTGAAATTTTTGCATTTATTCTCCTTTTTAAACTGACCTGCGTGATTTCCTGAGACAACCTTAGTTGAGTCTAACACGTTGTTGAATACTCCACTATACAATTCTACCTGAACACGGGTATAAATTGTATGATTGAGGGTGTCCAGGGGGGGGGAGAGCATTTAAAATCCTATTTACATCCCTCAACTTTTACTCTTCTTATAATCAGCATACATGATACATATAATCATGCGGCCATTTTCATCTGGATCTAAATCTATATAATACAAGACATATTCGTATATATATATATATATGTCGCATTTAGCTGACCAAACGGCTGGACCGATTCGGCTGAAATTTTTGTGGACACTCATGGGTGGCCGGGGGGTGATATAGGCTAAAAAATTCAAATTTTTTTATTTTATTTTCTTCAATTTTAATTTCTCACGGGCAACGCCGGGCCCTTTAGCTTGTTGAAAATAATATCTTTGAACCCCTACCCCAAACTAAAAATGTATTAAAAAAGCAGTGCTCAGGATCAATTAAATTTTTAAAACAACATCTCCACTTGCATTTTCGATAAGGGTTTACTTATTATTAATTACTTATGAATTAAATAATACTTATCTCCCCCGCCCCCCATCTCCTCTCTTAGACAAAGAAAACGTTCTAACATTCAGCTAGCTCTTTAATTACCTTGTCGTAAAATGAATCACCCAACTGAATCCAGTTATTTGTGACATCACTCATTTTGTTATCTGAACAAGAAATATACATTTGTGGATTTGTTCAATACTTTTAAGTATTGAATAAGATTATGACAAGGAATAAATTGGTATTATTAAAAAGTTTTGAAAAAAAATTGTGTAGATGTTTTACTCTGCAAGTCAGCCTTAAGAGCCATTTTCTTTAACCCCGTTGGCTTTAATTTGGTAATATGCCCCCCCCCCCTATATCATACAATAATTCCAACCTTGGATCCTGTATTGACGAAGCTAGGTAGAATCTATAGGTAGTTGTTAGTACTGCTACACCAGTACCAGTGTTACTTGGGAATATTCTAAATAAAATATAAAAATAACAACGACAATAACAACAACAAGAACGAAAACAATAACAAGACCAATTCAGACCAATTCAAGAACAAGAACAAGAACAAAAACAAGCCTAAGAGCAAGCACAAGAAAGCAGAAGAGCAAGCACAAGAGCAAGCACAAGAGCAAGCACAAGAGCAAGCACAAGAGCAAGCACAAGAGCAAGCACAAAAACAAGCCTAAGAGCAAGCACAAGAAAGCAAAAGAGCAAGGACAAGAGCAAACACAAGAGCAAGCACAAGAGCAAGCACAAAAACAAGCTTAAGAGCAAGCACAAGAAAGCACAAGAGCAAGCACAAGAGCAAGCACAAGAGCAAGCACAAGAGCAAGCACAAGAGCAAGCACAAGAGCAAGAACAAGAGCAAGCACAAGTGCAAGCACAAGAGCAAGCACAAGAGCAAGCACAAAAACAAGCCTAAGAGCAAGCACAAGAAAGCACAAGAGCAAGCACAAGAGCAAGCACAAGAGCAAGCACAAGAGCAAGCACAAGAGCAAGCACAAGAGCAAGCACAAGAGCAAGCACAAGTGCAAGCACAAGAGCAAGCACAAGAGTAAGCACAAGCACAAGCACAAGCACAAGCATTGTGATTTATACCAGAATCAGGGGCGGATAAAGGATTTAAGTGAGGGGGGGGGGCAAGATTTTTTAGGAACAAAAAAATTCATAATTAGGAACCAAAAATCGCGGCGCAGGCAAAAATTTTTTTTGACTTAAAAGACTCAAAAAGAGTGAAAATTAATGACAAAAGACTAAAAAACTAGATTTTTAACTTTTCACACATTATAGTTTATCAAAACAGATATTTTTCCTGTTTTGCACTAGGGTTTCTTTCCTGCAATTAAGCATGCTATTTAGAAGCTATTCTGAAAATAGGAACAAAAAATTCCAAATTCAGGGGGGGGGCGAATTTCCCCCCGCCTCCCCCCTGTATCCGCCCCTGACCAGAATAGATTTCTTGTTTTATTTCATATCAGATGTGTTGACTTACTGAATACAGGTTGGTAAGGTTAGTTTTTTATTGTTTAAGTATAACACACATTTTTCTTGCCCCCCCCTAACCAAATGTCTAGTTGCGCGCCTGCAACTCTGAACACTGTCTGCAGAATCCTATATTATTAAACTTAAAGGGAGTGTTCGCGAAAAATGGAAAGGGGGGCTTACGGCGAATACTGAGGTCTTTTGATCGCTTCTTCTATCTGAATTGCGTCAATAAGGAGAAAATTGTTAAAAACGACTCATGCTGAAGAACGTAGCGTCCATACAAATTCAGAAAGTTGCAACATTCAACTCGGATTGTAAAAAATAAATTTAATTTTAAACAAATCATTTAGATATTACAACCAATAATAATGATAACTTTTCGTAAATAGTTGATACTTCAGAATGTTTTTGATTTTTTATGATCAGAAATTTGCTTTTTTCCATTTTATTTTTTAAGTCCAATAAGCAACGACGACTCTTAAACCCAGCACATACTTGACGTTATACACCTGCACAATAAGCAAGTTTTATGTATTTACCCTGGGTAAATACGTATTAATCAAGAAAAGCATGCATTGTTCTATTCTAGAGGAAATTTCTACCCAGGGTAGCAGTTAACTCTAGAGTAACTCTACTCTAGGGTGTTAGAAATCTTTAAGAAATTAGACTCACGTTAAATTTTGCACTTTTCCGAATTTGCATGGATGTGTCGTTTTTTTTTATATTTTTCCGGGTCTGTCCTAGTATACGATTTTGGGACCCCCCCCTCCTATCAATTTTGTACATGACCATTTATTTTTCAGCAAATTTATTATTATTTATTTTTTTGTTATTTAGGGTTAGGTTAGGTTAAGATACTTTCTGGGCCGAGCGCTGCGGCTAGGATGGGCTAGGGGGCCGAGCGCTGCGGCCACGGGTTAGGTTAGTTAAGACACTTTCTGGGCCGAGCGCTGCGGCTAGGATGGGCTAGGGGGCCTAGCGCTGCGGCCACGGGTTAGGTTAAGTTAAGAAACTTCTTGTCACACCCATGTACAAAATTGATCTGGGGGGGGGGGGTCCAAAAATCGTATACTAGGAAATTACCATTTTTCCTTATAGACGCAACAGATTAGTAGCGATCAAAAGCGCTTTTTTTTTACCGAACACTACCTTTAAGGGTCATGTCTATATTCTTCGGTTCAAACTATATAAATTATAACCTAAATGAAACTAAATGTATCTATATATTAGGATAGAAAACATCAAAGTTATGCGTAATAATTTGGTTTAAATTGAACAAATGTTCTTGTTCAGAAGATTGATTGATTATCGACTATTTCTTTCATGCATAAGAAATATATTGTTTAGAAATATTGTGTTGTTAATGTTATTCAGAATCATATGACAAGCGCGAATGCCTCGCACATTTCCAGTATCTTCCCCCCTCTTAAGGCCGTTCTAATAAACGATTTACACCAGTGTAAACTGTCATTTACACTGGTGTTTACCTAGGATCGGATTTAATAGTCATGAATTACACATTTTTTTCATTTGTTTCCAGTCTAACCAGCAAAGACGACTTCAATCCCCAATATTCGTTAAGTTATTTTACACATGCGCAAAAGGGTCTTAAGCTGTCTCAGCTGCTGAAAAAACGTATTTACACCAGGGTAACATGAGGATGATTAATAAAACCGTGAGTATGGCGACACTGGTGTAAATTCAGCTGACCCAGGGTTCAGGAATGATTATTAAATCCGTGGTTAGGTTACACCGGGGGACACAAATACACCAGTGTAAATATACCCTTAGGGTTTACACCAGTGGATTGCATTTCTTTATTAGAACGGCCTTTAGATGATCAATATTTATAGTCAGGGTAGCTAGCTGGTTTAGGATTGTATTACATCCGCCCAACGGAAGTCGGAAGAGACTCTCCCCAGCTTCACAAAAAAATTTACATTTCATCTAAGCTTATCCTTTTAACCCTAAATTTTAAACATATTGTATAAAGTTTATTTATTTAGTTCTAGTTTAGTTTATTTCGGCCGTGAGGAAGTTTTATTATGAAATCGTCATTTTTTACTTTTTAAACAACCTCTTTTCTACAAAACTTTAGTCTTGGACACCACTAAAGTACCCCCCCCCCCCTCCTCCTCCCTATCTTCATGATTAAGAATGGAACGGAATGAGGTAACCAACCACCCCCCTAACCGTTGAGGGCATTCTTCCTGTGCCCCCTCCCCAGTACCTCGTAGATTAAGGAAAGATTCTGTAATAAAGAACAATAAGCTTTACTGAACCCACTTAACACAAATTGGTTTTATTTCCTGGATAATTATCAGATTTATATAATAAGGTGTGTTCAAATAGTCTTTATTACAAAGTATAAGGAATTTATTAATATGATAATCATATGTCATTGTTTGAAACATTAAAATATCAATCAGATTAAACAATCTGATAAGAAAATTGTAGCAGTTAATAACTAATAGTTAACCGTTAGTTGACAGACATAGCAAAATTGATCCTTTGTAAAATGTTTAACAATTATCTACAAGTTGGATATCTTCATTTTTTTGTTATATGAAAAACTGATTAATTATAAAACTGGTTGGATTAGGACCATTCCATCTATTATTTTTTTTTATAAAAGTTTATGTTTCACAATTATTTATATCAAAACATAAAAATAAGAATAATATCTTTAGCAATATTTTAACACAGAACAACTGAACTGAACTCATTGATCATCTTGCAACGGACTATTTCCTTTCGCACATGATAAATGATATTACTGGTAGGTCGGAAACTTTCCGGAATGAAGAAGACGCAAACAAATGTACAAGACTCTTGACGAGGAAATTTGAATAGTATTGAGTGATAAAGAAATCCCAAGAAACTACTCCACAGCACTGTAGGTTGATCAATGATCAAGGATCTATGAACGATGCTTTATATTTTGATTGGATTTGATGGATGCGGGATTAGTTCGTCTGCCGTGTACGGTTTCACTCCTCGAATCTCATCCTGAAAACACGCATTAAAATTAAAAAAAAAATGTTAGAATTAAAATTATCATGTACATTGTACATACATTGTACATTGTCTAGTAAAGAAAATAACTATTATAATGATATTGTGTATATTAATTTTGTCAAACTTTTTGTTCCTTCTATCTCTCCCAACAAATGCTCCCGGTCACATTTATATGAAAACTTGATTATGAATATAGAAAAAAACTAGGAACCTTGTATTTCTCAAATATCTTGAGCATGGAATCCATCCCCTGATCTGCATCTAGGATCAGGACAGGAGCAGGAGGAGAACCAAACTTCTCCGTGATCAACCAGTCCTCATAACACTGGTGCAAATGCTGAAGATATTCTGTTAATATTTCTTTATATGTTTTGTATATTGTACAATGTATCTAGATATGTTAAAGATGTTTTTAATGAAATGAACTGATAAAAGTCTTTAATATCAAGTTCATGGAAGAAGACATTTAATATTATTCACCAACTGTAATTTTTCGCTGGACACCCTGTATAAAACGATATTTAAGCAATCTAATGAGTAGTTGATATTGTTAGAAAGCAAATATGGTTACCAGTAGCTTGAAAATCAACAGTTTAAGTTAAGTGCGTCTATGTTTATTAGACTATTTAAATAAATCATAAATTGCATCCAACAGTCGTCCTTTTATTTCTCCGTTTTAGTGCTCTCACTTTATGATGTGTAATTTTCCATTTCGAAAAGAATTGTCCGCCTCAGACATTCGTTAAGTCTGATATGATGATCTGAAATAGTTTAACCATCCCTATATTCTGGCATTTAACAAATATTTGTTATTACTGAACCTGAATGAACTCCATAGGTACTCCTGACTCTTCCTTCCTTCCTCTTTCTCGTAATCTATCGTACGCTACCTGCGGACTAGTTCTAAAATAATAAAATATGTTTTTAGAAAAAATCCGTAGATCGAAACATCTAAACTTTAGATCCAACTCAAATATTTATAAATATTTTACTCGCTCATAGTAGGCTAGTTTCGTTACCAAATGCGTAGTATCATTAAGAAATAAAAAAAAATAATTATGAATTTTTCTTCTTGAGCAGTATTTGACGCCCCTTTTCTGGCAAAACTTATAGTAAAATCGAATGTTGAACTTTTAATTTGATGAAAGTCTAAAAAAAAGATTTATGAACTTAAGGGTAGTTAAATTGATGGATAATCGAAGGTTTTTATTGATTAATTAGAATGTTTTATTTAAACCAACCTGAGATATACAATTAGATCTAGATGAATGTCCATGTTGTTCTTTAGAAAATCGAACCAATTGTAGAGGACGGATAGTTCGGCTGGAGCAAGAGTCTCCTCACGTCTGTGCTTCAACCAGAAAAATTAGAAGAAGTTTAAAAGCCTCCCCCCCCCCCTCTAAGATCTGAAACCCATGTCATTAATGAGTTTGCCTTTCCTCTAGAAACACTTTTTTAAGATGGTGGGACGGCGTCCCGCCGAGCCGGTTACCGACGTCCTTCCACCAATTCTGGGTTGTTCCTTGCGTTTTCCAAAAAGCAGTATCTGTTGTTCTGTAGTGAGCGTTCTATGATCTTCACGGAGCAATCAGTCGGCTTCTTCAACAACTGTAATCTTAACATTTAAACTGTTTTAACAACTTGACAAGAAAGATAAGTTTAAATTTCTAGACCCTTGACTTTTTATTATCATTTAACTTCTAAAAAATGTACCAATAATAGTACGGATAAATATAATATCTAAATATCAATACCTAGTTAGCTGGACATAACTCTGAAACTGAAAAGACCATCGTTTAGGATCTTGATACATTTTTCCTAAATAAGTTTTAGGACAAATTAATACTTTCATTTTGTTAACTTGTGAATAATTTACTTTGAATAATTAGTAATAATTTGACAATTGTTCTTGAACGTTTACCACTGTTAATTTGATGGATAATTTACTTAATGGACGATTTCCTTTGTGGATAGTTTACTCGGTTGAAAATTTTCTTAGTAGATAATTTACTTGGTGAATAATTACATCGTCGATAATTTACTTTGTGGATGATTTACTTGATAGCTTTTTACTCATTATTCTAAATGGTGGATAGTTTATTTAGTGCTAGATAGCTTAGTTAATTAGAGAAAAAACCTCGAATCCAACGGTCCTATACCTAATAAATTATGACCGTTAACATCACACCATTCAGCTACAGGTTCAGGTATAAGTTCTACATCTGAATATCTTTCAAAATACTTGAGCATGGTAGATTTCCCAGATCCTGAACAGGAAAATATTATGCATTTATATTAACATTAGAGCACACATACAATTCGTGCTGTGGTAAGTGGATACTGCTATGAAGCAATTGAAAAAATTGTTTCTAATCAAAATAAAATAACTGTGAGATTGTCGCGCAAATTTGAGTGGTCCCTATGTGCTCACAAATAAAAGTGTATTACAACGGAATTCATCATGAAATTGATGTATTTTTAATTCATACAAAATATTACCTATATTCCCTTCAATTGATACGATAAATGGTTTCTTCTTATTTTCCTTGTTTAAGTCCGGAACACATCTAGAACAAGAAGAGTTAGGTTTCAACTCTTTCAACACAACTTACAGAATATTTTTCTCCGCGAAAAAAAACTTACTTTTTAGGGATTCCATTTTGAAGTTGGTCTGGAGGGAAATGTGTTTTTCCTGGCATTTTGAGGATTGTTTCTAGTGTGTTTATCAGGGTCTGGAGCTGAATAAACCTAGGCATAGACTGGAAACAGACAAACACTGAGAGACTGGTTTATATTTCTTACCTCTTGTTCGATGATCTCTCCCCGCCAAATCAGACATTTAATTTTAAACCCGGGGAGTATTGAGTACACTGCAGGCAGTAGTGGACCGGTACTAGTTCAAGCGTAGTAACAGATAATACACAAACAGATAAGACGTGTAAGATAAGATCTCTGAAAAGTAAACAAGCTTAAATCTATTTTTAGAACAACAATCAATTCTTGTACGCATATTTATTTTGAGTATATTGTTATCAATTACATCAATTTCATGTTCTTGTAGAGAAATAATGCCAAATTATAGGAAACAAAGATAGGAATTATATTTGAAACTAAACACAGTGTTGATTTGATGCAAGATACAAAATCTTGATTAGACTTGTAGGGACAACATGAAAACATAACATTAAAGACGACCATGGTCACGTTTGATATCAAATTTTCGAGGTAAAAAACCTTAAAAATAGTCTATGCAAAATATTTTTCATACGCAGGTTTAATTACTGTTTTTTTTTTAAACTGAAGCACTGCATGCATACTTAATTTTATACTATGGCGTCATTAGATTGTTATGATTATGGGACACACATGGTACGATAACTATTATTAACTACGCACACAATCTAGTTCTTCCCCTTTCCTCTTCTTTCAGAACACATTCTTTTCTTAACTCTCTAAGTATATTTAAAAATAGACTACTAAATTCTCTTTTTGAAAATTACATTTCAATGTGTTATAAACCGAATTGCTATTCATGTAGAACTAATTAGATATGTTTTAATATGCTTTGATATTTGTTGTGTACATATGTCAGAAAATTACAATACTTTAAACTCTAGATATTCTAATTAATGTATAATTTATTTTGCATCAAATAAAATTTCACCCTGAACTCTAATACTTCTCCTTAAATCTATTTACTTGAAATGTTTTGTTATCATTATTGAAATTAGGTGGAAAAAGTAATCAAAACAGCAAAGAACTATTTTCCACATAATTGCTATATTCTTGTACTGTTAATATAATCACCAATTTGTAATTGTAAACTCGTTCTGTGATACATGTATTTTAGCAATAAACTTTATCCATCTATCTATCTATCTATATCTTATTAGTCTTTATAAGTACCTATCCTATCTTAAAAATTATAAAATGCAAATTCAATAGTTCTGATCTAAATTTATCCTTCTGTGGCGGTAATGCTAAAATGGGTTGCATATTATTAAAGGTTCTACATTTAAAAGTTGTGTAATAATTGTTGGTTGGTTCTTATGATTTAACCTTTTTGCATGGCAATCAACGAAGTATTAAGATGTATACGTAGTGTGTACTGTATAGGTTCGACATTTGAGTCTTAACCATAGATTAATTAACAATAACAGATAGAACACTAGTTACGTGCATGCTCTCTCTCTGTTTTGTCATTCAACGCAACATGCGCGCGACTCCTATGTGCTTCTGTCTCTGGATTATTGTGAACGAAATACCCATAAATCTTAAACGACATCTAGTGCTCTATGAGCTCTATATGTTAATGTTAATAGACCTATGGTCTTAACTATGCAACTTGTCAACGGAGATAATAGCGCAAGCCTACCATTTGGTTTCTACAAGGTTTGTGTATATTTATTTTCTGAATTCTTGAAACTTTGGAGACTTTACTTTCTCTAAGCAACTTTATTCAGAATCCATTTTATTTAAAGTTTGGTAATAATATTGGTCGTCCGTTTTGATGTCCTAAATAATAAAACTATACTACAGGATTATGATCAAATCTAGAGAAAAAGGATTTATATAAAATAATATTTATTCACCAGAATGTTTTCTTAAATGATTGTTTTTCAAATATCAGTCCTCTCCTAGGATAAGTTGGCTTGATACAACTTTGTATTTACTAAATAAATATTATAAGATGAAACTTTACTAACGACATGATCCATAATACATAAAATAATCTGAAGGTTGAATTTGAATTTCTTTTATAATTATATACTTATATGGTAGATTGATCTTCAATAGAAAATACAAGTTTACATTGGGGTTTAGTCGTCTTTCGAGCCACATCCTTAGCGAGTAACCCTGTGAATTGTAGGTTTTGAATGTAGCCAAATGCACTAGTTTTTCGCATTGTACAAGGTATATTTATAAAGATTCAAGCCAGAGACAGTTTCATCTTAAAGCTTGTTTTTCTTTATATCCATGGCATTGCATTGCTCTCCATCACTCTTACGTTTGCTGGCCAACTTGGACACGTTTTCCTTTCCTTCACTTACTGCGTATTTGTGAGTCCAATTTCTAGCAGTTTCCTCGTATTTCTGTGTATCAAATTGATATTGACGCGCAATATCCGCCATAAGTGGATCCCTTGGGTTGGGTTCACTCAGGAGAAGCTGAAGACTGGTTAGAACACTGTAAAGGTTAATAGATGGTCTCCAGTCCCCTGCTGGAGGCATCTTTAATATATCCAGGCATATTCTTCCCTGTCCGTCTATATTAGGATGGTAAACAGGGGTGACAAACTCAACTTTAGGAGGCTCAAAAGGATAACGATCCGGGATATTGATTTTAAACTTAAAGGTCCCCCCCTGGAAGGGAGAACCTGTCGGGCCGAGGATAATTCCTTCTAGGGAGTCGATGGTGTCCTGAACTATCCAACAAGATGCTCCAGGTGGTGGAGACACCTCTAACTGCTCCAGCTCCTTCTTCAACCGCGCAGCTTTAGCCATGGAAATATGTTTTTTACTGTTTAAATCTGAAAAATACGATCATACACAACACATGTTTAATAAATAATATTTTTTATCCAAAATTTTTTTACAAAATTAAAGTGTAGAGATCTAGAATTGTGATTAAATATAAAACTTTATTTATGCACAAATCAAATTAAAATTAAAATACTAGATCCGTCAAATCAATTATCACACAGAATTGTAACAACAACCAAAACTAGGAGGATTAAAATTATCTGTACAATTTTTCAAAAATGAGGATAAAATTTTGCAACTTATTCGTCATCGAGAATATACAAATATATTCAGGTAGTCGATTTGAAATTTAGCCATCATAATTTCCTATGGTAGAGAATTGTAAAGATATATTGCACATAAATATATTTAAAGGAATATGTAGTATCTAGCAACTTAAACAACCCACAGTAAATAAAACATAATACTTGTTTGTCTAAGAACCGAGAAATTTTCTCGTTATTGATAATTGGTTTTTAAATTTTTCATTAGAATTACATAAGAAATATGGTTTCTGCTTTTGTCAATATTTACGAATGAAAAATTTTGAAAAGAGGAGGTTTTGAATAAAACATAAGCATAAATCACAAAACGTCAAATTTTTTTTGCTTTAGTTTGAAAATGTCCGTTGCAAAAAAAGCCCAATCAAAATTTAAGTCATGGATCTTTTTATTTTACATTTTAAAGGAGATAAATATCAAATAAACGTGAGATGAAAAAATTTAGATGACAAAAAGTTAACTGAAAATTTATTATCACAGTTCTAGCTTTTCTTGAACCTTTTATTCGTCTCACTCCATCACACACACTCTATAGGTGAGCATATTTAACTAAAGGTGCAGAACACGAAGTGTTGGATCTCAATCTTCACAAGCTTGCCCGGACTCTGTAGCTAGAATGATGAGTTTAATCAACCTTTACAACACTGTAAATCTTCCTGACGAACCAGAAGCAAGCGAAGAATCCGATACATCCTGAACAGGAACAATTTCAGGGACGTAAATAAGGGTTTTCTAGGGGAGGGGGGGGGGGGGTTTAACCTTTCCCCTTTTTTTCCCCCCCCCCCCCCTAAACCATGAACAACCCCATTCATGGTGTATATAAAATTATGGGTTTTAGCTGGGGTTCATTTCAATTTCCCAATCATTTCTGGGATTAACAAACTCTATCAAATCCTTTACCACCTTTCAGCTTTCACCTGACTTAATTTATACCCTAAGGGTTGCCCATTATAAATTTAGACTTTTTAAACAGCTAATAAAGTAGCAAATCTACCAATATGAAAAATTCGCGATGATCAGCCATCTGTGCCCTGGGAACTTAGTTGCTTGCATTGTTTTGAAGGATATTCATAACTAGCTTTTAGGGCGCTTCGCGCTCATCTTATTTTTCATATTTTAACTTTTCTCTTTGAAAACATTGTAAAACAAAAAACAAAAATTCGCAGATTTTATAAAAAATTTAGTGGATCTTTAAAAATATCAAAAAGCAAAATTTTGAAAATTCAATCATACATAAACCTTCCTTGGGGTCACGTGAGGTCTTACAAAAATTGGGCCCGATCGGTTCAGCCGTTTTGACGTTTATAAGATACAAACAAACAGACAAGTAAAGTATATATTCATCATAGAGAAAGAAAATTAAAGACATGAAAAAGGAGTGGATGAAAATGCTTTTTGGTAGGTTCTACATCAAAAACTACGTGCCAATTTAATTCATATTTTCCCCTGAAAGGTCCTAGGGCCTTATACTAGAAAAAATATTTTTATAAAGCACAGAGACTGCTTTTGGAGCAAGTGTTTCACATGAAATTTGACCTTAGTCAAAATCCAATCACCCAGCGTAAATTTAAAACTGATGAGTGAGAGCGTTTTTTCTTAAGTATCTATTTATAGTGGACACCTTTACGATATATTCACTAATAACATTGCCTACATTTATTCTGTAAAAAAACTGGATTTATTTTATGCAGAGGTCTGTATAGTGTATACATGTTTATTTTAATATATTAAAATATAGGTCTAANATCCTCCGAAAGAGTTTTATAGCTGATTTTTATTTTTCTTACATTTTTTCTCTCAATAGTAATCATGGACATGGAGAATGGAGATCAAGTTTCTGAACGGGGATGTTTATGTCCCCCCTTATATACGCCACTGGGAACAATGGGTATGATATCTAGTTAACTATTTACATACTATGAACCCTGCTCTTTACCTTTATTTTATTTTATCACCCCCATCTTTAAATGAAATTAAATATTTTTAAAGGTTCGAATAACATCAAGCATTTCTGAAAAGGTGATAAGTTAACCCCCTCTTATTTTTGGGCCCAGGCTTTGATATCAGATATAGAATTGGGGCTGGTGTCGGGATGTAAGTTTGAAGAAATCATTTCAGCTTCTAAATTAACACAATTCTGGGTACTTAGCAGTCCTATTGGTGCACAATGCACATGACTGAGAGCCAAGTACCTGTAAGAAGGAAAAAGCAGAAGACCATGATGCTGGTGTATCCAAAGTACAGGAAGGTAGAAGCAGCTCCCTCTATGTCCAGTTTAGTAAAGAAGTAGTGAATACAGTAGATAGCTAAGTAGAGGGCAGTGAAACCGCTGGTCAAGAAACTACGCCACCACCAGTGGTAATCCTGGATTATAAAAATATGTTAAACGTAATTATCATTTTTTTAGTTTTTTTTTTCGTCAACCTCTGACAGACCAATACAAACCTTTTATAAAACTTTTTAACTCGAAATAACAATCTTTAATTGTTTAAACCCAATTATGTTTAGATTTCAACCCCAAAAAAAATAAAATAAAATCATATTTTACAGGGATTGCTTGAGGCCTCCTTGTTTTGGGGTAGAGTTTCAATATAAAGATTTCAACCAAATCTTGTAAAGATTTCAACCCAATCATGTAAAGATTTCAACCCAACCATGTAAAGATTTCAACCCGATCATGTAAAGATTTCAACCCAATCATTTAAAGATCTCAACCCAATCATGTAAAGATTTCAACCCAATCATGAAAAGATTTCAACCCAATCATGTAAAGATTTCAACCCAATTATTTAAAGATTTCAACCCAATCATGTAAAGATTTCAACCCAATCTTGTAAAGATTTTAACCCAATCATGAAAAGATTTCAACCCAAACTTGTAAAGATTTCAACCCAATCATGTAAAGATTTCAACCCAATCATGTAAAGATTTCAACCAAACCATGTAAAGATGTCAACCCAATCATGAAAATTTCAACCCAACCATGTAAAGATTGTAACCCAATCATGAAAAGATTTCAACCCAATGAAAGATTTCAACCCAATCATGTAAAGATTTCAACCCAATCATGTAAAGATTTCAACCCAATCATGTAAAGATTTCAACCCATTTTGTAATGTTTTCTCTCCGTATACCTCGGCACAGAGATGGAAATAGCAGAGTAGAATAGTGGTCTCAGAGCAGGTTATAACTAGGATCAGAAACACTAGGAATAGGAATCCGTACCTGAAATATGTTTAATGTAAATGCATGGATCATGTGTTAGAACAAGTGTTATTACTGGTAAAGAATCAAGTTCTTCTTCATTATTTTCATATTTATGTTAAGAAACGGTTGGATTACAAAATAGCTGCGTTTATGTGATGAACCTATTTGAAAAGAGATTTTTAATTAACATACACAGAAGGAAGAAACATGTATTTTACCAAAAGGATAAAAATTCAAACTGAATTAAGCCGATTTCCATTAATTCCGTTCGTAAAAAGAAACCCTGCCGTGGCCATTTTATATGTCAGAACTGGATGTCTTGGATGGTGGACGAAGAAAAAGACTAGAATGGATGAGTTTGATTTAAGATTCTTACATGTAGTAGATCTGTGAGGACCAGATAGAGTTGAGAACAAAGAAGAGTTGAATGAAGATGCATCCAAAGGGGAGAACTCCTCCCATAATTATTCCCGGGATCGGCTGCAGATATAAAAGTTAAAGATTAAATTAGGACAAAGAGCATAATCACGTTAGTTCTTTTAGCACCCCCCCCCCCATATTATTATCAATATTATTATCAATATTTATCATTACTTCATTTTTCAAAGGAAGTCTAAATGTCATTAGCATAATTTTTTCCCAATTTGATTATTTAATCCTAGAAAATCACCTCCATCCACACTGCTGAAAATGGACCATCAGGTTTGCAGTCTTTAGAGTTATAATCTCAATTTTCAGAAAATGCCACCCAGGAAATATTCCGCAAATCCATTTTTAAGATATTTCAGAAATCAAGTGCATTTATAGGTCTAAAATCGAACGTAATTTTCATTTAAAGACTTATGCTTTTCTAATTTTTTAAGTTGTTAACTTTTAAGGATTTCACTTCAAAAACTCTTTTTTTCACTTATGGCTTTGATTTTTGCTAAAACATGTCTTAAGACTTTTAAAGAAAATTCACAAAATTTGGGGACCCTGCCATTAACAATTAAAAAAATCTCGCCAAAAAAACGGATCAGCTTAATAAGTGTTGAAACTAAAGATACATTTGTTCGTAAACCTGAAAATGCACTTGATTTCTACAATATCTTAAAATGGATTTACTCAAAATTCCCAAGGTGGCTTTTCCTGAAAATATAGATTCTCAGAAGACTGCATATTACTATTATTTTTCCAAAGAAAAACTTTAAGTGTTTTCGACTTGAAATCTGCTAGGTCATTTTTAGTAGTGTGCATGGTTTAGACAAAATAAATAAATAAACGACAGCCTTCATTCCCTAGAAATCTATGTCGAGCTCTCCTCAAAAATGAAATAAAATGAAATTGACTTGTATATTATTCCTGAGTGTAAATGCTCTGATCTGGAATCTGTCTAGGGATCTGGTTGGTCCGTACCGGTTGCTCAATAACAGGCTTCCTGAACAAACAATTAATCAATTAATATTGTTCCATATTATTTTTATCTCTCATTAAGATAAACAATATATGACATATGGTCAATTCTGATGATTGAACACTGAACATTGGTGTCTCAAACGAAAAATTAAGAAAATTTCAATAAGCTTGATATTTGCTTGTTCAGTCTAAATATTGTCCCCTTAGCAGATTCTTAGGAACATAAGGAAATGGAATCTGTAAGACACCCCCCAAACCGCCGCCAGATATGGGAAGCACCGTCCCAATACCTGTTCCACTCCCGGACCTACACATATTACACCCAGATTTTTATCTGAACATTCTGATATCTGTATTGTGTAAGATAACACGACATCGTTTTTTATCTGTAAGTGTTAAATTCTGATTTCTCCTTGGTTTTCCTGTATTAGTAATTCGTAAGTAACTCATTTTTTAAAAATAATAAACATGGATATCTATTTGATACTTGATCAGAAAAAGCTTTATAGGGTACCGTTGTAAATTGGACTCTAAAATGGAAGTTCACTTGAAATTCCGCTTACAGATCCTTTAAATCAAAAATTAAATATTATATCCAAGACCAAAAAAGAGCCAGATATTATTCTACATGATATTACCTAAATCCAAAGTATGCTCCGACGAAGGTTAGCGGTACACTGACCCCGAACCAGAGAGCGAGTAGAGCCACCAAGGTGAAGAAGGGTATAGCGGCGGAGCTTCCGTAATACCAGAGAACCTATAAAAATAATATGGGTTATCAGTTTTATGATTTATTGGTTATCGCCTCATGGGCTGTCATCTCTTGGGAGTTTAATTTATAGGTGGAACAGTTTTTAGGCGAGAGGAGGGAATTAAAATTAAAATCATTAATATAAACTGAAATAGTTATATACATTTGCATGAAAAAGTATATTTACCAAGTTCATGATGAAGAAATGTGCAAATACTATCCCGGGACAAAGCATACTGGTGAGTAGAACGTTAGATTTCCATTTCTCTCCTCCAAAGCTCTTATAGATCCTGGAGTTAACAAACCAATAATAATACGGTTCTTAAACATATATCAAACAATTGTATGAGTTTAGTTCTTTTGTGTCAACTAATAATAATCAATAAATCAATATCAGAAATAACTTTGAAACCAATATACTGGACTAGGACAGGTACCGAGATGGACTACTCCAGGCGACTGTTAGTGAGCAGTGGGGTGGTTACCTCGGGCATCCAGCCCTTGACATGTTGATTCACACTGGACTAGTGTTATTAATAAACTGTTACAATAATTTCCATTCTATGGCAGTTAATTTTGAAGGGGATGATTTCAACGGAATGATGGTTGACCTTTTATTTATTTATTTATTTACATAACTCTTTTAAATGTAGAAAGCTACAAATTATTACGCAATAAAGTATGTATTTTAAACCAGAAACAAAACCCAAAAATAAAATTTTTATAACAATTGGTATTTGCTTTGAATTTAATTAAAAGTTTGTTCCTAGATGAAACATATCCAGCTGGGGTTCCCAGACACACATAGAGAACCAGGGCACAGGTCATTAGAGCTCCACGGTTAGCAGGAGATAGGAAACCTAGAGAATAATCCAATTAGAGTTACGAGTTTCAGGGCTAACAGACAATTACGCAAGAGTTCATAGGTTAGCTGGAGATAGAAAACCTAAGATAATTATGTCAGAGTTCAATGATTAGCAGGAGATAGAAAACCTAAGATAATTATGTCAGAGCCCTAAGATTAGCAGAAAACAGGAAACCTAGAAAAGTTAGGGTTAGCAGGAGATAGANGGAGATAGGAAACCTAGAGAATAATCCAATTAGAGTTACGAGTTTCAGGGCTAACAGACAATTACGCAAGAGTTCATAGGTTAGCAGGAGATAGAAAACCTAAGATAATTATGTCAAAGTTCAACGGTTAGCATGGGTCTTGAGACAAAGAAAACCAAGAAAAAAAAAACTTTTTTAATGTTGAAGAGGCGATTATGTGATAGGTTCTGTATTTTGAATTAAACATATCTTTTTAAAATTTATTATTACAGAGATTTAATTAATTTTTCAAGAAATATATATTATTTTACTAAATCAAATCAAATATTAGTATTTCCTATGAAAAGGTATGTTTTCTCTGATTAAGACCAAATGTTTAACAAACCTAAACAAGCGAACACAAGGGTTATTGAAGCCATACTGAACAGTTGAATACCAGAACCAAGGAAAACAGAGAGCAACATTCCTTTCCTGAACATAAGCAGTTTTATTTTTTCATCGTTCCATTTTTGAGGTTAAAAAGGAATAAAGTTTAATTTAATTAAATTTTTATGTTCGTCAAACCCCCAAAAATAGGAATTTAACCAGGCTGAAAGAGAAAATGAAACACCTTTTTTGACAACTGTAGGAAATGGATCAAATTATTATCTAAAGGTTTTTTTATTAATCTTTGATAACAGACAAATAAAACCAAATATTTTAATGTTCTACCTAGGAGGACGGAAAATATCTCCATGAACAAGTTTCCAACCAAACTCTTCCTGTGCGTCCTCTCCGCTATCAATCTGATTGTATCTAAACACGGAGAAAATAATTATTAGTTTACTAAATGGGTGAGTACATATCTTGCATTGACGTCAAATCAAATCAAACCAAATCAAATTAATTAAATCAAACCATATCAAATCATGATGTCAGGGAGTCCAACTATCCACCCCTCAGACTTGAAATGAACAATGAACATACTAGTTCAAGAATAAGTGAGGTCTTATAGTTTATAAACATTGTAAAAATGTATTAGGATCACTAAGAACTAGTTTTATTAAAATAATAAAAAAAAATTTTAACGGAGGTCCTCAATTCCTTAGAAATCCTAACGCGTCAGAACTCAGAGTAAAATATCCTTATAATATCCTACCCTGTTATATCCTAATAATATCCTACACTGCCATATCCTTGTAGTATCATATACCTTTCTATATCCTTGTAATATCCTTACCTGCATTATCCTAGTAATATCCTACCTTGCTATATCCTAGTAATAGTCTACTTTGGTACATCCTAGTAATATCCTACCTTTCTATATCCTTATTACCTTGTAATATCCTACTTTTCTATATCCTTGTTACCTTATAATATTCTTACCTACAATATCCTAGTAATATCCTACCTTGCTATAATATCCTAGTAAAAGTCTACCTTGCTATATCCTAGTAATTTACTTGTAATAACCTACCTTGCTATATGTAATATTCAAGACCCTATTATATTCTTGTAATATTCTTTTAATATTCTTGTAATATCCGTGTAATATCAAACCTTGCTATATCCTTGTGAAGAGTTCTCAACAAGATCATTGCCACCATTCCGGACAAGAAGAGAACTAAAATTATAAATAAATGATTGGAATCAAATAGATTATCAGGTACAATAGGTGTCAACGCAAAATGTGTCTGACAAAATAATAAAATATAGTAATCATTTTAAAATGCTTATCTTTTAGTGAAATCAGTGCAATTTTAAGTTTTTTTTATTTTCTGTTTTTACACTTTTTCATTTAAAGTCCCCTTGACTAAATGAAGGGGTTGAAACTGATATTGTAAAAAACTATATAACACAGGGTTTCATCTAGGAGTGCATTACACCCAGATTTTTTTTTACCCAAAAACAGGGTCAAAAAAATAAAAAATATGCTACAAAAAAAAATTTAATGCCAAAATAAAAGCCACAAATGATATCTTAACGCTTAAATCTATCAAAATAAACAAAATATGCCACTAACAGTATATAAATGCATAAAATATGCCACAAATTATGTCTTGTCACCTAAAATCTTCCACACTTTACAACACAGCTCAGAGAATATGCCACAAGAAGTATTTAAATGCATAAATCTACCACTAAAATTATCTATTAGCTTAAAATCTTCCACAAAATAGTGCTATTCGACAAAATAGTGCTAATGACACAAGCTATACCCAGACATGTGCCACAAACAGTATTTAAATGCATGAAATCTGCCATTAAAAAGTAGTTAAAAGTGTAAGTATAAAATATGCCACTCATTATGTGTTGCCACATAAAATCTGCCAAACATGCCATCAAAGCTCAGAAAATTTGCGACAATCAGCACCTAGAATAAAATCTGCCACAAAAATTATTAATAACTATACCACCAACAAAAACCGAAAGCGAAAAATATGCAATGTACATAAATGTCTATAAAAATGCCACAAATTGTGTCTTGCCACAAAAAAAATCTGCCACTCATGCCATTAGAGCTGAAAAGCCACAAAAAGTACCTTAAATGCATCAAATCTGCCACAAATTAAAGGTAACACATGAAATAATAAATGGGATAAATCAAATCCGAAAATTTTGGGGTGGACAATGCGAAAATTTTGCCAAAAAATTACGAAAGAGAAATTATTAACAATGATATATATTATATAATGAAACTTCTAACGCTGAGCTCTCTGAAAAGTGAATTCTACAAGTTTTCTGCGCAATTAATTGTTGCAGCAATGGTTTTCGCAAAATTATTTTTTTCGCGAAATTCTTTTGTTTTCGCTTTTGGTATATTTTTCTGTTTGGGTGGGGGGGGGGGGAATATGAGCTTTCATTGGGTTTGGGTAAAAAATAAAAATCAAAGAAATAAGGGGGAAGAGGGAAGGGAAAAGGGGCAATAGGAGAAGGGAAGGGAAAAGGAAAAAGGGGGGAAGGGAAAAACCACAAAAAATAGTATCATAAATGCTTTAAAAAAAAAAACTCAGCGGAACCTAGAAGTTGACCTTTTTAGGGCACCGATACTCTCCATTATACTGCTGAAATCCAAAAATTTTCTATGCAAGGCCCCCCCCCCCAGACGCAGCAAACTTCTTCGAAGTTTGCACGGGCTTCAGAAACCTGTAAAATCTACTTACAATGTTACCCTCTAAGGACTGTAAAGACGAAAAATGATTAAAACATTTTTGAATTTTATTGGTTTTTTGTTATTGTTGTGAATGATGCTATATTGTGTACTGAAGTCATTAATAAACTCTCAAAAGCTTTCTTACTTTTAACATAGGGTTATCAAAATAATTTTTTGTAAAAATGTTATTTTATGAATATATAGGATAGAGTAGATGGCGGACTGTGTCTCAAAAAGTTAGAGGTCTATATTTTCAAAAAATTAGCCGGGCTTAGTAATTGAACAATAAACATATAATATACCCCATGCCGATTTTAAGGAAAGAAAAACAACAGAGTAAACCGTACAAATGAAAGTAAATATAGTATATACCCTATGTTATTTGGGTTGTCTTTCTATTAATATTTTTTGGAATATCTGACATTTTTTACGTATTCCTACAAAGACTATTTTTATCTAAGCTGAATGTTGGAAATCACATTAACTTGTTGGACAACATATCGTCTTTCTCTTTGCATTTGACACTTGTGACGTTGTGCGCAGTTGGTCGATTTTTCTGTTGCCATCTATTGAACTTGACAATCTATTTGATTGGGACACCTTTTTCGGCTCTTTCGGCCATGTATTTAGGGCAACGAAAAGAACTAACGAAATAATTTAAAAAAACATGTTCTTTTTAACCAAAATCGTGATCTTTCCTTAATATTAATCTAAAAATGCGAATAATGGGACAAACAAATTAAGGGCCAATCTTTTTAAGATTTTTAAAGATCCTAATTCCTTAAAATACGTCAATTGCATGCATGTCCAAGAATAAATTAACATCTTATCATGGCGAAAATAATATATCAATAGAAACATTTCTAGAGTATGAGGTACTCTAAATTATTTCGTGGTCATTTTTTTAAAGTTACCTATGACAAGAGAGTTGAGAATAGAGAACCACTGAATGTTTGTGTGAGGCATAGACTCGAGAATATAATCCCATCTGCTAGACCACTTGGTTGCCTGGTTTTGCTGAAAAATTTAAACTTTATTTTGAGCAAAGATGATGTTAATAGTTTAATCCTCTCATACCTGGAAGGTTATTGAGTACGAGTATGTTATATCGATGTCAGCTGTTCCTGTCGCTGGGATTGCCATTGGTTTTGCCGCCGGGTCCGTACATTTCCCTTTCTCTGCCCCCTCGTGGTTAATGGAGCGAGGAACAAGCTTGACAGCAACAATCCGTCCTCCCAGAACATTTCCCAAATATTTACCCCAGTCCTCATCCTGTCCGTTATGATAACTGAAAAGTAAAAAAGTACAAATAATTAATTAATTGATAAAAATATTTAATTGATAAATCGCACCCTCTCTCCTAATGTAATCATTAAACCCCAATGTGTTTTGAAGTTTGAATAGATCTCACCCTTTTTACCAAGTAACTATCTAAAAGAGAATCAGGTTATTCCTACCAGCCCCAAAAAAAATTTTTGACCGTGAAAGCATGGATTTAATTGATCATTTTCTAAAATATAAAAACAAAACCTAAATGACCTTATAGTAATATCAACATGGTTGAAGATGTAGTAGGTGTCGGATTGAGAATATTCATGACTTATAACACATGCGTCTTTAGGTTTTCCCTCCTTATCCACGTAGCAACCCATAGGGAACCCTGTAGAGCAATAGTGCATCTGGTTTTCAACCTTAAAAACGTAAAATCGCCGTTATTTTGAGTTTCTTTCTAATAATCCACGGGCTGTCGAGCGTCCATTTTCATAAAAATAATTTCCTTCTATTTAAGAAACAGAGTTTTTATTGTTGAATTTAAAATTTTGAGTAATAATAATAATAACAGTATATTATTGCTGATTTGGCTATGTAGTAAATCCGATAAGAATGTGGTATAATACGCAAATATATTTGTTGTACCTGATAGCACCATGTTACTGGCATGTTGTCAACTATCCAATGATGTTGGTAATTCATGAATATTCCCTTCTTCAGCTGCGCTAGCTTCTTCACTGATTCAGCATCATTCGATCTGTACTTCTTCGTAGCACACAGGATCTAGTAATAGAATCAGGAGTAAACAATAGGAATAAAATTTCATAGAATGATTTAGGATAAGATTCATAAGTCATAAACAGGAATAGTTTCAGAGAATAATCTTTTAGTAAAATCAGGAGTAAAAAACAGGAATAAAGATTTAGAGAATAATCTAGTAGTAAAATCATGAGTAAAAAAAGGAATAAAGTTTCAGAGAATAATCTAGTAGTAAAATCAGGAGTAAAAAACAGGAATAGTTTCAGAGAACAATTTGGTAGTAAAATCAGGAGTAAAACACAGGAATAAAGTTTCAGAGAATAATCTAGTAGTAAAATCAGGAGTAAACAACAGGAATAGTTTCAGAGAATAATCTGGTAATAAAATCAGGAGTAAATCACAAGAATAAAGTTTCAGAGAATAATCTAGTAGTAGAATCATGAGAAATAAACAGGAATAAAGTTTCAGAGAATAATCTAGTAGTAGAATCAGGAATAAAAAACAGGAATAAAGTTTCAGAGAAAGTTTACAAATAAAAAATATCGTAAACCTACCGTGCAGGTTTGAGGTTCACCGAACTTGATAGTATACGGAGATGGACGGATACGCTCTCCGAACACAACCTGTCCCAAGTTCTCAGCTGGAGAACTGTCTTCTGCAGCCTCACAGAAATCAAAACTAAAAATAATACAATTCAACTCCACACTCTAATCCCTACAAATATATGGTGGACTTTTTTGCTGTAAGTGAACATCGTAATAAAGAAATTTTAAAATTGTTCACCCCCCCCCCCCTCACCCATATCCCCACACTCTTTCACCCTTGAAAGAGAACTTGCTTGCTTTCAAATATAAATTCTACTACTTACTGATGATATTCGAATGGAATGACTGATTCCTCAGAGTTAAGTCTGTTTACAAACAACTTAATATCGTTCTGACAAGTCGTAACATCGGCACTTTTGCAGTACGTTACAGGGGCCAGTCCTGAAAGAAAGAAGGGCTGTTTTAAATCTTTTTAGTTTGTTTTCTTGTATGTTAAAATGCCCGTTTCATGACCGCAATCTTTAACCTTTGTCTGAACAAAACTGTTGGATATAATGCTTAGGATCCGGATCCGAATCCAAGGGGTAAAATATCAACCAAAAACTGCAAAAAAAACATTTTTACTCCTAAAATCCGAATCTGAACTTTTGAGAGATTAAAAAATTTCCTCATTTCTGAATGGTTCATCAAGTTAAGATAAAAATATGCGAAAAAAATTTTTAAAAAAATTTTAAATTATTTTTTGTTAAAATCCGCATCAAAATTAAATGGGTCCTAAGAACTGGGATATATATTACATACATTACATATACTTAATTTCTATAGAATATAAAATTGACTCGCGGATTTTTCCACAAGAGTGGAGATTGTCAGAAGTTTTCTTCTTCATTGTTACTTAGATAAAAGTTTTAAGGGTTTTGTTGTAAATTAACTAAATTGTATTTTCTAACCTGGAAGGTAGAAAGACCAGACAGGACCAAGAAGTAAACTAATTAGTAATATTTTTAACATCTTCTCTGAAATTAAAGAATGCATCAGTTTTTAACAACAATATCCACAGCCTTTAATTTCCCTGGATCACCATGAGTATTTACTGTTGTGAACAGAATTGTAAACTGGTGGAACACGTGTTCATATGAGTAGAACACGTGCAGGGGTAGGATGGTGAAGACTTACTTCAGCTTCTTCTTGGGTCTCAGGTTGGAAGTGTGTCCACATGCCTTTTTCCTGCAGTTAGTTGCCCTAAACATAACATTTTATAATGATGATAATCATGAACAACATTGTCCGGCATAAGATTCAATAATGTTTTAACCCGAATACTGGTTAATTTTCTGTCCATAAAAAAGGGGTTCAACGTCTATATTTAACTTCCTCCCTATTTGTTACCGATGAAATGGTATTTTAATCCTTGACCTGGGATGAAGTCTGGCGTAGCACTTCCTGCAGATAACCTTGTCACAGTTATACTTCTGGGCAAGAAGACGCAGAGATGGCTCAATAACTCCACCGCGAAGACGAAGTACCTAACATTAAAATGTATGCAAAAATTTTAATTAAAAAAATAAAAACGAGATACAGCAATAGATAGTTTAACTACTTGTCTGCACCACAGTACATAAACTTCAACAAAATGAACTCTTTACTCAAAGAGGCGAGGTGGCAAAGTGGAGGGAAATTAAACTAATATATATTTACAACAGCTAAAGATATTTTTTAAAGAAAAATAAAAAAATGACTGTTCATATTAATCTGTTTATAAAAATTACCAAGTGCAAGGTAGACTCCTTCTGAATATTGTAATCTGAGAGGGTTCTTCCATCTTCCAGCTGTTTACCAGCGAAGATCAATCTCTGCTGATCTGGGGGAATCCCCTCCTTGTCCTGGAGAAAATATTCAATTAAAAACACGACATTTAAAACGTATCAAAGCAACCCAAAACGTAAATCTAAAATATTCAATCTGAAAAGCCTACGCTACTAGGTGGTGTTAGGTTATTCAAAATTTTTGAATTATGAATAAACTCTTTTAAACCTTTTTATCGACGGCAAATTTTGTAATTAAAGTGCAAATTTGATTCACTAAAAAATTCTTGTGCTTTGAAAATTCAGAAACTAACACCTAGCTACGCCTAAAATGGTACCTGGATTTTAGCTTTCACATTCTCAATGCTGTCGCTAGCCTCCACCTCAAGGGTGATGGTCTTTCCGGTCAGTGTCTTCACGAATATCTGCATTTTGCTCTGAAGTAATTTTTGGTACAAAATATTTTTCATTCTGTACCAATGAAGAATAGTTTCTGGTCGCAAATCTTGTCGCGTCAAAAAAAATATACAGTTTCACCCAGTGCAGTATCTAGCAACGTGTTGTTTTTGCTTGGCTCAATCTATTGAAATTAATACTTCCTCAAGGCTCCAGGTGTGTTAGATCAAGATTCCGCTCAGGAGTACATTAAAACTAGAGACCAGATATACCGGAGCTAGATTTAGTTCCAAGTTCAGGAGTTAATAACAAATCCTTCATTTGCAACATTCAGTTCAGGACAAGTGGAAAGATACTGGAGCATATTTAATCCAATAACTCTTTATATATATATATTAGAGCAAAAATATGTAGAAAGCTCAAGTTATATTATTCTCAGGTTCACCTTTTTCTAAAGAATAATAATCCGAGTTTGAAAAAATAATACTAGAATTCTTCTTCATATAATTGAGTATATCCTGTAAATATATCTGTAGAAGAGATATCGTCTTTTCTCCTAGCGGGGTATAAACTAGATATTCTCCCAGCTTTGTGAATAGACGGAGAAGATGTGGAGTTCCATAAATCTTGGTTGGAACCAGACCACTGTCGGATACTTTCATCTAAATCATTCAATCAGTCAATCAATCAATTGTTTCATTAATATAAAAAATCATTAAACTTGATTTTTAACTATTAAAAAGTTTTTTTTAGTTCTATTTACTTATCAGCAAAAAAGATGCAAGTGTTTGGTTGTTCAAAAAAGAAAAATATGTCAATACATTGATAAGAGAAAATCAAATCTTAGTAGGAGTCTATAATTAGCCCCTCCGTAAAGATTCATTTTAATATTTCAAGATTTAAATTAACTAAAACCTAACCTTCTGATATTGATCACGTTCCTGTTTAAATAACAGCTGAGTCGGAAGCATTACATTAAAGTATTCACGTAGACCAGCAGTTACCTTAGAAAAAAGAAAATTGGAATAATATTTCAAAATCAAGAAAACCCTTAACTCGTAGTAAAATTGTGAATGAAACGGGTTGATAACTAAAACACTTAGAAATATGAAAAAAGGCGTGTAGATTTATATAATGACTGAAAGTAAATAGATGGATGTTTTATTGGGGTAACAATTTCTAAGCTTTATGGAAACGTAGAACTTCCGTTTCAGCATCAACGTTTCAAACCAATGATTTCATACTTTTAAAATTTGAAATTCGTTTACTTTTTAAATAATTCAAGTTCAGCGGAAATAAAAACTAGACGTTTTTCAACCATAATTAATCTATATTCCTTAACTTTTGAAAAACCTCAAAATGGTTAAAATAAAGAACTTTAATAGACTGAAATGAAGGTTTAGTGGAGCCGGAGGAGAGAAGATATACATTTATTAAATGCTAGTAACAGGTGTTCAACTAGAAAACTAATTATGAATAAAGTTAAAAATATCTAGAAGTAGAATGTTTTTATGCATATACCTCCACGATAGCTTTTTCTTTATTATTCTTGCTGGCACTCTCAGATTTATTCGTCTTAGCTCTAAAACCTCAGCTTACGAAAAATATCAATGAATGAATAAATTAAATTACCTACAAGCATAGGTTTATAAATGGATTTAAATTTTTCGAATTGATATGAATAATTCTAAATGAGGCCGAAAGGTTAAAGTTATGAGATATGTGCAGAACAGGTGGGAGGAGCAGTGCTTAGAATCCGTTTAATTTTGATGGAGATCTGGATCCGGACCCGTTCCAAACTTTATGGATCCGGATCCGTTCCAAACTTTATGGATCCGGATCCGTTCCAAACTTTATGGATCCGGATCCGTTCCAAACTTTATGGATCCGGATCAAGGTTCTGGACTTTTTTTTCAAGATTTACTAGTTCTTAACAAATTAAAAATGTTAATTGTGTTCACTTATTATTAAGCTGAAACTAGATAAAATATGCAGAGATGGGAAAGTTTTTAATAATCTCTTAACTAATTGACAATTTTACTTCTTGAATCCGAATCATCCTAAACACTGCACTGGGGACTGAGTATGATGGAAAAATTGCAGATGCTTTGAGTGGATTATAAAAACTTGGGAACTGTTGTCGAGTATAATCTTAAATATATAACTGTAATAGACACATTTAAATGAGAGAATAAAATGCATCAAAAATCATTTCACAGTTTGATTGAAAATACAGAAACTATTCAAGGTTTTGACGGGGAGGGTAAGAGATTATTTTTTTCCGTCCAAAAAATGTTAAAACTAAATTCTCCTGACATCACTTGTCTGTCTAATATACTTGAGTAGAATGTACCAGGTGCAACGTACTGATTGCACCTGTTTATTTTCCAGCTGCCAGCTGGTAATGTTAAGTGTCTTCTTAGGAAAATTCTTTAAAGATAACCAACAATTCAGGGAAAGTATATATTTTATATACAGTAAGAGTTGAAGTAATCTGAAAAGATCCCCAATATGGACCCCATTGTATCCCACCCGTTCTATATAGTTCTATAATGCTAATCTGAAACCTGATTATATTTGTTATTGTTTACAAAGTTTTAATTGCTGGATTTTATCGACTAACTGCTCATTTTAAGAAACATTTCATAATATTTAGTAAAATAAAACACACTTGACTTGAAAAAGACGTTGTTCTTTGTTCAACAAGAAAAAATATTAAGTATTTAAATATAAATTTTACTTATTTGTCTGAACGGCCGAAATTTTAAATATGAAAAATGTCTGGAAAAAATGTCGACATTTATTGTTTTTGAAAATGAAAATTTAGATAGAAAATTCGCGATTTGTTTTTTTTTTTAGAGAAAGGTGATTTGAGGAGAAACGGCTTAAAGTTAAAATTATTATCAAAAAGAGGCCAGATAGAGCCATAAAAGGCTAGTATTGTCAGAGGACAACATCAATCTTAAGTGTCATTATATTGTTAAACTGAAGTTCCTTGCGTAGTTGTCCAAAAGTTGATGAACTGTTAGTTTTGCAGGAAGTGAACAAAGACAATTATTCCTATAAATTTGGATTTAAAAAACTTGATAAGATTTTAAATTATTTGGAATGCAACTAAGTCTAAATAGAAAAAATACTGAAAATAAATTGAAATCCATAATTTCCTTGTTATCTGCTCCCAATCGTCCACAATATAGGATTTTAGCTCATCAGGAATTCTAACTCTGATCTCAACCTAGTTAAATGTAATGTGAAAAAAATCATATCACGCAAATGAAATTTGTTTGAATCAATTTTAATGGTTTGTTTGAATAAAAAATGCAGTCATATTTATTTCGTGATCAATTTAGAGGCGATATATAACATAATAACGGATTCACTTGCTTATTCTTTTTTGAATTTCTCATCCTTTTCTTAAGAAATACAAATGTGGCTTCTAAAATCACAGGGGTACATACGGGAGAAATCAATAAGCAATATTTGTCTCTCTGATACTTGTTATGTTATTGTTTTCCCTATTAATCAATTACTTTCTCCAATTCAGCGAAAACACTTTTTGGGGAAAAATGATTTTCAAACGGGGGATTAATATTTCAAGAAAATATACACCCCTTTGAACAAAACAATTATTTGGAACTTTTTAAGAACTTGTTTTTAAGCGTGTCGAATTTTTTTTTCTTGATACGGCTTGCAATAATTTACCTTAGATTTAAAGATTTCCTCCGACTCAACCGTATTGTCTGGCGGTTTCAATGTTTCTGCAATTTTAGATCGATTCCGCTGATATTCTTCATCCTCCTCAACCTCGTTCTACAAACATTTTCAAGTGAATTTAAAACACAAATCTTATTCTGAAGACTTCTGGTGGAGGGCAAAATAAACGTATAGCAAATGGGGTTCAGGGTTAGTGATTTTTACATATTTTTTTCAATATTAGATTTATAATTCTACGGAAGAAACATTATCACATTACTACCTCTTCAAGTTCTACTGAACTCTTTACTTCTCGTTTCTGAGGTCTAAGTCCTGCTTTTCTTCTAGGGCGTGGGTTAGGGCTGGGGGCAGCAGGAATAGCGAATATATGCTCAGGTCTACTTGATTTTACTGGATCAACTTCAACTTCGGATAGATCTTCGTTTTTCCGCTTGAGAATCCGACGACGTTTCTCTGAAAAAGATAAACCGTTTCAATTTTAAAACCCAATTTCCAAGCTCTTTAATTTACTCCGTCCTTGTCCTTAAAAAAAAGTAGTTAAAATACAATTTATCAAAATCGGAGATCAGATGCTTATAGTTTTACAGTTTCACTGAAAATATGTTATTTTACTTTAGAATTAATATAAGAAATTAGAAGTCTAACCACCATCAGAATAAATAAAAGAATAAGTTGGATATCTGCAGATTAAGTATAAAATTAACTACGACGTTTTTTCCCCTATTTTTTTTACAAAATCATGATTTGGAAATAAAACAAACTTAATAATTAGCCGCTAAAAAAATAAAAGTGGGAGTCTTTTATTTTGGAAAGATAATTTATATGAAAATATTTATCCCTGTCACATATTCTCGTCTCTACCCAAAATTAGCGTACCGTTATTTTTTTCTTCATGAGCTCGAATGAGATCCTGCTGTATTGATTTGTTTTTCTCCGTATGTTTCAGCATCCTAGCCTCGGGAACCCATTCATCCCAACTCTTGTTCCAACCGTGATAATGGATGAAGTATTTGTATACACCGTTCTGTACTTCAACCTAGATATTATAAATATTGGAATATATTTTCTCGTGATAAACCGCGGGTCTTTCCTAATCTTTTCGTGGAAGGGGGATACTACAAAACCCCTATTTGCACAGCTCTGTTAGGAAAATCCTGGCTACGGGCCCGTCAATATGTATTTACCGTCTGAATTTTAGCTTCGTAAATCAGCGGACCGTGAAAGCATAAAATCTTCTCTCCTGAATTCCATTTCTCTACAGGAACCATTGCCTCCGGTTTCTCTGCATTTCGTTCTTCATCTTCTTCAACTTTCAAGTCTTTTTTATCAATTACTTTGGCGTTAGGAGACGGATCAGCATCAGAAAGGTCCATTACTTCTTTGACGACATTTTTATCCTCCATCTTTCAATCTGCAGATAATAGTTGGTTAACATGCGCATAACTACCAAGAATTTACTAATTAAATGGGCCCATAATTCCCGAAAAGATTTAACATCGGGGAATTTTTCAACATATCGTTTAATGAGTGTGGATCGTGCCGGTCAGCGAATTTTTTATTTAACCTTTATCTTTATCTAACTAAAAATTATCTATGGTTCATTAATTTCACATGAAGCCATAGAAAAAAACTTAACATTTAACTAATTCTAATTTGAGTTGAAAAATATACTTAGAACGGTAGAGACGAAACTTCTCCTATTACAAATGTTAAAAATTTAATGGCCGCGAGGAAAAAAAACGCAAGCCAAAGCCAAATACAAAAGTATGTTGATAAGCACGTGAAAGCCGAGCACATAACAAATCAAGTTCAATAATCATTTCGTCATCATCGAGGCGCCGCGTTTACATTTAAGATTTTCAATCGTGGATATAGAAATAATAATCATTGAATATTTGCTTATGAAGGCGCCGATCAGAACAGAATGATTTTTATACTAGGGCGTCTCAACTCATGGTATTGAATAACAAATCAAATTATTCAGGACAGTGGCGGCTTAAATTGTACCGTTTATTAGTTTCCACGTCAATTCTAGAGTAAGGAAGACGATCTGTTATTGAAACAGTTAGGGCACATAATCTCATTTTCTATTTTAGCCAAGCAAACATACATTACAATATACATATAATTCAGAGGCGCAACAAGATCATTTCACAGTTTGATTGAAAATACAGAAACTATTCAAGGTTTTGACGGGGAGGGTAAGAGATTATTTTTTTCCGTCCAAAAAATGTTAAAACTAAATTCTCCTGACATCACTTGTCTGTCTAATATACTTGAGTAGAATGTACCAGGTGCAACGTACTGATTGCACCTGTTTATTTTCCAGCTGCCAGCTGGTAATGTTAAGTGTCTTCTTAGGAAAATTCTTTAAAGATAACCAACAATTCAGGGAAAGTATATATTTTANTCGACTAACCCTCCCCCCGATTTACGCAAAAGTTCGTTAATTAGTTCGACCCCCACCGGCCACCATCACTTTATACACATACATCTAAACAGTTTGTTTTTAACCTTTGTGACAGAAACAATCTCAAGGAATAATAATTGTCTTTAAACATTTTTTTAAACGTGAATATTTGCAAATTATCTTTTTCCATCTGATAATCTGAGTTCGTTTCCCTTATGTCCATTTGACAGCCCAAATTTTTATTTTTAATAATCTTTTTTGTTTGTTTATTTTCTTGTGATTTTTTCTAACAAACATTTTTTTATATTTTTTATCGATTTTGATGGTTATTATATCGTTAGAACTGACGAGGGTCAACCCAGACCAAAATATATTTTCAATAAATGTGGAACTAACATCTACTACTCTACAGAGGTTTGGTCCATCACCATCACCGTATTCTAAAAGTTTACTTTAACTTGTTTTCCAGCAGATACTTTAATATGCCTTAACAAAAAGCCAGCATGAACGATGACAAATTTTTCTAAAATGTCTCTATGAATTAGGGCCAGCTCATTAAATTTGTCGGTAAAACCAACAAAAGTGTTGATAGACAAAAAATACCCGTAAAATTGAATTAAATATATTCAATAGGTTCAGGGTTTATTTATCTTCATTTTTTAACAAAAAAAATATTATAAAAATGCATAACAAAGTTGACAGGCTTTCTTTATTTTGGAAGATTAGATCTTATATCTTTATACAACTTTGCAAACTTTACTTTTATTCCTCATGTTTAGTAGTTTACATATAAATGATTTATTTTTTTAATTTTAATAGGGATGGGCAATATCTAGATTCCTTTTACAGGAACTTTTTATGTTTTGAGACTTTGAAAAGGTATTACGACAATATGAGAAGGTTCCAACATTTTAAAACTTTATTCTGTAGAAGTTTACCAAACATGCAAATTTGTTACCCTCAAAGAAAATATAAGGCAAAAATGATAGTTTTTGGGTTTTTAAAACGATCGTTTTTAGTTCGTTTTTGCCTTAAGTTTTCACCTAGTATAACAATAACATGTTTGATATTAGTAAATTGTGCAACATTGTGCCCCCCCCCGTAAAAACACCACTTTTGAAAAAATATTGCAGATACTTTTTTCAACTATGTAAACTATTAGATCTTATAAACACTTACATCTATATATAAATTTGGCTTGTCTGTCTGTTTGTCTGTCTGTTTGTTTGTATCCAATAAACGTCAAAACGGCTGAACCGATCGGGCCCAAATTTTTTGTGGGACATCACGTGAGCACAGGGGAGGTTTATGAATGATCTAAATTTCAAATATTTGTCTCCATCAAAATTCGATCTTCATTAAATTTTTGAAAATTTTGAAAATCCACGAAATTTTTTGTGAAAATCCGCGAATTATTTTTGTTTTGTTTTACGATGTACACAAAGAGAACATGTTCACAATTAATTTAGAAGATGGGCGTGAAGCGCCCTCTAAGGCTAGTATTACAAATGTTAATAAATTATTTATGCGTGCCCCCCTTAAGAGAAGCACACCTGCCACCGGGCCCATTTTTGAATGTACTTTAAAAGCTTTTAAAATTTTAGGTGTTCGATCAAAACTAGTCCTTACTAACTTAAACTTTAAGATTAAATTTTAAGATATAGAATTATAATTATTTTGTTATTAATACCCATTTCGTTTGAATTTTACTTTATTTTAATAGTACATAAAAAAACCTAACTTGAAACTATAAATCCCATTTTTAGCTTTAGCTAACTTGAAACTATAAATTCCACTTTTAGCTTTAAAATCAACCTGTTTGGCTTATAAGTTCATTCGAATAATTTTTATTTTCAATATTTTAACTATTATTTTTATTATCATTATTATTATTTCTTTCATTATTATGACCCCTATCCCTAAACCTTTTCTCTGAAGTATGCTCGGAAGATGACAGAAATTATTAAGATTAATCATAAATTTGTCAAAAGAATTCGACCAAACTTTCCCCCAAACTTTACCCCTGGGCTTCCCAGACAAAAGAGATACACAAGAATTTATTTCAAACATTTTCTAAATTCTTTAAAGTTTTTAATTTATCATTTTTGTTAAAATTTTGGTTGGGTGTCGCATGTCATTTAAAAAAAATTATTGTAAACCACTTTAATCTTTTTAATTTTTTAATTTGTTCAACCAGTTAGATAAAAGAGAGAGAAAAGTCAGAACTTATGAACTACTTATATTTGAATCAGAGTTTTGGTCACCATGGTACTAATTTTGTTGAAAGAGCTTCGCTGCTATGTAAAAGTAAATTGCGCGTAATATTAAAATCTTTAATGTTTTCAATCATAGCTCCTTTTATTAAAGAACAAAATTTTTTTAACTCATAAGATTTAACCAGAAAAGCTCTACTCTATATATTTGCGTACAACTAGAGGAGCTACGGGGTCACGGTGTCGTACCATGGTAATATCGCATAAATTAAACAGGCTGCAGGTATAAGGAGTTAGATGAGTTGAAAGGTATAATGAGTTAGATGAGTTGAAAGGTATAAGGAGTTAGATGAGTTGAAAGGTATAAGGAGTTAGATGAGTTGAAAGGTATAGGGAGTTAGATGAGTTGAAAGGTATAGGGAGTTAGATGAGTTTGCCTAACTTAGAAATATTCTTATTAATTAACTAAACTCAAACAGAATAAGAACATTCTATTATCATGGATAGAATTCATGTACTGAAACACACACAAATCCAGGCAGCAATGTAGGTTGCACATCAATTTTTAAGACTGGGTCGACTTTGAGGTGTTGCAACGCCTTGGCCTTTAGTTTTATCTTACTAATTCACTTATACATTTGTGGAGCCGTAGAAATGTACATTTTTGAATACAAGTGCACTTTTTTCCAAGTTTAGTGTGAAAAATAATTAGCACAATGCGGATACATTTTTGTATAGGAGTAATGCCCATTTTGGAACACTGTGAATATGCGATGAGTTTCAAAAAACATGAGAATATGGCCTTTTCTTAATGCTTATTTATTATCATGTATGTAACAATCGTTGAACATATAACCATTCCCGTAAAATTATACTTCTTATTTTCTTATTCAATTAACTTAATTTTTAAGTAATACGTTTTCATAATGGTTTGTTCATTTTATGTCGTGAGAGATTTTATAAATGTCGGAGATCTTGGTTTTAGTTGATACTATTCATAAATCAGAACTATAAGAAGGTTTCTATTTTGTATTCATTTAGATTTAATCCCTCCCTCCCCTTCCATCCACTCTTCTTTTATATATAACCAAATTTATCTACACAACATAAATCATGGCGATGATGTCGAGCAGAAAGAAAATGATTTATTTGTTTTTAGATAAAACTGTTTCTGTTTTAAGCTTGTATAAATCAATTGTCAACGTACTTCATGAAGGTAACCGCCAAAAAAGTTCTCCGAAAAAAAGGTTTCGGAAATAAAATCCTAATTTTTGGCACTAAAAAAGTCAAGCATGGGAACTTTCTTATAAATAAAAATAGATATTCCTGCAAGAAAGGTAAACCGCCTTTTTAGATAAGAGATCCTTGCAAAAAAGTTTACCTTTGACGGACGGAAATACAGTGTGCAACATTATTATATGTATATTTAGTTTTTGTCACAAACTCTGATTTTCTGATCCCTATACATCTTTGCAAACCCAACGTCGTAATTAAACTAAGTTTTAAATATCAAAGGTTTACTTCATTAGGTTGCAAAGATATATGGATTAGAAAATTTAAGTTTGTGACAAAGAATCCATTCCTTTGGAAGCATTGCAACGTACTTCATGAAGTATATCGTGTACTGTGTGAGAACTTCCTTACAAATAGAAATACATCATCCTGTGAGGAAGTTCATGAACCCCCTTTTTAAATCAGAGATCCTTACAAAGAAGCCTCAAACAAGTCTCCTCCTTAAAATATTTTGGAAAAAAACTAAAGATATATATTGAGTCTTTGTCACAAACTCTGATTTTCTGAACCCTATATATCTTTTCAAACCCAACCTCGTAAATAATCTAAGTTTGAAATATCAAAGGTTTACACCATGGCAAAGATATATGGATTAGAAAATTTGAGTTTGTGACAAAGGCTCAGTTTCATTTGCTATAATATTTTTGCCATAATTACACTTGACATAATACTTTTGCCATAAGTAATACTTGCCATAAGTTACACTTGACATAAGTCACACTTGCCATAAGTTATACTTGCCATAATTACACTGGCTAGAATTACTTTTGTCATATTTTTCTAATTTCTAAAAAATGAAAATCTGTCTTTTTTATTGTAAATGCAGGAAATTTTCCCATGAAAATTCCCAACTTTAGTTTTCTCATTGTTTTAAAACAGAACAGTTGACACAAGTTCAGCTCCATATTTTCTAACAATGGAGGACCCTTTGGTGACCTTTGAGACCACAAGTAAGGGTAAACCAATGATTCGAGACAGCAAAACTACACCTTTGTAGCCAATACCTCGTTTAAAGAAGTGAAATATTGGAAATGTTCGGTTAAAATGTGCTCAGCTAGAATTCAAACCCGAATTTCTTCCTCAAACCTATGAGAGGATTGCTAACATTGTCCTACTGTATAATACTCTTCCCATAGAAGAGTACCAAAACCTGATAGCTCATGAACTGTCTCTGCATTAGATTTGTAATTTGTATTCAATTTGTAATTGTAAAAAAAATTTAATATACGTTTGTTAATTCAAACCAAATTTAATTTTAATTATGGCAAGAGTAATTATAGCAAGTGTAATTATGGCAAGTGTAACCATTAAGGCAAGTGTAACTTATGGCAAGTGTGACTTATGGCAAATGTATGATGATTGATGATGATTGAAGATTGATGATTGATGATGATTGATGATTGTTGATGATTGATGATTGATGATTGATGATGATTGATGATTGATGATGATTGATGATTGATGATGATTGATGATTGATGATGATTGATGATTGATGATTGATGATGATTGATGATGATTTATGATTGATGATGATTGATGATGATTGATGATTGATGATGATTGATGATTGATGATGATTGATGATTGCTGTTGCATGCAGATTTTTCAAATCTTTTTTTTTCTTTTGTTTTTAAAACTTTCATGGGTCGCGATCAAGAGCAAAAGTGATTAGCTTTCAGCCTATACCCCCTTTCATTTTTCCTTTACAGTCCCTTTAAGTGAGTGAAATTAGCTATAAACAATGACTTCTCAAAAGAAACAAACAACATTTTCATTTGCAAGAGGAGCTGGACAGAAGTATTCTCAAGGTATATTCCTAGAGAACAATTTTGAACGAATTTGTTTAATTTATTTTCCATGATTTAAATGTTATTTTAGTGCAATTTCTCTTTGAAAAACTACATTTATAAAATCCTAGAGTTATTTGTTGTTTTTTAAATACCATAATTTTTTGTTTTTTCTTTTCTTAAAAAGTTTTTTCTTTACTTTATAAATTGTAATTTTTTAGAGTTTAAAATTTTTTAGAATATTTTGCTATTGAAGATGAATATTTTCCCTTTCTTACCTTTTTTTTACTTATAGATTCCTAAATTTCATACCAAGTAAATTTAGGTTTTAGATTTTTATTTTACGTACTTTTTCGAGTCCATCCTAGTGAACGATTTTTGGCCCCCCCTCCTATCAATTTTGTACATGACCAAATTAGTATTATTTCAGGGTTAGGAATTAGGTTAAGACACTTTCTGGGCCGAGTGCTGCGGCTAGTACAGGCTAGAGGGCCGAGCTGCTGCTTTTATTGGAGCTCTTCAGGTAGACACATTATAGATTATATATATAGGTATAAATATATATATAGGTACAGGAGAATTTCTAAATAAAAATGCAATCCAATTAGAGAAAAAATCCGAAGTTTTGGGTGAAAGGGTTTGTCCTAGAGAACGATTTTTGGACTCCCACCTCTCCTATCAATTTTGTACATGACTTTCAACGATTTAGGTTAGGTCAAGTCACTTTCTGGGCCGAGCGCTGCGGCTAGGACAGGCCAGGGGGCTGAGAGCTGCGGCCACAGGTTAGGTTAAGTTAAGACACTTTCTGGGCCTAGCGCTGTGGCTAGGACAGGCTAGGGGGCCGAGCGCTGCGGCCACATGGTCAATTATATCCATGTCTTACATTTAAGATCCATGTACAAAAATGATAGGGGAGGGGGGGGTCCAAAAATCGTTCTCAATGAAATTACCTGGGTGATACAGTTATCTTTATCAGAGAATTAACATATAACAGTCAAGAGATTTAATATAAAAAACTTCTATTCTAATTTTGATTTTAAAAGTTTAAAACTGGGAATTGATGTACTTTTTATTTTTAATAAAATGTTAGTTATAATTTTTTTATTATTTACTTTTACTCTGGATATGGGCTGGGATCCCAAAAACCCAGTCTTTCAATTTGTGCCCATTTCTAACACTCAGTGTCTGTTTTGAAACTAATGTCCCCTAAACTTGGAGAAGGCTCAACACGTAGAAAATGCCCCAGTTAGGAAATCTTATGCAAAAAGCATTTTAAACCAGGATTTTATAGGAAGATAACTTCCTATACTAGAAAAAATGTATTGAATCCTTCTCAATGAGGTACGCTAATCCTTTACTAATTGTACGGCCATGTACTTCACTTCTTAAGGTCAATCTGTTTATTAGGTACTCGGGGGTGATTTCTGAAAATATTTAAATAAAGAATTAATTTTCCATGTCACTATTAATATCCACTTCTCCTGTATTGTGTGCAGGATTCCATTTTTACAGGAAGATGTATATTTACAGTCTTTTACAGAGCAAATATTTCATCGTTAATAAACTATTCTGAGAAAGCTAAGTAAAAACTCAAGATTCAAAACCTCCCCATACACTTTCACTGTATGAATAGGCCATAATCTCTTAACATTCTTTATCGGTAAACTATCCCAAGTGTTCGCTCAGGCCAATGCACATGGAGAGGTAGCTAAGATCCACCCCCTGATCCTTCTTCATTATTTAGGTTCCCCTTTATTATATCACCATTTTCTAAAGATCCCAAAATTTCTCAAATAATTTACTAGGGTTTTGAAATTTCTAATTCTCGTAACTTAAAATTCCTGATTTGCTTTACTGCAAATCTTTTTGTAAACTTTAACAAAATTATCATATTTTTCAAGATTATCTTCGGTAGGACTTAGCATTTTTATTGAGTACAGTTTTTGTTAAGGTTTACAAGATTGAAGCCGTCCATTCTAATATTTTAACATTTATTTTTAAATTAGAATTTTAACAAAAAAATTTTAAAGAGCAGTGAATTAATTCTATGGTTGTTGTATCTTCTTTTTATCTGATCATTCATTTGTTTTCTGTTCCTCATTAGTAGATCTAGGCATTCTAATCCCTTGTAGTCAAAGGAATTATGCATTTTGACAAATATAAAAAAAAGATTTACAAAAAGATAAGATTTTTCAACTATAAAATTCTTTAACTTCAAAAAATGCTGCCTTTAAAGGCCTTTCTTAATTCTTATGATTTCATAGTCCTGCCCCCGGACAATATTTTCCAGGATATTCAATGCTGTGTCTTAGGTTTAATCTTTCAGTCTTAAATTAAGCTATGACTCAAAACTTGAGTTTAAAATGCGCTTACTATTCTGAAGTTTTATGGTTAAATTTTTTTAATGAGTGGTCCGAGCGCTGCAGCTAGGACAGGCTATAGGGGCCGAGCGCTGCGGCCACATTGTCTAACTTTGACCATGTTAAAAAATGATGGAGGGGAGGGTTTCCGAAAATCGCTCTTAAGGAAATTACCCAATCCTTTTCAATTGTTCGGAAAAATATTAATTGATTAAAGGCTTCAAAGTCGAATTTGAAATGGGTCCGTCCTATTTTTGGACCCCCCCCCCCTCTTATCAATTTTGTACATGAACACTTCAACAACTTCAATTAAATTAGTATTTATTTAGTTAAGACACTTTCTGGGCCAAGCGCTGCGGCTAGGATAGGCAAGGGGGCCGAGCGCTGCGGCCACGGGTTAGGTTAAGTTAAGACACTTTCTGGACCGAGCGCTGCGGTTAGGACAAGCTACGGGGCCGAGCGCTGCAGCCACATGTCTTGCATTTAAGATCCATGTACAAAATTTATAGGAGGGGGGGGGGCGGGGGGTCCAAAAATCTTTCTCTTGGAAATTACCATTTGCGGCATTCATTTTAGATAACACGGAACAAAGCAATATTTCTGTATAAAAAGAGAAATCACAATTATTTCCGAAACAAAATGTGGTCTGCCAGTTTTTTTGTTGCTTTCAGGGGTTTTCAGGGGACAGGGGTTTTTTTTGCTGTCAAAATATACCAGAGAGTAAGAATTTTGGGGTTGTCCTAGAGAACGATTTTTGGACCCCCCCCCCCCTCCTATCAATTTTGTACATGAACTTTCAACGATTTTCAATTAAATTAGTATTTATTTAGGTTAGGCACTTTCTGGGCCAAGCGCTGCGGCTAGGATAGGCAAGGGGGCCGAGCGCTGCGGCCACGGGTTAAGTAAGGTTAAGACACTTTCTGAGCCGAGCGCTGCGGCTAGGACAGGCTAGAGGGGCCGAGCGCTACGGCCACATGTCTTACATTTAAGATCCATGTACAATTTTGATAGGAGGGGGCAAATATGAATTTATTTTTTAACCCCCCCCCCCCTGTTAAAAAATTAATCTTGATGAGATTTTTTTTCGGCTGAAAAATTAAATAGTTTAGTTTTTATTAAACTTTATTGTTTGTATAGTTTAGGACTAGGTTGGTTGTTCTTGTTCTAGCAAGCCTACTCATTGGCACAGATGCTAAGATATTAGGTAAGGTTGTATAATAAGTTGGGTTACTCTGGATGCGCTCCAATGTATGCTTCAAAGCAATAGACACTCTAAATCCTTATATGACGTCACTCCTTATTTTAATGATACTAAAAGTATATAGCCATAGGACTCAGTCCCGAAGATGGATAGGATCGGCTCGAACTGTGCATCCTGATCAACACTGCTATGGTCGGCAGCTCCCAGCTTATCATGGCCCACAACTGGTTTATCAGAACTCAAAATTCCAAACCCTTTAGCTGATAAATTATTTTCTTGTCTCGTTTAACAAATTTTCCTAAAATGATCATACTAGGTTTTAATGAGGTTCGTACTTCGATTGGAGTTATTTAAATAATTATGGGAATGGAACTTTGGTTAAATTATTTAAGTAAATTTAAAATTACAAATTCTCAGTTAAAGTAGCTAAAAATAGCAATGTATCCTGTATAATTTATAAAGTAGAAACGTTTGAAGAGGGTCAGAGTGGCTGAGACGGAATCCCCTGAAATGGGTTAGTTTTAATTTATAATTTAAAAATTTAAATCTGAATACAGCCCTTCCTCAATGGGGCACTGGACCCTTTTGCCCCTTGGCACTAGACCCATGCTGATGCAGGGTTTTATTTGGCTGATAAAATATAAGTATTTAATAAGACAGGATCCATGTCAACCACTCCCACCTTAAAAGAATAAAAAAAATTTGGGCTGCTCACTAAATAAAAACGAACTCAAAAATTGAAAACTTGAATTAAAATTGTCTTTTTAGCTTTATAATTTTAGCACAATCATATTTGTTAAATGTGATGATTGTTAGTTAAGTATCAGTGACGTCATATGAGGATTGTTTAATTGTTTAAAGACGACATTTGTATACATTGGAGCGCATCCATGTATCTAACCTTATATACAACCTTGATATTAGGCTTTATGCTCAGCGGTGTGTGTCAAGCAGGTTGCTACACAGGATGGGTCTCCTGCGTTGGAGCTGCGGGTAAAATGTTTTCTAATTTTCTTTCAAAATTGCGATTTGCGATTTAGTTTCTTAGAAAGTTTTTGAGAAGTTTTACAAATTTCAAAATTACTTTTCTAAACAATTTATATAATTATAGTAATTACTCACTATGCCAAATTACTTTTCTAAACAATTTATATAATTATAGTAATTACTCACTATGCCAAATTTTGACCTTGAGAGCAACTATATGCAAAAAGCAAGCTAGAAACTAACATCTTCAAAATAATTGTTTTTTCTCTCTCTTAGCTGATAAAAGTATTGCAAAGTTAGTTTAAAGAAAATTTGTTAAAATACAATTTTTGGTAAAAGTTTTTAAAAAACAAGCCAAAAGGATTTACTATTTTAGGGGAGAGGGGGAGGGGAATGGAAAATAGACCTAAATTTTGTTCCAAAAAGAAAATGTCACTGGATATTAAGTCCAATCAAGAAAAAAAAAGATTACAGGACTAAATAAGTCATGTCAGCCCCACCAGGAATGGTTTTAATCCTTTTTAAGATATTTTTGGATTAATTTACCTATCATCAATGCAAACGAGGAAACTCACGAGAAAATGAAGAAGTATCTCACCAGTAGTTCCTTCTAATCTTATGGCATAAGAAAGCGCCCTGCATTTTAAATTGTATACATTACTATATTTTGTTAAGTAAAACCAATTAGGACAAGGCGTTGTGATACTTTGAAGTCGAAACTATCTAAGAATTTGATGGCTAACTTTAAGAGTTGTCTATATTTCAGTGATGTGAATGTTATATTTTCAAACAGGTCTTTTTTTACCGCTGAAATTTGCGTTTTCAGCTTAAGACTTCAGAGTTGGTCTAAGAAAATTAAGTCTCAAAATGACAAGACTTTCTTTTTTAAGATCTTTTTGAGGACTTTTTCCAAAGGTTTGTTTCCAATCACTTGAAACTCAATTTTTTTGGTGGTACCTGTTTGATTATTCTTTTTATTGCATGGATGTATGACTAATTTGCAATTTGCAATTTGAAATTACGGTTTTTGCATGGGAACAATATGCATTGCTATTCTTAGTTCAAAACCATGTAAAACTGTTTGACATGACTATTCCGATAAAGTAAGTTCAGATTTACAAAACGGTGAATATTTGTCGAAATCCTCAAATTAAATATTTATTTTTTTGTTCAAGACTGAACAGTTTTAATACAGTGGTAGGTGATTATATCAATACAATGTAGACATCTCTTAATTGCAATTTTGATTTACATTAAACTGGATACACGTAAATCGTCTTCATTGTATTAATATAATCGCCTACCATTGTAGGAAACCGCCCACCATTTTCACTGTATTGTACTGTACAATTTAATTTGTACACACGACAACTATCCACTCAATTTATGTACTCTTTTCTAGGATTTACGGCAGATGCCGCAGTAGCTGCTCTAGTAGGTTTGGGTGGTGGATTAGTACCCCCGGCTGCAGTAGCTGCTTGCAGCGCTGCGCAGGTCAACTTTTATCTCAAATACTTCGTTAAGAGGACTGTTAGCGTTATTTAAAATGACCCTTCATGCTGCGGTACCCTTAAAAGCACTATCCGATCAAGTATTCGAATTAGATATAATTGTTTATAATTTTGTAAACTGATTTTTTTTCATGTGTGGTTTTCCTTCTACCTTGACAGCAGGAAAACATGTATGAATTATCTGAATTAAATACTTTTGACTCAAGACAAACGAAATTTCTTCCACATTATTGATCAGATAAATGTTTTAATGGTACCATTGTGAATCAGGCAAAGTCATTTTAGAAATGAGGGTCACTTTAAATTACGGTTACAGTCCCTTTAAATCAGACAAAGGGAATGGCACGCCTTAGGTCTAAGGTGCTCATAAAAGGTGTCACTTAATCACTAAATTAAAAAAATATTATTTAAAATAGTTAAAATTTAAGTTATCAAAGAAATTAAATCGCCCTTTCATGTTAAACATAACATGCTTTTAGTTTGTACATATTTTTGTTTAGGCAGCGTGTATGACAGTGTGTGCTGCATGTGTGCTTATCCCAATCTAGTGGTGAACTTGCCATTCTAAATGTAAATAATACTGTTCATTTCTCAAATAAACGATACTCATAACTCATTAATGTAACTTGGTAATTTGAAGTTTCCATAGGTGCTATTACATTATACCATTAGGTCCGAAAGCTTGTCACGGAAAAATACACTTTTTACTTGGCTTTCTTTTGCTTAATTTAAACTTAATTGTTTCTAATTGTTATTTCATTTTAATTTAAAATCCATAATAATAGCTTAAAAATCATAAGGAATAGATTGACACATTAAGTACAGCTAAAAACAGAGAATCGTTTTACGAATAGTGTTGTCAAAGTAATTTTTGTAAGGGGCGTATTCAGGAATGGGGGCTTAAATTTTTTTCTTCCGAGGGGGGCCTTAGCACCTTTTGCAACCTGAAAACCCCCTGAAATTAATAGATTTCACTGGCCCAGGGAGGGGCTTATAAATTTTGTTTTATGTGATTTGAATTTAATGCACTTTTACCACAATTTTCGACATCTATCGGGGTTATATGGCATCTGTATTGACTTAAACTAAATTTTCAAATTATTTTCAGATTTTTTTGGTCAACAAAAACTGAGAATCAAGGCACAGTTCATTTTAGCCGAATCTTAGATCCAATTGGCCACTTTAATGACTGCATTTCATGATTGGCGTCAAGATACAAAAAAGGTTTTTAACAATATTGTACACCATAGGGCCATTAAAAGAGGTCAATATGGTCTTATTTCTAAGAAATAAACGATTTAATTTTATGCTTTTTTGGGGTGATTACTATTTGAGGTGGTGGAGATTACCAATTGAGGAGCGCGCTTGCCGCAAAACAGATTTGGGTGGCGGTGATTACTATTTGAGAAACTCTGGACTCCCCCCCTCCTTAGCCGGAGCCCCCATAGCAACCCCCTCCCCTGAGTACGCCTCTAATGCGCCAAATCAAGAAGAACGCTTTCTGTATCAGTAACTAATTGCGTAAAAAAGTTCTTTTCTTTCTAAACATAAATTATTTCATTAAATTTTCAAAAAAAATTCCTTTTCCATTTTTTCGACCGAACCACTATAAAGACGCCACAAGTTACAACTTAACATTATTCAATCCGACCACACCTGTTTTAGTCCGAACGTTGCTTTTTTGCTTTCAAATGTATTTTGTATGCCTTTTAACACTTTTTCTTTGGTTGCAAGTTTAGGCAACGTCATAATATGAAGTGTTGATTTTTTCTAGGCAATTTAGGATACTCTTTCTCATGTTTGGTGGGACACACTGTATTAGTTCGCTTTTGTTATAATCGGGTCAGCATAGGAATAGAGAAGCTGCGATGTCAGAAAGTCATACCAATAATTTTGTATTATTTAAAGGTAAATAAATAGAATACCAGTCTATTTCATCTCTCTGGATTTAAAAAAAATTAAACGAAATACAATTTATTAAACATTAATTTTTACGTTTCACTTTAACACGAAAGTTTACATAGGAGCTCATTCAAAAATATTTAAGCCTTTTTGGTAAAAAAAATATGTTCGTAGAACACAACTTGCGCTATTTAATAAAACAATTTAACATTTAGACGCCAAATTGTTTACAGTTTTGATGTTTTTTTTCTATTGGTTGGAACTTAGAAGGGTAGAAGAGGTAGAATTTTTTTAAAGACAAAATAAGTTTTTAATACCTGGACAATACGATTGAATATCACAAAATTAACATGTAGAATCCATAAATGCTAGATTTTTCTCCAAAAAGTGGCAGTTTTGGCCCCGACATTTCTCCATTTTTGATTCTTGTCTTTAACGTTAAAATAAAATGTGAAATAAGGATTTAAACCCTAGAACTGTTTTAGGGATTGTATAAAAATTATTAAGAAGGTAGTAGGACTAACTGATATTGAACTAATGATTGATTGATATCTTACAATTTAAAGCGAAGCTTTTCTTAAGAAACCATCCGCCATTTTTCTGAGATCCGTTGCAAATGGTTTTTTATCAGTAGTCCAAATTCGTTCTTCTCCAAACTTTCAAAAATCCTGACTATCCCCGTAAACATGACACGCAAAGGACAGAAAAAGATCACAGTTAGTGCATTATAACAACACTAGTACTACATCAATACAAACCAATCAGACCAATTTCTAGAAAATTTTGACAAATTTTGCATAAAGACAAATTTAAATTCTGATTTTTTTAAAACAAAAATTCTGATATTTCCCTCCAAATGTATGAATACTATTTTCGATAGGCAATAAGGTTTTTTCTATTTATGTTTAATTGAGGTAGGTTTTTGTCTGAGAACATTTATCTGATTCTTGGATCAGAAAATCAGTCTTAGGGGTGGAGTAGGTTAGCCCCGCCCAACTGGAGCCACAGCTCATGCTATACAGTGGTTAGCTCCGCCCATCTAGAGTCGAAAAATAGCTTCATAAGATGCCCGGCACGGCCCACTGGACTCTCGTCTTCGTTATACCGTTTACAATTAGAGAAAATCAACTGGACGTCGTCTTTAAATTCATCACGGACTTTGTATCTAAACAAAAATAAAATACAAAACATTATAAACAAAATCATCTGTAAAGATCGGCAAATGTGAATTTTGAATTGGAATTGTGTTTGCCTTTTAAATTCAATTATTATTTGTATCAAATTGCAGAACATGTTGAGACTTACAAGCCTTCATTCAGTTTTTTCTTAATAGTTGAAATGTCCATCGGATTTTTTATAATCTTCTTGTAGGTGGGGAACTGCTTAGTGTTGACGGGGTTAAGGAAAGGCCAGGACTCGTCGTGACCCCCTAACTCAGATAGAAGAGTCTGGCAAATGCTCATATCTTTGTCGATCTAAAATACAAAAAAAAAATATCAATTTAATTTAATTTGATTTAGTTCTATGATAAAAAAATCTCCGAAACAAAAACAAAAATCTGCAAAAATTACTTTTCCAAAATGGTCGTTTGCCAATTAATCTATTACCTTAGGAAGACGGACAGGTTTCTTTTTAGAAATTTTAACCGGTTCTGGTGGTTGGGGTTCCTCTGGAACTGGTTCCTCTTCAGAACGTTTGACATCTTCTTTTCCTGCTGTCCACTCCTCCTCGGTGTTTCTTAAGCTTCGAGCTTTCTTACTCGTCTTCCGGCCGTTCTTTACACTACATCCGGGGCAGTGCCATTTACCACGTGGAGTCTAGTTGGAAAAAAATATAATTTTTTATCTTTAATTGCACTCAAAGCTTAATTTCAATTGACCCACCATGCAAAAATGGCAATGTCCGATCAACTGTACCCTTGCAACCTTTAACTGATCAATAATTTGGGAGATTTTATCGTTTTCTATACTTTAAACGTGTTTAATTCTGATAATTCCGATATATTTTCCTGCGCAAGTCACTTTTGTAGAGAAACTACGGGTGAAAATAATCAGTTTTAAAACTATGAGCATTGATAACTAATTCATAATTGATCAGACAAAGCTTTTAATGGTACTTTTGTGAATCGGGCTTTTCCCATCTTTGCCGGTCCTCCCCTACCACCGAGTAATGTTTACAATATTGTTATTGTTTCTTGATCTGTTTTAATACGTCATAGTAAAATGTAAACAAACAATACGATCCTCTCCTTTGTTAATTCTTATTTATTCTTGATTCGTATGTGCCTGAAGACAACTTTCGATTCGAATTTTGATTTATGTCAAACTTTTAAACAGCATGGAAATTGGATTCCCTTAAAATGAAAACAAAGAGAATATGTCAATTAAAAAGCTTCTCTTTGATTTCTTGTAAACTTAGTTGTAATTCGAAAAAAGCTTGTTTGTCAACAATTAAAACTTAAAGAAAGAAGTCGTCCTCATTGGATTCGATGTAATCACTAATCACTGGCCGACCAAGATAAATACTAGAACAAAACCACTAACTACTTAACATCATTAGGGTTTCAAAATTTTAATTTTTTCAAATTAAAAATTTTAAGTCAAAATATGGAAATTTGATCTTCTTGCTGTTTGTACTAAAAACAGTTAAAAATAAAATGACATGAAAAAAGGCTTAAGGATCTTAAGTTTTGCAAAGGTCCAGCCTAAAATTCGTTTTTTCCAAATTATATCAAGATTTTTTCAAACATTTTTTTAAAATTGATAAAAATAATTGTCTGCTCTTTAAATTTTTATGCCATATTTCAGATGTATCATGCAAATGTTGTATATATATTACATATCACAATTTCTAAACTCACAAGATGTTCAAAATTGTAAAGGAACAAATCAATCAAAGACGACATTTTAGTCACATAACTTTTTAATGAGAATTCTATTGAATAAAATAGCTAAGCGTGCGGTGCATTAGAATATGTTAAGTTTAAGGAAAGTGGATGGACCCATAGACATTGAAAACACAAAATAACAAAAACAAAATGCCCAACATGTGCAGAAGTGCATAATCTAGTTAATAACTGACCTTTTTTAATATTCCATTTTGCCCAAGAGTCTTTAAAAATAAAAATATTATTTATGAAAGAAAAAAATATAGAATAGCATTTTTGATAAAACAACGAGTTTACAACATAATGTTTTTAAAATTTGAATTTACCTTAGCTAGGGGTGGAGAGATACAAAGCTGATGATATGCTCTGGGACAAGCACTGCACAGAACTAAACCTTCGTCGTCTTCATTACCACAAACCAGGCAGTGCCGTAGCCCTGTAGCTTTATTCACACATTCGAAACAGTACCTGCATATGAAAAATTAATTTTTCTCTTTTAAAATACGATTTGTTTAGATCTTTTTTAATTCAAATCTTTTGATATAGAGAGTAGAAACAAGAAAACAAGTGCAATTTTTGGTGTATTTCTTTTTTCTTTTAATCAAAAATGTAAATCCTTATCTATATTTCTTTGACAAAAAAAAGATAAAAGACGACTTTCAATCCAGTTTTCTGGGTTTAACTGTATGTTTAGTTTATAATTGAGTATTTTACCAGTCTCCTTCTGGAATAGTTGTTATTGCAGGTTTAAAACAGTAAGTGTGATATCCTCGATCACAGCCATCACATAGAAGCAGAGCATTCTCATTCTCCCCTCCATGGCAGAACTGACAAGACGCTTTCATAATGGATTTGTCCCAAGCAATCGAGGTTTCGAGAATATAGAAAGCCATCGCGACCTGTGCCGCGTTCTCTGCGTTGGATACCGCCTCGCGCCATGTTTGCAGTCCACGTGGTATTCCTTCGGAGGCTTTTTTATCTGTTTCTCCTTCCTCCATCTTCTCCTCATCATCCTTTCCGTTCTCCTCTGTATCCTTTCGTACAGCATCGTTGTTTTCTTTCTTGTTCTCTTTATCTTCCTCTTCTTCAAAATTGTCTTGATCCACACCCTGGAAAGAGAAATTTACTTTAGATAAAATCGGAAATGGAAATTAAAGTTTTTAACTGGACAATAAGTAATTGACAAATTCAAGAAGTTCAAGAAAAAAAATATATGGTTTTATTCAATAACTTTAAGGTTCATTTGATTCTTATTATAAAGGAGCAATAATCTGGACTGATTTAATAGGTAAATTAAATTATGGCCATTACGCAGTTTGTAATTTTCTAATTTAATAATGTCATATCTAGAGTCTAGACCTGGATGTAATATATTCCAAAAACAAAACCAACCTTTTCATCTAAATCTAATGTTGTGTCTTGTTTATTTCTCTCTGTGCTGGCTGTAATGTTACTTAGACTTGTTGTCCTTGTAGCTCCTAAGGGAGCTTTCAAATATCTTCTCTCAATAGCTCCCTCCAGCTCCAATAGACGTTGCTTCGAAACCTAAACATAAATTATTAAATCACTGTTGCATTTATCTGTGATCTAAATTTTTAAGACTTGTGCTAAAAAAAGATTGAAATCAGCTACATTTACATTTCTTAGAGTGTTAACATTTTTCATGTTTGTTGTATATTGTTTATTGTTTACCTCTACAGTATTTAACCCGTCGCTGTCATCCCCGTCCTCACAGCTGGGTCGGAACTTGAGCGTATCAGCCAGTAGACGGTCAGGTATCTTCCAACCCTAGGCAAATATTGTATAATCTAGGGAAACAAGTTCCAAACCGTGATTTGGCCAAGACATGACACTGAATGTCAGGTTTGGGACATAAGCACACGGTTTGGAACTTTCTTCCCCTGTAATCACTATTCGTAAAATTTGTTAAACTACAGTATATACAATGAGAAAAAGAATAGGAAGACGACTTTTAGACATAGCTATGACTTTAAATAGCCCAATGAATGAACAGACCCATTTCTTTAAGTTCTTAGTAAAACTCATTGCTTTGAAACAGCAGAAAATACACTTAATTATTACTATAATGTCATCTTTCTATTCCATAGTTTTCTAGTTCTCACAGCAGTTTTGAGACTTGTTCAGATATGAACTTTTTTGAGAAGTATCTCAGATCTTAAGATCTAAAAACGGAACTTGAAATAAAACACGTTTGGAACCTTAAAATAATTTTTCTATAATGAATTAAATAATTAGAAAAATGGGTGGGGGGGGGGACAAAATAAATATTACTTACTGGAACTTGCATAGAGGCAGACGCAACTTTATCCTCCAAACTCTCGATCTGCTCAAGTATAAACTTCTCTACTCTTAGAGCAGTTTCTCGTGACCAGGTTCCCTTGATATCTGCTCTTGGTGCTCCAGGTACCACCTCCTCAATATTAGTGGGCGGAGCATCTGAACTAGGGGGGGTGGCACCCGAGGTGGGGGCTGTGAACTCTACCTCCTCAGGCCCCAGTTTATGGGTGGATTCAGCAACGTTCTCAAATCCTCTACAAACACAGAAAAAATCTTTGAAAAACAATTTGCTAAAAATCCTATTTCATAATCTTTATCATTTCAATCCTTAATATTTCAACATTTGAATAATAGAGTTTATAATCTGAAATATTGACAGCTTACGAAATCAGGTTGCAAAGAAATAACTAATAAGGATTAAAAAATCAGACTATGCGCACAGTTTTAATTGTAAAATTACACTCATTTATACCAATCATTACAACGATAATACTAAATAGCTCAGCAAAAAGTTTTCAACAGATACAAAAAGAAGGAAAAATATATTTTTTAATGATTTCTGACAAGTATAATTATATTATTACATATAATGTATATACAGTCAGATGCAATTATCAGATTGAGTAACGGTACAGTAACTAGTAACCAAGTCTGAGGTCGGAATTAATAAATATTGGTTAATCTATAATAGTAGTTCAACTTCAATTACTTACAGTGGTTGGCGTTTCTATTAATAAAATGAAGACGACTTTTCAACAAGCTTTTTTCAAATTACAAGTTCACAAGTAAACAAGAGAAGCTTTTAATTAACAGTTTCAATTTGTTTCCTTGTCTATGTGTATCCATGCTGTTTGAAAACTTGGTTTAGATATCAAAATTTAAATCGAAAGTCTTCTGCATAGTATTGTACATAGGACGAAGACAGTTATAGATAAACTCTATCGTTTTGAAAAATTCCTTCCTCTGTTTGTTTAAAGATTTTTTATTTTAACGCTAATAATTTAATTAAAATATTTTCTAATTTTGAGACAAATTAATTAATGAAAAAGAAGATTTTTTTACCTTCTTAAATTAGTTAGAAGATGCTGCTCCCTAGTTCCTCTAGGGTGCAGCGCAGCTTCTAGTTGGGTTAATAAGCTGCTCTCAACAGGCAGCTTCCACCAACCGTAGCATTTTTCTAAATAGATAGATAGATGGATAGGTAGATAGACAGATAAATAGATAGATAGATAGATTGATATAAATATGATAAGATAGATAGATAGATGGATAGACAAAGCCAGATAGATAACTAGATATAGATATGTACAGAAAGATATAGATGTACATTAGACAGATAAGACATACAGAGAGACACACATATAAAAAGGTAGATAACATACGGACCAATGTATAAAATACGCAGACTAACAGAACAATAGATAGAAATCAATAGAAAGTATAGAAAGCAAAATCAAAGATGGATAAATATAGAATTTAAGGAACTGAACCTTTCATTAATCTCTAATCCCCTATATATACCACATAGATTATTGAAGATCTATTAAAGATCTACGATATCCGGTTCAAAGATATAAGGAAGACTGAGACGAGTAGTTAGTTCCTGAGTATTTACGCCAATGTAGGTATACCTAGCGGGAAAAAGCAAGAAAAAGTGAACATGTGGAGTGCAGATGGAGAAGGAAGAAGAAGATGGACATTTGAAATCATTAACTATGCCTCGTACCATTATATTTTATAACAAAAAATATTTATACCTAGCGGGATAGGCGTTCTCTCAGTCTCCTTGTTCAGATTTTTCAGTATATCCAGTTTGCTTTCCAACATAGCTATATGAGTAAGCGCCTCTCCACCCCGTCTACTCCGTCCTGGGTGGAACTCATGTTCTCCGTCCCCGGAGATAAGGTTGAACCAGGGTTTATCCTGGTTCCTGTCTGCATGGGTGGTTCCGTAGATACTGTGCTGGTTCTCCTTGGGGGTTATAGAGACAGAACCATTGAGAATCATCGGGGAGAGAGACATGTTAAAGTAGGAACTGTGATTAAATAAATTCATCCGTTCCGCATTTGGTGTAACTTTCGGACTGTACTTACTCTCGTTCTTTGGCGCCTCTTTCGGAGTAATGGAAACCTCAGAGCCGAGTTTTAAATCAGAGATATTGTACTTTTCCTTAATAGGAGTACTACAGAACAGTTGGTTTTCCTTATTTTCCTCCTCGGTTTTAACCAGCTCCGGGTCTAGTTTTAGCTTTTTGGAAGGTGGAGGGGAGAGGGTTGGGTCGGAGCTAGGTTCCTCCAGTTTCCAGGGCTCTCCGGACTCAATCCCCTCTAGATATATACCTCCGGAGTGTGCCAAATGCCAGTATCTTCTCCTAGAATAAAAACATTAAATCATTCATCATGGATCAGACGAATTGAGTGTTCGAGGGTCTAGCAGCCAAATATATACTATATAGGGTTTCCCAATAAAAATCAAGTGATATAATTTTACTTAATTAATTTATTGTAAGAATCACAATAATAAATCAAAATTATTTACAAAGCCGATCTGGAAAACTTCACTTAATTCTTATGTTTATTGGGACACCCTGGTATACATAAGAATTATGAGTATTCTTGGATAAATATATTTATTCATAAACCAGGAAATCTAGATGTATATAATGTAATCAGATTTATTGCAATACAGCACAATCTAGATGCATATAATGTAATCAGATTTATTGCAATACTGCACAATCTAGATGTATATAATGTAATCAGATGTATTGCAGTGCAGCACAATCTAGACGTATATAATGTGATCAGATTTATTGCAATATAGCACAATCTAGATGTATATAATGTAATCAGATTTATTGCAGTGCAGCACAATCTAGATGTATATAATGTAATCAGATTTATTGCAATATAGCACAATCTAGATGTATATAATATAATCAGATTTATTGCAATATAGCACAATCTAGATCTATATAATGTAATCAGATTTATTGCAATGCAGCGCAATCTAGATGTATATAATGTAATCAGGTTTATTGCAATGCAGCGCAATCTAGATGTATATAATGTAATCAGATGTATTGCAGTGCAGCACAATCTAGACGTATATAATGTGATCAGATTTATTGCAATGCAGCGCAATCTAGATGTATATAATGTAATCAGGTTTATTGCAATGCAGCGCAATCTAGATGTATATAATGTAATCAGATTTATTGCAATGCAGCGCAATCTAGATGTACATAATGTAATCAGGTTTATTGCAATGCAGCGCAATCTAGATATGGTTTCAGTGGAATGGACAAACTTATAGAAAGCAAAAAAGGTATTGGGGCAGGGGTCCAAATTTTCCATCCAAAGTCCCAAATGTAGATTAATTGATATTAGGAGCAGAATTCAACCATGTTGTTATTGTAAACAATTGGAACTACTATGCCAAGTTGTATAAAACATTCCATACTGCAGAATGTTTACTGTAAGGGAGGGTTTTTCTTCTTTATATCAAAACTTATCTCTTAAGGTGATAACTATTATGTACATCTTTTAACACCCCAAATGCAGAACATATTTCTGAAGTGTAGTACTACCAAAGTTCATAATAAAACATGAAGTATGTGTTCATACCTCCAAATGTACTTTCAACCCCGATATCATTTGGTATCAGAATATGGACCCCTGTATTTGCGTAATTAAAAAAATCATGGTATTGACATATTTTAAAAAAAGTTAATAAATATAATAACAATGATTTTAATGAATAAAAAATCTGTAACTGAAAAAAAAGATAAATGCAAAAATTCAGTAAGAAAACTTGATGTCGAAAGTATGTTAAAGAGAGAGAAAGAAAAAGTTAAAAGACAAGAAAAGGACATAAAAGTATTGATGAGAAATGTGAATGAATAAATGAATGATCGAATAAGGGCTAATTACTTATTTATTCAATCTCCTACTTACTTTAAATGAATGATATGGATATAGAATTCTGTTTGTTCTATTCCAACCTAGATCTTGACTTTCTCCTACTACAAGAAAGTTTGAGAAGAAAAAAAAACAAATATATTTATAAATCTATATCTATATAATATATATATACAATATATATATAGATATATATGCATTTGTCTTATTTGTTGGATTGTTTGGATTCCTATTAAACCAATCAGACTCAACAATATTTTTGGACCTCGAAAATTTTTGAATGGCTATTTTTTTAAGTTCATCAATTAATACAGAAAAATCGAATATTTTTTAGCATTATACTAGGAGGTTTAAAACCTTAACCGGGTTTCGGCACAAACTAAAATAATTCTTATTTTATTAGATTTATCTAGACAAAGTTAAATAAATGGACACTGTTGACGAAGTACAAGGAGCGAGGTAGTGGTCTTTAAAGGTATCTCTTGCAGTATAAAAGTATAAACATATATTAACAATAATTCTGATTCTGAATATTCTTATATTTCAAACTTTTATCGTTCATATTTCATCCTGCAGTGCATTAGAATTATTACCAAGATATTTCTCAGTAAATATTCTTCTTTTTATTCTTCTTTAAACCCTCCATTTTATTTTATGCTCCTTTTGAAACTTCTTTTTAGACTTCTTTTTAAACTCTTATTCTTCGTCATTTTTAACTCTTAGAATTCTATTTAGACTTATAATCGTTTTTTTATACTTCTTTTGAACTTCTTTTTAATCGTCTTTTCATACATCTTTTAAACTTCTTTTTAATCATCTTTTCATACTTCTTTTAAACTCTTTTTGATTGTCTTTGCATACTTCTTTTAAACTTCTTTTTAATCGTCTTGTCATACCTTATTTGAACTTCTTTTTAATCGTCCTTGCATACTTCTTTTAAACTTGTTTTTATCGTCTTTCATACTTCTTTTAAACTTCTTTTTAATCGTCTTTTAATACTTCTTTTTAGAATTCTTTTTAAACTTCTTTTTAGAATTCTTTTTAAACTTCTTTTAAACTCTTTATTGCTCCTTTTAAGATTTCTTTTAAAATTCCATAATATTGTATTTCTTAACCTTCGTTTTATTTTCCAGTTCATTATTCTTTTTATCCTCCATTTTATTCTTCTTTTTATCCTCCATTTTATTCTTCTTTTTATCCTCCATTTTATTCTTCTTTTTATCCTCCATTTTATTCATCTTTTTATACTCCATCTTATTCTTCTTTTTAAACTCCATTGTATTCTTCTTTTTAACCTCCATTTTCTTTTTCTTTTTAACTTCCATTTTCTTCTTCTTTTTAACTCCACTTTTTATACTTTATTTTATACTCCTGTTTATACTCCTTTTTAAATTTCTTTTTAAAGCTTCTTTTAAGACTTATTTTTCAAACTATTTTTCTTTTTAAACTATTTTTAAACAAAACTTATTATGAGTACTTGGAATCACGTTGACAATCCCAGTAAGAATTGACTCAACGTGGGAACTTTAGAATTTACTGACATATACTCTAACCTGTATCTATCTATCCTCTAACCTGTATCTATCTATCCACTAACCTGTATCTATCTATCCTCTAACCTGTATCTATCTATCCACTAACCTGTATCTATCCTGGCCGAGGTCGGAGGCTCTGAGGCTATTGTTGAGGAAAACGAGCTCCTCTCCCTTCTTCTTGATCAGCCTCGAGACCTTCTCAATCTTCTTCTGCAGATCCTCAGCATTCAGCTGTCCGTCCTCCTCCTACCAATCAATCAAATAATGAAGATAATTTCATTAAATTAATTAATAGTCATTTCATTAATTTTAATTGATTACTTGTAAAAAATCCTCTTGGCTTTCAATCAAATATTCCTTGTTCTTGAATATGAATGAATAATTGAGTATTTATTATATACGAGAACAAGTAATTAGGGGGATTAGGAAAACAAAGATTTCACAATTCTAATAAAACCACCTCCTGGCTAGGAGCATAGGAGTTCACCAAATAAATCGAAAATAGACATTTTGGCAGAGTGATTAACATCATAATTCATCCTGAACGCAATTGATGGCTTGTCACAAACTTTCCAATCCACATATCTTTGCCACCCGATGGTGTGACTGGACCTTTGATTTGTAAAGCTTGCATATTTTGATATAACAGATTTCTGAGTTTGAAATAACAAAGGATTATGACGTTGGGTTGCAAAGATATAGGGATTAGAAAATTAGAGTTTGGCGGCAAAGACACAATTTCTTACTAAGAATTACTCAACGTCACATGAAAACCCTTAAGAACCAAAACTAAAACTAAGTATTCTAAATAAACCAACGTTTTCCAAATTCCCTCTTTCCATTTGAATCAAAATTTAAAAACTTACATCTTCTTTTCCTTCATCTTCATCTGATACGTCCAGCTCACTCTCCTCTTCACTCTCAACTTCCTCTTCCTTCTTCTTCCCTCCTCCTTCTCCTCCTCCTCCTCGGCCACCCTTCCTCTTCTTCCCTCGGCCTCGACCTCCCTTCGAAGTTACCTCCACAGCCTCCGGTTTAGACTCAGATATACAGGACAGGCTGTCCTCCTAAACAATGTCTCGTTAAACATTGTTTTAATCTAGTGAAAACTTTCGATTCACAATCGGGACTTTAAATTTTGATTTCTTATTTTTTATGGAAAAATACTTGGAACCGAACCTTATCTTCTCCGACCTCACTATGGTTCTCTGATTCTCCTAAAATAGATCCGCTCTGGTTCGTACCTTCCTCAAACCTTGATACTTCAACCTGAAACAAAAGAAAGCTCGAAAAATAAAATACAAAAATTACGAAAGACGATTTTTTATTTCTTGGAAACATTTTTTAAAATTAAACCAAGGAATTGAGTCTCCGCCACAAACTCTAATTTTCTAACCTCTAAAACTTTGCAACCCTATGTCTTAGACCTTAGATATTTCAAAGTATGAAATGAATTCTCTGTAGGATAAAATTATATAAGTTTGAAATATCAGGAGGCAAAGATAAAAGAATCAGAAATGCGTAGTTTGTGGCAAAAAATTAATTCCTTTTAAAAAAATACAATATTTCGTTGACAAACCGGAACAACGAAGAAAATGGCCCAGTTCTCTCCCTTAACCACTGATAAACTAAAAAGAAATAAGTTACCTTAAACTTATATTTTCTGTTGTGCAGAATCCTGAGTTTTTTAGCTTTGTTGTCCAGAGAGATCTTTCTGCGCTTGACGGACTGAACGTTCTCCATGGTATTCTCAATCTGGTTCACGACAGCCTAGAACAGTCGTCATCAAACATCGATAAAGCAGACAAAAACTTCAAACTGTATTTTTCTATTTCAAAAGACAAAAATTTCGTTTATATTTTATTGTAAATTCTAGTTTATAGTTTTTAAGCATCACATTTTCTTATTTTCTTAAAATTATTTTCTTTATTTATATTTTCATTAACGTATATTTTTATCCATTGTGGTTTTCATACATTTATCTTTTTAGCGATTCAAATGAAGATCGTTTTTATCTATCTATTTTTTAAATTCTTTTTAAGAATTTCATCTTTTGTAGATCTATTTTCAGAAAATATTAATCTAATTTTGTAAAAATGTAAAATTATTTATTACCTTATTGTTCAGCAGTTCGTTGCAAAGAAAAGAAAGAATAGCACACTTCTCAGTTGGGTTCAAACAAAGAAAAGGTTTGGCCTGAAAAAAAAATGTTAAAAAAGACGAATATTTTTACAGTTGTTTAATAAAGAATTAATTTCTAAATCTGGCCAGTTTAAAAATTATTCTAGGCAATTTCTGTAAAATCCTAGCGAAACACATTTACTAAATATAAAAAATAAACTTTTTTTCAAAGAATAACTAAAACCCTTTTGCAAAAGGGGTAATTTTATTAGTTATAATTAAAGACATTCCAAAAAAAGCTTCGCCGCAGAATTTCTTCTGGAATTTTGAATTTTAGCTTGGGAACCCAGCTTTGCCTTGAAAATAAACTTTCTCTTTAAAAATTAACCCATTAAATTTAAATTTTGAAACCAACGAGTTCCCCAATCAAAATTTGAGGCAAATCGGTCACGAGGTTTATGAGTAATGATCGGTCATACAAAAAAAAACGTAACTGATTACTACTTTGAATAGATTTTTTTAAAATCTAAAATCTTGCCTTTATCCATTCAGACATCTGGAAGGTTTTATTCTCTTGAAGGAGCGCCATATAGGAGTCATCAGCGTTTACAAACGGGCCTTGTATTGCTTCCTTCTTGTCCTAAATACAGGTCAAGTTGTAAAAGGAATTGTTCAAACATTTAAAAAAAAGAAATAATACCAATTTTTAATTTGTTCTATAAAATAACTTCAAAAAGGGTGTTATGTAAAGGAATTTCGTCTTTGCCACAAACTTTGATTTTCCAATCCCAATACCTTTACAACTCAATGTCATAGAACTTAGCTATTTCAAACTGTAGTTTTTGTCAGATCAAATAATCTAAGTTTTGAATATCAAAGGTTTACGCAATCTGGTTGTAAAGATAAAGGGATTATAAAATTGAGTTAGTAGCAATGAGTCTCTTTTTATCATAACTTCATTTATTGAAGGAAAAAAATGATTTGAATTTTTTATTTGCAAGTCTCGTATTTATCCTTCAATAAAACTAGAGGAGCTACGAGGTCACAAAGTCGAATTTTAAGCTCGCATGAATCCTATCTTTTCCTGTTCAGTTTAGTTAACAGTTATATGTAGGATTTTTTGTTAAACATTGCTCGAGCATTAAAAGGGGTTGGAAAACAAAAGGATTTTAGGAAAAATGGAAAAAGTGTAAGTTTACATAATTAGATCAATTACCTTTGGTTCAGGGGGAGAGACTCCATGAAAAAGCCTGATCTCGTACTGTGCTCGGGATCGGATAAAAATCCGCAATATCTCTGTTATATTTGTGTTCGTTACATCAGCCTAAAATATATAAATTTAAAAGTTTTTCAGTTTGAAAGTAGAGTAAAAAATACAAGTTTTTGTGATAAGGTTTCTCGATTCGGGTTCTCCTTAATCCTTGAAACTGTTGATGTGAGGAAGAGAGTGAAAGAAACCCGAGCAACACAATATATATTATATATATTATAATTTATATGTATAACTCAACAGTGAATAAGGGGATTAATGAATAAATAAGTTAGAGGATGAATGAATAAATGAATGATCGAATAAGGGGATTAATGAATAAATAAGTTAGAGGATGAATGAATAAATAAATGATCAAATAAGGAGATTAATGAATAAATAAGTTAGAGGATGAATGAATAAATGAATGATATGGATATAGAATTCTGTTTGTTCTATTCCAACCTAGATCTTGACTTTCTCCTACTACAAGAAAGTTTGAGAAGAAAAAAAAACAAATATATTTATAAATCTATATCTATATAATATATATATACAATATATATATAGATATATATGCATTTGTCTTATTTGTTGGATTGTTTGGATTCCTATTAAACCAATCAGACTCAACAATATTTTTGGACCTCGAAAATTTTTGAATGGCTATTTTTTTAAGTTCATCAATTAATACAGAAAAATCGAATATTTTTTAGCATTATACTAGGAGGTTTAAAACCTTAACCGGGTTTCGGCACAAACTAAAATAATTCTTATTTTATTAGATTTATCTAGACAAAGTTAAATAAATGGACACTGTTGACGAAGTACAAGGAGCGAGGTAGTGGTCTTTAAAGGTATCTCTTGCAGTATAAAAGTATAAACATATATTAACAATAATTCTGATTCTGAATATTCTTATATTTCAAACTTTTATCGTTCATATTTCATCCTGCAGTGCATTAGAATTATTACCAAGATATTTCTCAGTAAATATTCTTCTTTTTATTCTTCTTTAAACCCTCCATTTTATTTTATGCTCCTTTTGAAACTTCTTTTTAGACTTCTTTTTAAACTCTTATTCTTCGTCATTTTTAACTCTTAGAATTCTATTTAGACTTATAATCGTTTTTTTATACTTCTTTTGAACTTCTTTTTAATCGTCTTTTCATACATCTTTTAAACTTCTTTTTAATCATCTTTTCATACTTCTTTTAAACTCTTTTTGATTGTCTTTGCATACTTCTTTTAAACTTCTTTTTAATCGTCTTGTCATACCTTATTTGAACTTCTTTTTAATCGTCCTTGCATACTTCTTTTAAACTTGTTTTTATCGTCTTTCATACTTCTTTTAAACTTCTTTTTAATCGTCTTTTAATACTTCTTTTTAGAATTCTTTTTAAACTTCTTTTTAGAATTCTTTTTAAACTTCTTTTAAACTCTTTATTGCTCCTTTTAAGATTTCTTTTAAAATTCCATAATATTGTATTTCTTAACCTTCGTTTTATTTTCCAGTTCATTATTCTTTTTATCCTCCATTTTATTCTTCTTTTTATCCTCCATTTTATTCTTCTTTTTATCCTCCATTTTATTCTTCTTTTTATCCTCCATTTTATTCATCTTTTTATACTCCATCTTATTAATTTATATGTATAACTCAACAGTTTCTAAAAACAGGGTTCATATATAAAGAGAACTTGTTAAAAAATAGTTGACTCTACAGTTTATTTGGAAACAAGATACTCTACAAATACACTCAACTTTTCTTTTGCTTTAGCTAAGTCTTTATACAGTTTTTTTTCCTCCAGCAGACTTTCGAGGATTTATAGAGGGTTCTTACACGATTCACAATGTTACCCTTTAAACATTTAGTGGAGCAACAAAGAGGAAAAATATTAAATTTAATTAGATTAGTTTTTTTAACTCTGCTGAATGAATTCAAAGTCACTTTTAAAGGAGAAACCACAATTTGAAATTATCAATTTTAAAATAGAAACACTAGGATACTTCGTAATTTTGCTAAGATGAAGGTTTAATGAGTCATGATTATCATCATCATCTATATAATAAAACAAGACATGCGTATATATGTTCCTTGTAGTCGGCCGAACGGCTGGACGGGCATTTTTTTTTGAGAACCCAGGCGTATTCCGGGGGTAACTTAGGCTAAAGAAAATTCAAAAAAAAATTTTTTAATTTATTTTTGTTTTTTTATTTTATTCCAACGGCAACGCCGGGCACTTCAGCTAGTTATTAAGATAATGTTTACCTGTCTAAGGTTCTGGCCTAGGATAGTCAGCTGTTTGAGAGGATTAGGTACACCAGGGTCCTCTATAGCGCAGACAACAAGATGGGTCAACAGAGACAATAGTTCTTCCTGGACATATTAGACAATATTAGACATTAGAAAATATTAGACAATATTAAACAATATTAGACAATATTAGAAAATATTAGACAATATTAGAAAATATTCGACAACATTAGACAATATTAAACAATATTAGACAATATTAGACAATATTAGACAATATTAAATAATATTAGAAAATATTAGACAATATTAAACAATATTAGACAATATTAGAAAATATTAGACAATATTAGACAATATTAGACAATATAAGACAATATAAGACAATATTAGACAATATTAAACAATATTAGGCAATATTAGAAAATATTAGACAATATTAGACAATATTAAACAATATTAGACAATATTAAACAATATTAGACAATATTGGACAGTATCAGACAATATTGGACAATATTAGACAAGACAAAATTATGGGTTAGCACAAAAATCAAGAATGAAGGAAAAGATTTTAAATGATCAAAAATATAGCATTTTCTTTTTCTTTTTAAATTTTCTTACAATATTTAAAATTTCAGCTCTTTTTATATTAAGCAAAAAGAAAACAAAACAAAATTTTTTATTCCCTGTAATTTTGCCATTTGAATATTCGACTATTTTTTTCGACAAATTTATCATTAGATGACTGATGTGCCCTGAGAGGGTAAAATATTGACAAATATTTGTTCCAACCTCCGATTCTATGTCTTCATTGAGAAGACCCGACTGTAATGTTGAAATGCTGGGTAAGCTCTCCATATCTAGGGAAAACAAAATTTGATATTTTCAGTTTTAAAATTGCATTTTTTAAGCTTTACTTTTCTTACAGGGACCGTTCAATTATTTGGGTAATTTCATGGTAAACTAGTTAGCCTATTAGCTATTTATTGGTATTAGTCTTACTTTTCAATGATATCTATGACCGGAGAAAAAGCCGATTTATCGTTTAGAATTCCAGCGGAAAGGTTTGATACCTTTGTATTTAAACTTTTTTCAATAACAAAAGCCCAATCAAAACTAAAATTATCATACTTCATGTGTCAGCCATTATATGATAAAATATAAAAACTTTTGATTTTAGAATAAGCATAAAATTAACGTTTTTCATGTTGAAACATGATTTAACAAATTAACGCATTAATACAAAGACGATTTTCTCTCTCAGACAAACCGGTTCCTAGATTTTAACTCTTCAATGAATCACGGGGGATTTCAAATGTTTAAAATAAGTTATATTTTGAAAATAGACAATTTAAAAATAATTTGGAATGACAAATGACAAAAAGCATCAAAAAGTGTCTATAAAAAGATACCAATACCTTTGCGCTTGAATTCTGAATGATAAATCGGCATTTACTCAGGCCACGGTTGTCTTTGAAAAGTATAGACTAATACCAATGAATAGCAAATGGGTTATTTACTATTTAGTTTACCCTCAAAGTCACTTTGAGAATTTAACGAAAAAAAATGCTAAATAAGCAACTTTTTTCGTTAAAAACATTTCTTCTGAAGGAACATAAAAATGATTTAAAAACCAAAAAATTAATGAATTGAGTCTAAGCCACAAATTCAAATACTCTAATCTTTGCAACCTGATAGTGGACACCTGGAATACTACAATGGGTTGGAATTTTGTAATTCGATTAGAAAATATAAGTTTGTGGCAAAGACTTAACTTCTTTGAATAATAAATTTTATTAAAAAACTTATTGCTTTTACCAAAGCTAAGTGTTTCTCCAAAGTTATGAATGAACTCGAAAACCATGAGAAGGTTAGCGTATCCTTCCCCAGATAGCTTCAGGCCGGTCAACCGGGGGATCTCAGGCAGACACCTAGGCAGCAGTTCATTAAAGGGACTGTTCACATAATTTCAAGTGGATCTTCGGCCTCCATCGAAAGATTTACATGTCCAACTTACAATAATGAAAATTATGAAAATATGGAGTAATTTCAATCTTTTCTTCGACATCATTTTGTTTTTTATTTTCATTTAAATTTTTAAAATCTTGTTTACTTTGCTTCGCTAATTGCCATATCTTCGATCGGTCGTTTCATCTCAGAGAGTATTTCTAGTTCCATCCTTCTAGTTTCCATTCTTCTCTCTCTCTCCTTCTCTCTTTCAACCTAGATTTATAAATATTTAGTTCCATTCTTCTAGTTTCCATTCTTCTCTCTATCTCCTTCTCTCTTTCAACAAAGAT